ATGTAATGTTTCTTCAACATATGTGTCCACACAGTCGAGGCTTAATGTTTCTTCAATATATGTGTCACCACACTCGAGACGTAATGTTTCTACAATACATGTGTCACCACAATCGAGATGTAATGTTTCTTCAACATATGTGTCCACACAGTCGAGGCTTAATGTTTCTTCAATATATGTGTCACCACAGTCCAGACGTAATGTTTCTACAATACATGTGTCACCACAGTCGAGATGTAATGTTTCTTCGACATATGTGTCCACACAGTCGAGGCTTAATGTTTCTTCAATATATGTGTCACCACAGTCCAGACGTAATGTTTCTTCAATATATGTGTTCCCACAGTCGAGATGTAATGTTTCTTCAACATATGTGTCCACACAGTCGAGGCTTAATGTTTCTTCAATATATGTGTCACCACACTCGAGACGTAATGTTTCTACAATACATGTGTCACCACAGTCGAGATGTAATGTTTCTTCAACATATGTGTCCACACAGTCGAGGCTTAATGTTTCTTCAATATATGTGTCACCACACTCGAGACGTAATGTTTCTTCAATACATGTGTCACCACAGTCGAGATGTAATGTTTCTTCGACATATGTGTCCACACAGTCGAGGCTTAATGTTTCTTCAATATATGTGTCACCACAGTCCAGACGTAATGTTTCTTCAATATATGTGTTCCCACAGTCGAGATGTAATGTTTCTTCAACATATGTGTCCACACAGTCGAGGCTTAATGTTTCTTCAATATATGTGTCACCACACTCGAGACGTAATGTTTCTACAATACATGTGTCACCACAGTCGAGATGTAATGTTTCTTCGACATATGTGTCCACACAGTCGAGGCTTAATGTTTCTTCAATATATGTGTCACCACAGTCCAGACGTAATGTTTCTTCAATATCTGTGCTCCCACAGTCGAGATGTAATGTTTCTTCAACATATGTGTCCACACAGTCGAGGCTTAATGTTTCTTCAATATATGTGTCACCACACTCGAGACGTAATGTTTCTTCAATATATGTATCACCTCAGTCACTTCCAGTAGGGGGCGTGGCAGGCAGGGTGGGCACTTCACCTGTGAGATGATGTACATTGTCTTGCCAGAGGTTAATGATGCTTAACCTGCTCTTTAAGACATTGGCTCCTTGTATTTCTCCCATCCACTCAGTAACCATGGCGATTGTAAACACATGTTAGTTCTTGTTTCTGCTAAGAGGCCTATCTTCAGGAACAAGCTGTGCATAGTCCGACTCATGAGTAGCATAAGTAGCATACACTTGTGGAACACAAACGTCTGACTGCCTCCCTGTGATAGCCTGTACATGCATCATGTAGAAACTGGTTAACATTTACAGCAGACTGGCTGATTGAAGTCACAAGATAACCAACGTATCTCTCTATAGTCAATATGTGTTATTCATAATACTGAGAGGCCATTGGCCTACAGTACATGTTATATAGTAATGGGTGCATATATATAAGGTAACACATTTGGAACTTCTTAGCCTCATAGCATCCAATATGTTCATTGACAGCGTTTTCGTTGTCACTACATTCTTACTTGATATTAACGAAACAAATTTCTGTAAACTTGGATTTCGGATATAATATTAATCAATGAACTGTTTTCTGAGTTCAGCATACAACGGACAAAGTAGTAAGAAATGGTATTCACTTTTAACAGTATTGAAATCACAAATCTGACAAATGCTGTGTTCTAAAGAGTTCGTGTGGACCAAATCTGAATCTTGCAAGCGCAATTCGAAAAGTTTCTAGTGTTTTTAATATTTGATAAGTACTGCTCTCCGAAGCTTTTTTTAAAGAGGGAATAACGTAATAGTTTTTTGGATACTGATAAGGAAAAATGCCAATTTTGAATGAACATATCTTTCAGGGTCTGAGAAAAAGCATCAATTAAATGATCTGGTATATACGTGTCCTGTTCTGTCCATATGTTACCATAACAACATGAATAAAGCTGATGCCTAACAGAAGATACCCAGTCAGTCTGTCCACGTTGAACATAGAGTAATAGCATGTTATAACATTTCTTTGGAAATCTTGTTGCAGGCATTTTTAAACTAATTTAATCCAATATATTATCGTCTTTAACTTAACATAGTTAATAGGTATCGTCCACATTCTCCGTAGACCATTATATTAGACGTACTGGGTTTCACACCAAGGAATCTTTTTCATGTATATACATGTACTTTTTCTTAAACATCAATTATTTCTAATCCCCAAACGTCTGTTCCATATAACAAAATTGGGCTTAATTTTGTATCGAAAATCTTAAAGAATGTATTATAGGATATATTTCCAAGACTTCCAATTAGGATCTTCTTAGCTTGTGCGGCAGCTTAATTAACATACATCTTCCATGACAATCTATTTGTAAACTATACACCTACGTAGTTATAGAACGATACAACATCTAATGAATGTCCATGATAAAACCATTTCTCCCTTCTAGCTAGTGTTCCACCATTTTTAAAAACAATAACTTTTGTCTTCTTCTTGTTGACGGAAAAATACCATTCTTTGCAATAATATTCAGCTGATTAAATTGCTTTTGTAGTCCAGGTATTGTGCTTGAAAACATTACTATATCATCGGCAAACAAAAGAAGAAATAATTTTATAGTTTCCGGGTGAAGTATCCGGGTGCCATCAGAACAGTTCTGCTGAATAGTGTTGAGCTAATTCATTGATAAAGAAGGAGAACAAAAACTTGCTTAGAATGTACCCTTGTTAACGCCAATATTGCTTTCAAAGATGTCAGAGACATTACCGTTATTTCGCTCACAAACCTTTACACTCTGATACATACAGCATATTAACTTTCATATTTTACTGCCAAGACATGTGCTTTGCAACGTGACCATAATTTATTTCTGCTAACATTAGAGAAATCTACAAACAAATGCGTATAATATACCACCCTTTTTTGCTAGGCACTTTTGTATTATTGTTTGCAACATAGATATATTAAATTAAATCTCTCTAAACATGGCACGCATCTTATTAAACTCTGGTAGTTAAAGGAGTGCGATCATCGTATTTGTTTGTTTGTTGTTTTACGCCGAACTCAGCAATATTCCAGCTATATGACGGCGGTCTCGAAATAATCGAGCCTGGACCAAACAATCCAGTGATTGATATCATGAGCATCGATCTACGTAATTGGGATACGATGACATGCATCAAACAAGTCAGCGAGTCTGTCCACCCGATACAATTAGTCGCCTCTTACGACAAGCATGGGCTGTTGAAGACCTATTATAACCAAGCAATAAAAAACAATTTGGGGAACTAAAGTTCATACAAAGGACATATTTGCTACTGCCCCGGACGAACCTTTCATTTTCCGACCCTGCATAAAATCGCATAACTCTATCACTAGCGCGTAATTCAAAACCATATATGTCGTTTGTTTGTTGTCGTTTGCTGAAATCTTCAGTCAATCAAACCTTGGCGGAAAGTGTTTTGTCGAAGGGCTGTACTAATTGTTGGTCTAACAACCCGGGGTCATAATATTAGCCACATATCTTGTTATACCTGGTGTCGTGTTTCTTGTTGCTCTAGCTGGTTCACGTCCGTGGATGTTGTGAATGTAAACGGCCACTACATTAGGCACATTAGGCCCCGGCCTGTCTGCGTGACACTATCTTGTCTTGTACATCTTGGTAATTTCTTTGCTCAGTGTACTCTAGTAGAGCGTTAAAGACGTGGAAACATTAGTTTGCACCCCCTCCCGAACCCCCCGAATAGGGATTATAAGTACCCGTCGTACGTGGAGTGAGTGAGTGAGTGAGTGAGTTTTGGTTAACGTCGCTTTGGACAGTATTCCTGTTATATCATGGCGTATCAGCTTGATGAAGAAGGAAAGCCGAGAGAGATGCAGGTCTCAGACGTTTACCACCAAACTTGGTGAAACCCACGAGCACGGGTATGGTGCTGACAAACCTAGAAACATAATCGGGGCGAACCGGGATTCGATCCCACGATCATAGGTTTCCGGCGTGCCCAAGGTCCGCAGCTCTGCACAGCGAATTGTGGGGCTTCAGACGACTGGGCCACCCGTACTCCCGATACTTGAATATCGGTTGGATATGTGGACTTTCTACTCGAGCTGCACTCGTTTGCTTACTGTCGTTATTCTAAAGCCTGCACAAGGTGAACCAATCAGCACTATTCCAGTGAAATGACATCCTACAAGTAACCTTGTCTGACCATACAAACCAGTGGTTGATAACACGAGCACCGACCCATACCATCACTGTACAGCGACGCACAGCAAACAAGGCGAACTAACTGATCCTTCATTTGGCTCTTACGAGAATGACAATGTTACCAGGGATCTATTCTGTCCCTTGCTTTTCATAGACACAAGCAATTATCGGGTATTGAAATGTCATTTTTTCCCCATCGGCAGGTTTTGGCGGTTGCCTGTTTATCCGTAAAAGAAACGGTCGCCTGGTTACAACTGTCTTTGGAATCCGATCAGAAAAAAAAACACTTATGGGTTCGAATCTCAGGTTCTATCCTGCCATGGCCCGTTTTCTCAAAAGAAATGTTTATTTGTTCCGTACATATTGTGGATGCGCAGAGTTGTGCCCCTAAGGTGTATCCGGATTTAATAATCGGAAGTTCGAATCCCAGATTTACCTGTGTTTGTTTCTCAGCTCCATACTCATCCAGGTTGCTTTCTCCAAAGAGGTAACGACATGTTGAATTTTTTTTACAGATTTAAACTGATCAACTTAAACTTGATACAATTTAAGTACTGTTCAGTAAAACCTTACACACAACGCACTCATGCCATCCTCCAAGCCCATAGCCAGATATGGTACAACAGCACAGCACTACTTTGAGGTATTGATGGGATTCGGAAGACTGAAATTACATATGTTCCAATGTAATGTCTAAAGAGTATATATTGTCCAAACATTTGTTCTGACACTGATGTGTTTTCTTTGCAGCTCTGTCCGTGAGGTTCCTGACAAAACGCTTTATCGGGGAGTACGACCAGTCTATGGGTAAGTAGCATCCTCTCATCCTTGTCCTCTATACTGAAACTCACCGGAACCCCGATAGTCCGGAACCCCTACATACCGGACAGTACATGTATATGCTTGTGACGTCCATATACTCAGTACCCACGACTAAATAGATTTGCATGTGATTTGTTTGGTTATCCAAGTTTTTAGAAACCGAAAAGGAATTAGGCCACACCCACTAGCGGACTGGTGTTTCGATCCTGCACGCCTGATAAAAAGCATGTTGTGTTCTTTATCGGAGGTCAAAGGTTAAGCCAGTAACTGAAACTGATGTATCGAGAAATAAAGCGTTATTTCTTTCACGTGATGTATTTTCTCACGGATTTTTTGCCGATACACCAATCAGACGGTTCAATAACACACAGATCTGGAGTTGGGAGGCGTGCGTGGGGAGAAAAAGACGAAGCATGATAAGGGCTTTGTTTGGCCGACTGGAATTGCATAATTAAAAACAATGAGCAAAACCTTTGAAAATAGTAAGACGACAATCAAGTTGTATTTTCAAGAAAGTTTTTAAAATAATAATCTTGTTATTGTATTGACTATGTAAGTCAGCGTGTATGTAGAGACGAAAGGTCACCACGGTTACTCAAGGAAGGATGTTAGGATGAAGATAGAGACTAACAACTCATAATTGATGTGGCATGGCCGCCGCAGAGATATATCCCGATAGCACGTGTTTATTGGTATATGACCGGTTCTTACTAGTCAGGTATAACAGTATCCAGACGGGGGATCATAGTGTTCTGTGACCTTGATGCACTAGACGTACTAGGATTGGTTAATCAAAATATACCGTGTGAGTTAGCACAGTCCCCAGTGAACCCATGCTTGTAAGAGTCGACCCAATCTCATGTGTGACGTCACTACAACACACTACCACTACGACACACTACCACCTCAACACACTACCACAACTACACACTACCACTACGACACACTGCCACTACAACACACTACCACTACAACACACTACCACTACGACACACTGCCACTACAACACACTACGACACACTGCCACTACAACACACTGCCACTACAACACACTACCACTACGACACACTGCCACTACAACACACTACCACTACGACACACTACCACCTCAACACACTGCCACTACAACACACTGCCACTACGACACACTACCACTACGACACACTACCACTACGACACACTTTCACAACTACACACTACCACCTCAACACACTACCACTACGACACACTGCCACTACGACACACTACCACTACGACACACTACCACTACGACACACTACCACAACTACACACTACCACTACGACACACTACCACCTCAACACACTACCACTACGACACACTGCAACTACGACACACTACCACTACGACACACTACCACTACGACACACTACCACAACTACACACTACCACTACGACACACTACCACCTCAACACACTACCACAACTACATACTACCACTACGACACACTGCCACTACGACACGCTGCCACTACAACACACTACCACTACGACACACTACCACCTCAACACACTTTCACAACTACACACTACCACTACGACACACTGCCACAACTACACACTACCACTACGACACACTACCACCTCAACACACTTTCACAACTACACACTACCACTACGACACACTGCCACTACGACACACTACCACTACGACACACTACCACTACGACACACTACCACCTCAACACACTACCACAACTACATACTACCACTACGACACACTGCCACTACGACACACTACCACTACGACACACTACCACTACGACACACTACCACAACTACACACTACCACAACTACACACTACCACCTCAACACACTACCACAACTACATACTACCACTACGACACACTGCCACTACGACACACTGCCACTACAACACACTGCCACTACGACACACTACCACTACGACACACTACCACAACTTCACACTACCACTACGACACACTACCACCTCAACACACTACCACTACGACACACTGCCACTACAACACACTACCACTACGACACACTACCACTACGACACACTACCACTACGACACACTGCCACTACGACACACTACCACTACGACACACTACCACTACGACACACTACCACTACAACACACTGCCACCACAGCACACTAACACTACGACCCTTTATGATAATAAATCTTCAGCGCAACCAGACTATAGCAATCTATCTACTATCTACAGATTAACTAGTCATATGAGAAACATCAAGTGTTCTTGAACTTCTTTTGAGTAGCATATATTTAAACAATATACATGGGGACATACATAGCGTGGGTCACTACTAAAAGTTATCAACCGCTGGCTTGGCTTCTCTAGACGCATAAATCAAGTCGCATTGAAGTTGCTCTTAAGTTGCCGGATGCTGGGTTTACAACGCTCTCCTGAAGACCATTAAACCAGTATTCGTATTTTCTATCTTGGATCTTAAATTTAATAAGATGCCTAATAAGGGTTGGCAGTTATTACCTTAAATTACTCGAGCTATGCATACCAATTCATGCAACAAAAATATGTTAAAGAAAACGCACCCTCCAACACCCCGCCGTAAACGTTGACAACGTCGCCAGACAGAAGAATTCCAAGAATTCATCAGCCGAACAACCCCGACTCAGGTTTAGCTCAACATGCCAGATCATAATTAGGCCTGAGGCGTCTTTGATGTAGGTAGCTTTCGGCTGTCAGTTTCTTCAGACATTACTGTTTGATACTTACATGGTGTTGTCGGTGCGGTCGGGTAGCCTAGTCGTTAAAGCGTTCGCTCGTCACGCCGAAGACCCGGGTTCGATTCCCGACATGGGTACAATGTGTGAAGCCCATTTCTGGGTCCAGCAATATCACGGCGGGGAATATTGCTAAAAGCGGCGTAAAACCATACTCACTCACTCACAAGGTGTTGTCTATCGTAATAGTTATTACTGCTCAACTGAGTTTTTGATCGCGCTGTGTTCTCGTTACAGATGTTCTTGAGTTCTATCTCTTCATGTCCGTTATGATAGGTCTTATTTCATGGATTTATGGCAAAAGTAACCTTTCCGTGTAATTTCTTTGTTGAAGATGTTATCGTGATTTCTATAAATTTCCCTTGGCAGCTTGGTTCAAAGTTCACATGGGCAGGTCCTGTATACTACCCACAACAAGTTAAAGTACACCGACAAGCATAAGGTTGTAGCATTACCCACAACGGATTACAGATTATTTTTAGTCATATGATAAAAATCGAGTGCTCCTTAACTTCCTTTGAGTAGTATACATGGTCGGACGTCATTCAGCCGTCTTTGAGTCCCGTCCAACATGACTGAGGGCAGGTCACTGCATGGTTCTGATGCCATTCTGCTGGAGGAAGTATCTTGTTGCTCTCGCAGTGTGGGCACGGGCGTTATCATGCTGAAACTCGTGGTTGCGGCGACGTGCCAAATGAGGTATGGCGTGTGGTCTCAAGACTTGATCATTGTACCGAACTGCTATGGCACCATTGCCTCTCCATTGACCGATGTTCTGGAAGACCACAGGGCCGACCCTCTGTGCAAGACCAATTCCACCCCACACCATGATGCTCGGACCACCCCACGAGTCTCTCTAAACAACACAAGCATACGTATAACGTTCCCCACGGCGTCGCAAGACTTTCTCTCTCTGCCATCTGCTGTTGAGATATAGTAACGGCTCTCTTCAGAGAAGAGGACTCTTCTCCACTGCTGGTGGTGCCAATGCTGGTGCTGTGTTGCCCACTGAAGACAGTGGCGGCGATGACGTGGTGTCAGAATGGGTCCTCGGTGTGGCCTGTGACAGTGGAGGTGCCTGCTCGTCAATCATCGACGCACGATGTCCGCACTAATGTGTCGCTGGTGTGTCCCCATGGTCTGTGGAGCAGTTTCCGCAGCAGTAACAAAGCGATCTTGAGGATGCTGTCGGGTGGTGACCCTTGGTCTTCCACTACGTGGTCGGTCATCTGTAGTATTGGTGGTCTGGTACCGTTGCTGGAGCCTGTATATGGTCCTTACGTGGACTTGATAATTATGCATTGGCTAATTGCCGGGCGATTAGTCCAGCTTGGGCTTGACCAAGGGCTTGGTGTCGCTGATTTCTTGTCAATCTTGGCATGTGGTAGCAATTCAATAACGAATGAATGTTATCGGATCTGGATGGATTTTTATAGGGCAAGAAATGGGGGAACGCCTGTGCATTTCAATTTGCCCGGAACGCACGTGCATCGGGTTACCATGGGCGTTGCCGTGATCCGTTTGGGCGATCGGTTTTATTGTCATCTGTTGGTTTTTTGGTCATCAAATTTCATTTTTCCAGACAAGGTAATGTTAAATTTGAGGAACTTTGACAAAAATTACCCCGATATTTAAATGACAACTTTTCATGCAGTGTAACTTGGGGTGACGTTTCTTTTGCGGTACAGTATATGTAGGTAATACTGTACAGACAATGCTGAAATAATCATGCCCTCACTCGAAAACTCATCCTTTTCACTCATTCAACAATTCATTTGTAGTTGGTCATTTTGTAAGTTGCAGAATGAAAGTGAGGATAGTTGTCACTTGAACTTGGCTGATAATGTTAGCAACAATATGTCTGCAAAAATAGATTTTCCGGAACTTTGAAAATTGACATTTCCAACGCACCAGTAATGGCCTTTAATTGTACCGACTGCTTCCTAATTAGGGCTATAACATATCTATAACCTAATATTAGATAAATGTGAATATTGACTTGCTCGTGCAGTACACATCTGTATGATAGATAGTGTGAGATACGGACATGCGCGGAGCAAAAACCTCACCACTCCATGCAGGGCACCATGTCTCTTCTTGCAGGGGAGCGAATTCAGGAGCATTCCATTGACAGCTGCAGCGATCAGCCCGATACCTCCATGGCTATCCATCCCAATTTTAAAAAAAACCCTCAAGGAAACAAAAAACATTATTACATGCCAATCATGCCAGACTGAGTGTTAGACTAGGTGAAACTGATTGTTGCATGTAAACGTGTTTGAACTTTCAGCTTGGGTAATTAGAATGGCGGAGTATTCCCAGGCTTCAGGGGAATTGAGAGTTAAACTTGTCTCACGTCAGTCAGCAATATTTCAGTTCTGTTACCGCGGCCCGAACATAACCTGGAACTTACGGTCAAACCAGTGGTCGAAAGCATGATCAATCCGTGTACGATGACATGATCAGCATGGGTGACACATTGTGAACACACGTGTCTCACATGTATCGGTTTTTAAGACAAGCGTGGACCCCCTCGTTTTACCGATACATGATATCCAGTTTCCACCCTTGCCGAACTAAGCTTGAATTTCGGGGCTCGTTCGTAGCGCCACCAGTGGCGATTTCAGGTTATGTCCCTTCTAAGTCTCTCCTATTGACCAATCAGATTCCACCTCTCATGTCGCTTTTATTTGCTTCAAACAAAATGGCGGCGCCATGTCAATACGATCTGATCAATATTCAAGGTCTTTTTTGTGATAAAAATAACAGAAAACATCTGTCCACACCCAGTTGACGGTACACATGCTCTGCAAATCCTGCAATTGACCGATATCTTCACGGCAGACGGCTTGGTGTTGATTTTGATTGGACTTTGCATAGACTTGTTAGTCCAGCCTAAACTCCATAATTCCAGCCAAGTTCGGCAAGGGTGGAAACTGGACTTTCATAATCAGTTAACTCCCTTGCCTCGGGAATATGTTCCATCGATAATATACACCTGGGTACCACCGATTATAGCGTTAGGGACCGACCATTTGATATTCTGACGGGTCTGGGATTTTGTCTGGAGATAAGATATTTTGTCAGCTACTGTTACAAAACCTGATATTTAAAGCTATAAGCCTGAAACACGTTGCAACAATGCTATTTTGTGACGGGCAATTGCTCAATTGCCCAACAGCATAAATATTTATTTCATATTTTTCGGTAACAATTTATTTATCGATAAAATCCGAGCCCATCAAGCTGACCCGGTCGTGTTCCCCGCCATGCTGTTATTGGAATTAATAAAAGCGGGGTAAAACCGCCTTCACTCACTCACTCACTCACTCACTTTATCACCTCATTTTGTTCTGCAGAGACCAAGTACAAGTGCACCACAAGCATAGAGGGGGAATCTATAGCATTTGAATTGCTGGACACTCGATCATTTGTAAGTAGACTTAATCGTTATCTATACAATGTAATACATAGGCAGTAAACAAAAGTTGAGAACAGAATTATTGTGTGGGAAACAAAAGATGACAAGATGACCAAAATTTGTAGAATTTATTGATACTATTACTTATGAGAGCTGTGTATTTTGTAAGCATGTAATATTTGTAAATCTCTTTTTTTTTAAACTTGAAGTTCGGTACCTTTTTTGAATATCTATATTTAAAAATTACGAATTTGCAAAGTAAGATAATTACATTTATAGGATCGTTGTGTCGCTGATAGCCACTCTTCCAGTTTTTGCCATATGGGTTTCACTTTGCTACAGTCTGCCAGTGCATGGGAAACAGATTCTATACTATTTGAACAAAAACTACATGTCTCCGAATCAACTAGTCGCATTTTAAAAAGTCTTCTGTTTGTTGGTAGTATATGATGTAATATTTTATACTGGAACCATTGTAGTTCAGTATCTTTTGTGCATCGGAATGGTATATGGTTATAAGTGTATTCTTGGTACCATGTTTAAATGATTGTGTGTGTTGTATACCCAGAACGATGACCACGGCGCGAGAGAGGAGGTACTACGTTGGGCGGATGGATTTATGTTGGTGTACTCCGTGACCAGCCGGAAGAGCTATGATATACTACAGGATGTGCGGAAGAAGATAGAAGAAGCCAAGAAAGCCGCTCACGCCCCTGTCATCGTTGTCGGGAACAAAGCTGACCTTGCTCACGTGCGCCAGGTCACACAAGATGAAGGTCGGTGAAACGATTATATATTATATATCCCGATACTGAGTGAGTGAGTGAGTGAGTTAGGTTTAACGCCGCTTTTAACAGTATTCCAGTTATATCGCGGCATGTCAGCTTAATGTGGGAGGAAAGCCCGAAGTGATGCAGGTCTCAGACGTGTACCACTTCGGCGAAACCCACGAGCACGGGTATGGTGCTGACAAACCTAGAAACATAATCAGGGCGAACCTGGGATTCGACCCACAGTCATAGGTTTCTGGCGTGCCCAAGGGACGCAACTCTGCACAGCGAACCGCGGCGCCTTAGACGACTGGGCCACCCGTGCCCCCTCCCGATACTGCACCGTCAGTCGCCATAGTTCGTATCGTACGTAAAGTACGTATCGTACGTATAGTGGGTCATGGCAAATACTGGAAACAATACGGTCGATGGATCTGGCCTTCAGATCATGTTTCCTTGTAAGACGAATAACCTCGTCCTCCTGATAGATCGGTTGTCCATAGTGTCTGTAGGGACTATGTTTGTCGTAAGAGGCGACTAGGCTTGTAAGAGACGACTCAGGTATCGGGTGGTCAGGCTCGCTCACTTGGTTCATACATGTCATTGTATCCACATTGTGTAGACCGATGATCATGATGTCAATCACTGGATTTTCTGGTCCAGACTCGATTATTTACAGTCCGCCGTCATATAGCTGTAATATTGCAGAGTGCGGCGTTGAACAACAAACAAAAAATGAAACACAATGTCGGTGTGTAAGACCACCACACGGCCGTGACGATGTTATCGGTCTGCTGCAGCGTGGATCCATGTCACTGATCAGTTATTGGTCACATGGTGCATGTGTGATATTGTCGAGTTTTCATCATATTCCATGAAGAAAAATACCCTGGACCCATTCGCCAACGTAGCCTCTTCCGGAAAGTGACGTTACCATCTTATGATCGCCTTAAGTAACCTCACACAGAATTTCTGTCGCTCATAGTCGTAATTTGAGTGGATAGCAATTTTAAGCTTCTCCTATTTCGAATCGGACTGAAAAGGAAGTGTCCGTGGGGAATGGGTCAAGGGTATTTATCTTCACAGAGATAATCGAGGATGCAGATTTTAATCCACCCATGTTCATCTGATGTTCCAGGACAGAAGCTTGCCGCCGAGTTCAGCTGTGCCTTCCTGGAGGTGTCAGCATCCGAAGACGTCCTCAAGGTCATCGAAGCCTTCCATACCCTGTGTAAGGAGATCATCGAGTTCAAGCGGCGGTCCAGGACATTCTTAGACAGAGTGTTTGGCCTCAAGAAATCATGACGTCACCAATGTGTGTAGAAACATCATTCCATTAGCGGCTACGTCGTGACGACCAGATGCCGGGCACGTGCAATTAGCGGAATATGTGACATCGTGGGTACTGTGTACAACATAATCTGTCCTAGGGTCTATAGTGTGTCGGTTTTACAACCTTACCAATATCCCAGTCTTGACTTTAGATTTGGAGTCATAAACAGATAGTCGTGTCCGAAACCGTCCATGTTTGCTACCACCAATGATCCAGTATGCGGACTTGGCAAGGTCAGTTGTGCACCACTGACCACCAACAGATATACTGTAATCACAGAGACCGCCTACAGATACAGTGTATAACATGCAGACCGCCTACAGATACAGTGTATAACATGCAGACCGCCTACAGATACAGTGTATAACATGCAGACCGCCTACAGATACAGAGTATCACATGCAGACCGCCTACAGATACAGTGTATAACATGCAGACCGCCTACAGATACAGTGTATCACATGCAGACCGCCTACAGATACAGTGTATAACATGCAGACCGCCTACAGATACAGTGTATAACATGCAGACCGCCTACAGATACAGTGTATCACATGCAGACCGCCTACAGATACAGTGTATCACATGCAGACCGCATACAGATACAGTGTATCACATGCAGACCGCCTACAGATACAGTGTATAACATGCAGTCTACCAACAGGTACGATGGTGTATATCCATGAACACATCTTCCCGAGGCAAGGGAGTTAACTGTCCAGTTTCAACCTTGCCGAACGCAATTTTCATTGGACTATTCATAGACTCGTTAGTCCAGCCTTAATATAACTGTAAAACCCACCAAGTTGGACAAGGCTGGAAACACGACTCACTCGCCTCTCTAAGATGCCATGTACGGTCCACCAACATACGATGGAAGGCCCACCGACAGCTAGGGTGTATCTCCATGTACAGTCTACATAAGGAACAATATTTACTGGGTGGGTGAACCCACAATCAAATGGATTATTTGTTCCACCGCAATCGACGCTACTTTTTGTTGTGGTAACTTTATAACGTGAATACACGTTCCCCCGGAAATATTTCACATCACAAGGTCCGAGAAAGCACAAAAACCTCGAGTGACTAAATATACTACTCAAAAGAAGTTAAAGAACAACCACAGTTGGAAGGCTGCGTGTTGCAACACCCACCAGCCGTGGCAGATTAACTATAGTCATGAAAAATAAGGGTGTTCTTTAACTTCCGTTCAGCAGTATATATGTAGTGCATGCAGCTTACTGGTAGTTCATGACAGGTCGTTGCAGTTGGCCACACATTATAACATGGATATGTACTCGTGATAAATAACGAGTTTGTTATTTTGAGACAAATCTCCGCCAGATGGGCCACAATGGTGGGGGAACAACTGATGTAGGTGCGGTCAATCACCGTGCAACACAGACATCGTGCGATGGAATGTGTGTGTGTGTGTGTGTGTGTACACGGTATTGTACAACTCGCTGGGTGGTCTGCGGTCCACAGTCGTTTGCCTCGTGTGTCAGGTTTTCACAGCGTATGTACGATCATGCTATAACTGTCCTCACAGTTCGGGTGGACGGCCATGTCTAAGTATTACTAGCGTGGGTGGACGTCCATTTTTCAAGGAGTTCAAGCGTGGGTGGACGGCCATGTCCAAGGATAACTAGCGTGGGTGGACGGCCATGTCCAAGGATTACCAGCCTGGGTGGACGGCCATGTTCAAGGATTACTGGCGTGGGTGGACGGTAATATTTCTAGGAGTACTAGCGTGGGTGGACGGCCATGTCCAAGGATTACTAGCGTGAGTGGACGGCCATGTCCAAAGAGTACTAGCGTGGGTGGACGGCCATGTCCAAGGATTACTAGCCTGGGTGGACGGCCATGTCCAAGGATTACTAGCCTGGGTGGACGGCCATGTCCAAGGATTACTGTTTCAAGATGATTGAAAACCATATTCAGTTCTCACCTCCTTGTCTTAGGACTGTATTCGGTCCTGAATAACTGTGTACTGTCTTCTAAACACAAGCATTGTTAGTGGGTTTGATTCTGTGTATTGAAAGTGCCATGTGAAGTTTAATCATGTTTAATGAAGTTCAGTTATGTTTAATGAGTTCTTATCCACACATTATGAAGGACCTTTTGCAAAAGAGTGACTTCCGAATATAGCCCCTGGATAACGCCAGTCCCTGCTGTGGAGTGTAACAATGAATATATATACAACTTCTCCTTCCCATCCTCGATTGTCAAGTGTATAATATCTCCAAAACTATTACGACACAAACCCTGGACCCATTCGCCACCATAAATATAACATACCTCTTCTGAACACGTGTTCATCATACGAACGAACCCACGATGTATTTAATAAACATGTATACACTTGAAAATTGGATTTTCCCCAAATCAAAAGGCATCAAAACGTTACTAGGCTGAAAACAGTTGGCGAAACATTGCAAACAAACCTAAGGTCCAAAACACAACTTTGATACACGTATTAAATACATCGCCATCGAAAAACCATTTCTTGTTAGTTTCAAGAGCCTAAAAGCCGTCAAATATGTCTTTTGCCCAGCAGTTTTCATTGATGAGACGTCCAATTTTAGCACAGTGTCGACTATAGGTATGGCGGCGATGGGCCAAGGGTGTTTATTAGAACTGATATATGGTACACTGGATCATCGAGGAAGGCTCGTCCCCGGATCCTGTGTTATAAGGGGACAGTCGGTGTGAAGTTTGTGACGGGCAACTGTGTCAAAGAAACAAAGAGTTTTAAAGAAAGGACTGGACTAGTTTACTAGTACTTGTTTCATTAAACACTTGAACACATTCCGTCTTCTGTGTTGTCTTGTTGTGCTACATGGTCCTAGCTTGTCGCAGTGTTGGAAGCAAGAGGTGGGGTAGCCTACTGGTTAAAGCGTTCGCTCGTCACGCCGAAGACCCGGGTTCGATCCCACATGGGTACAATGTGTGAAGCCTGTTTCTGGTGTCCCCTGCCGTGAAATGGCTGGAATATTGTTAAAAGGGTCGCAAAACCATACTCACTCACTCACTCAGTGCTGGGACCGACTCCGTGGTCTAGTGGTAGAGCGTCCGCCAGGAGAGCGGAAGGTCCGGGGTTCGACCCCCGGCCGCGTCATACCCAAAGACGTTAAAAAATGGTACTTGTTACCCTGTCTGGCGTTCGACATTAAGGGGCTAAAGCAAGGACTCGTCGGCTCGGCTCCTGGTTTAGGGCGTCCTTTAAGAACGAATGTTCAGGCTGGGGGACTCCAATGATTGTGTGGATCGTGGCTCACAACAGTAGACCCCCGCCAGAGGCAACTGAAGGACGTGTACAAAATGGTGGCGAAGTTAAGACTCGTGCAACCACTCTAAGATTATATTGTATCCGTGAAACAATGAGAGTCTGACTGTATGCTGCCTCCTGCTTCATCAAGACCTTTAAGGATGACGTATTGCACCTAAACTAGGCACTTTCTATGCTAGTTCTGATACTCGTGATTTCTCTGAGGTAATAGAGCTCGTGCACCATTCACTTCCTGTCTGTCGACCCGTGAAGATCCGGGGTAGAATAGGTCTTCAGCAACTCATGCTTGCCGTAAAAGACGACACTTGTCGTAAGAGGCGACTAACGGGATCGAGTGGTCAGGCTCGCTGACTGGGTTGATGTATGTCATTGATCCCAATTGCGTGGATCGATGCTCATATAGCTAGAATATTGCTGAGTCCGGCGTTAAACAAACAAACAAACAAACAAAACTTCCTGTCTGTCACAATGTGGATATACATACGGATGATGTGATGAAGTCATTTATTCAAATCAACACAGGGCCAAATCATTTACTTGGCATTGTAGTGAGAGAGAAGTTAAGGACACCCACTTCATTGATATCATTGTTAATCTGTCAAGGCATGACGGAAAAACTATAGCAATGGCACAACAAATTAATTTTATGTATAGTAACAGTAATAACGTCTTTAAGGTCACTTGGAGTAGTATACTCTGAGTAGTATGTACACCCTATGCCACTGTCTATGTGTGGGCGACGTATTTCGTGCACAGTTTTTAGTACTAGAGATTGGAGTCTCTTATGTATTACAGATAACTTGTACTGCTAATGGGTTGCTTCAAAGAACCCATAATAGACGTAAAGTTTAGGGTAATTTGTCTAAATAGTTTGGAGAAAATGTTTATTGCAGGAACATACAGACATGAAGAGCGTATGAAAATAGATCAGGTTCGGCACAATAAACAAGTGAGCCAATATGGTTTACGTTGTTTGTCAGCAATGTTCAGATGGCTTGTAATGGAGTCCAGGACAGGCAAAGTAATGGTTTTTAGCCCGAGGAACGATCCATGGATACGATGACACATCGAGTCAGGGCACCACTAGTTCCCCCTCGTATTAGCAGACGCTACTGAGTAATGGTGCCACCCTCCTTCCCCATTCGCCCCACCCCCCTCCTCGTCTCAGCAGACGCTACTGAGTGATGGTGCCCCACCCTCCTCCCCCAGTGGTTTCTCCCACGTCTTACGCTACTGAGTAATGGTGCCACCCTCCTTCCCCAACCCCCCCCCTCCTCGTCTCAGCAGACGCTACTAAGTAATGGTGCCAAACCCCCCCCCCCCCCCTCCTCGTCTCAGCAGACGCTACTAAGTAATGGTGCCCCACCCTCCTTTCCCAACTCTGCCGGTACATGTCTCCCACTTCATCAGCATAAACCAGACAGTAGTTTTCCGCCAATATATTCCCACCGCCAAAAGAAACGCGAACCATAGAAACATAGAAAAGTATGTACAACGTGATGTACAAATGTGTACCACTAAATGACAAAACTAACAATCAGTCAAGTGTTACCTCAGAGTGTCTTTATTCTTATCACCATATGCTGCACGTGGTTTCCAGTTATGGATATATGACGTCACATGTGATGTCTTCATGGGCATCGGTTCACACAACATTCCAGTATGTTCGTTTGTGCATCGAACCAATATAATATCTCTTGAATATGAGTAATTCTTAATATTTTAACCAACATGTATGGTATTCGCGTTTCTTTTGTCGGTGAGTATATAATTACAGGAGTTGAGTGAATGAGTTGGGTTTAACGCCGCTTTTAACAGTATTGCAGTTATATCGCGGCGTGTCAGCTTAATGTAGGAGGAAAGCCCGAAGTGATGCAGGTTTCGGTGAAACCCACGATCACGGGTATGGTGCTGACAAACCTAGAAACATAATCGGGGCGAACCGGGATTCGAACCCACAATCATAGGTTTCTGGCGTGCCCAAGGGACGCCACTCTGCACAGCATATTGCGGCGCCTTAGACGACTGGGCCACCCGTGCCCCCTTACAGGATTTGAAATGGGCGAAGTAGGTGTATGTAAATTCACCATCTCGTCTTTCATTTATTCTGTGAATAATTCAGCTCATCTATACTATGATGTTTGTTTGTTTGGTCGTTGTTTACTAGCTATATTCCAGCCATATATACGGTGCCAAATTCAATGTCGTAGTGTTGTAGTTTGTAGTTGGTTGTTAACGCCGCACTCAGCAATATTCCATCCATATGACGGCGGTCTGTAAATAACCGAGTCTGGACCAGACAATCCAGTGATTGACATCATGAGCATCGGTCCACTCATTTGGGACACGATGACATGCATCAACCAAGTCAGCGAGCATGACCACATGATCCCGTTAGTTGACTCTTACGACAAGCATAGTCGCCTTTTACAGCAAGCATGGGTTGATGAAGACCTATTCTAACCCGGATCTTTACGGGTTCATACTATGAACCAGGGATGGGGGATGTTGATGGAGGAGGAGAGGTGGCTGGACTCAGTGACATAGTTAACACACGAGTGAGTGAGTAAGTTGATAAGGTCGCTTTGAACATTTCTATCGTAATGTCACATGCAGTGCCGTAGTCAGCCGGGGGGCAGGGGGTGGGGGTGAGATTTTTTTTTATTTATAGAAAACAGTTTTATTTGAATCAAGTTGGGGACAAGTGATACTTGTACAAATATTTGCTCCTCCCCCGGGCCAGCCCCGTCAAAAAAAATTGACGACGGCCTTGCTATGAATACACCCAAACCTTTCCACTGGTTGTTATACGAGTTCAGACATATCCATGGGTCGAGTTGACTGTCTCGGCCTGTTAACACAACTTATGCAAATGTATTTCCGTGTAAAAAGGTTTGACTGTATTTGGATAGAAATGGTTTGGGAATGCGAGGGTACAGTAACAGTAGCCACCGCCGTTATCATATCGAGTGTTTATCAGGTGCACGTTCATCATACCTGGTCTTTATTAGATGTTTTTGGCCGCATACAAAACAAACGAATACTCAGGTGTGATTACGCCCAATCTAATTTAAATCAGATGTTTCACTCCGATACGATACCTCTGTGTGTGCAGAATCTCTCTGGTTGCAGAAACTCTATTTTGGCACGCAGAGAGGTATCCTAACATCTGATTTTAATGAGATTTGTTTTTGGCCAAAAATGCTGAAAAAACGACCATATGTTTATCATACTGATCTGCTTGTTAATGTTGAAACTTGAACCACATGTACATATCCCCGAATCGCATTGAGCGTATATGTCTGTACTTACCTACCCTTGAGTAGAAACAACAGCGTGCAACAAGAGAGAAAATCTTGATGGGAGGCATAACACAGTGCCAAATTCAATGTTGTAGTGTTGTAGTTTGGAGTTGGTTGTTAACGCCGCACTCAGCCCATAATGAGCATCGATCCACGCAATTGGGATACGATGACATGCATCAACCAAGTCAGCGAGCCTGATCACCTGATCCCGTTAGTCGCCTTTTACGGCAAACATGGGTTGCTGAAGACCTATTCTACCCCGGATCTTCACGGGTCCAATGTCGTGGTGAGTGACTTGGGTTTAACGCTGCTTAGCTTTGTTTGTTGTTTAACGCCGCACTCAGGAATATTCCAGCTATATGAGGGCGGTCTGTAAATAATCGAGTCTGGACCAGACAATCCACGCAATTGGGACACGATGACATGTATCAACTAGCGAGCCTGACCACCTGATACCGTTAGTCGCCTCTTACGACAACCACAGTGGCATTTTACAGCAAGCATGGGTTGCTGAAGACCTATTTTACCCCGGATCTTCACAGAAAGCTGCTTTGAACAGTATTCTAGTTATATCAGGCACGTCAGCTTAGTGTGGGAGGAAAGTCCCAAGTGATGCAGGGCTCAGACGTTTACCACTTAGGTGAAACCCATGAGCACGGGTATGGTGCTGACAAACCTAGAAACATAATCGGGGCGAACCGGGATTCGAACCCACAATCATAGGTTTCTGGCGTGACCAAAGGAATCGCGGCGCCTTAGACGATTGGGCCGCCTATGCCCCCTTACAGGATTTGAAATGGGCGAAGTAGGTGTATGTAAATTCACCATCTCGTCATTCATTTATTCTGTGAATAACTCATCTCATCTATACTATGATGTTTGTTTGGTTATTGTTTACTAGCTATATTCCAGCCATATATACGGTGCCAAATTCAATGTCGTAGTGTTGTAGTGTTGTAGTTGGTTGTTAACGCCGCACTCAGCAATATTCCAGCCATATGACGGCGGTCTGTAAATAACCGAGTCTGGGCCCGACAATCCAGTGATTGACATCATGAGCATCGGTCCACGCATTTGGGATACGATGACATGCATCAACCAAGTCAGCGAGCCTGACCACATGATCCCGTTAGTTGACTCTTACGACAAGCATAGTCGCCTTTTACAGCAAGCATGGGTTGCTGAAGACCTATTCTAACCCGGATCTTTACGGGTTCATACTATGAACCAGGGATGGGGGATGTTGATGGAGGAGGAGAGGTGGCTAGACTCAGTGACATAGTTAACACACGAGTGAGTGAGTAAGTTGATAAGGTCGCTTTGAACATTTCTATCGTAATGTCACATGCAGTGCCGTAGTCAGCCGGGGGGGCAGGGGGTGGGGGTGAGATTTTTTTTTATTTATAGAAAACAGTTTTATTTGAATCAAGTTGGGGACAAGTGATACTTGTACAAATATTTGCTTCCCCCCCCCGGGCCAGCCCCGTCAAAAAAAATTGACGACGGCCTTGCTATGAATACACCCATCGGTGTAAACATAATCGGGTTGAACTGGGATTCGAACCAACAATCCTGTTTCTGGCATGCCCAAGGAACGCCTTAGACGACTGGGCCACCCTTGCCCCCTTCAAAGTTGCATGTTGAATAGACAATATTTCTGTTCCAAATACAGAAATATTGATTCAAAACGCCTGCAATCACGTGGACCTATATGACAACGTCTTGTCTACCATGACCTTGTTATGTGACGCTGAGTCAATGAATTAAGTGCAGTCACAAATATGTCTCCCTTTAATTATTGTCACTTGGATTCAATGTGCATGAATACACTTATTATCGTGTATAAATAGACTCCATATATACAACATATTGCATGTCAAACCAAAAAATAAAAACACATTTTGAATCAATTGCCAGTGCTTTATTTCTCATTCACTAACACATAAGCCCATATGGATTTTCCTGGATGGAATACAAATAGAGCAATAGTGCAATTACCGAATGAAAAGATACAGGCACCAAATAAACTGCTAGGAAAAATAATATATATACACCTGAAAATTGGATTTGACCCAGATAACAAACGTTAACATAACGTTACAGTCCCCAAAACACTGCAAACTTAAGGTCCAAAACATAACTATGATACATCTATAAAATATACCATCATCGAAAAACCATTTTTTGTTAGTTTCATTTTTAGCCACCATCAAACATGGGTGTATACTTTATTTTGCCCACTGTGTTTTTGACCATTGACCACTCGATTGATGAGGAGTGGTAGATAAACATGTAGCAGCCTAACATGTAACCATGCATTGTTATGTCTTCCCACTAACCATACCCTGAGTGGCGTGGAATTGTTATACATGTTATGAATATATACGTAAAAGGTAAACCCTTATTCTGTCTGATGTGATAACTTTTCAGCTGTTAGGTGTTAACGCAGCACTCAGCAACATTCCAGCTATATGACGGCTGTCTGTAAATAATCAAGTCTGGACCAAACAATCCAGTGATTGATATCATGAGCATTGATCCATGCAATTTGGATGCGATGACATGTACCAACCAAGTCAGTGAGTCTGACCACCCGATCCCGTTTGCCACATCTTACGACAAGCATAGTCGAGGTTTACGAAAAAATTGACATTTGGCCCCAAACAGCCATTCCCTTAAATGCACGCTTATTAAGCTAGTATGAAAAGAAAGTTGGAGACGGATACGATCACTACCCAGACACAGCTATGCTAACAAATTGGTCCAGATGATAATCATAACAGGATGTAGATAATTCGTCCTGATGTCAACAAGGAGAAACTTGGGCCCTTGGGGTCATTGTCTGCACACATACTACAAGAATGTACCACAGAAACATATCTTGGTACAAATATTCACCAGAACACTCGAGTCTCTAGCACCCCTTTACATGGGATGTGTTATGAGATAGGCTATCTCAACTCTTTCAGCAAACACCTCAGGAAATACAATGTCCATCCAAGAATAGCTGGGGAATCACATGACCAAAGTATTTCTGAAGAGTTTGAGTTAAACAGTCAAACAACGATTTGATCTTGTTCAATCCCCTTAAGATGAAGTCTTCACCCTCTCACAGTCTCTTCTCCGATGAGTGTTGCTAGTTTTACAATAAGACACAATGGCTGCCATCATGACACAAGGGTGACGTGTTTGTCAACTGTGTCGTCAAAGAGGAGCACGCTCATGACGTCGTTGATGAAGAAGGGGTGATACTGACAGGCTCGGTTACAGTCGGGGCTGAAGTTCACCTCACAGATCTGGGGCTGCATGTACCGCTCGCCTGGAATCAAGCAAAAAAGAGGCCCTCAAAACAAGAACTATCGGAACTTACTTGGACAAACATCATGTGAACAGAAACAGTTGCGTAATCTTACAGTCCTTACATCGACATCTGTTCATTGGCAGAGACAGCGTAGCCGTGATACTTGTACAGATATATCCTCCATCTGTGATCAGGTGCCAATATGGTCACAAGTCAAGAAGAGTTACTTCCCTTGGATGAACATATCTAATAAGACCAGTACTTTCTGAAGTTTCTATTTAGCAACTGCTGGCATAGGCGGATCCAGAGGGATTGGGGTCCAGGTGATCCGGACCCCCTCATTATGAAAACCAAATGTAGCATGTTGCAGTCAGTAAAATTATCTGAGAGAGGATTTTGATATTTTGGACCCTTCCCTTCTAAAAATGCTGGATATCGACAGATCCTCTCACACTGAACATACTCAAGTTCTGAGAAACCAGTGACTGAAAGCATGAGCCACGATCCCCGCGGTCCTCTCAGGAAAACATCCAGTCCGTCCCGACACACACAATAACAACCTGGACCGATGTAGTCGACTCTTAACTCCATTTAGTTGCTGGCTACCTGATCTATCTAGGGTCCCCAAATATTGCTTTTGATAATCATATCTATTAAAATGCACATGTGAAAAGTACTGGCTGCTCATGGTGGTCATATTTGTCATGTTTTTAAAATTGAATTTTTTCATAATATATTTTCATATGATTTATGTGTACTTCTCCTGGAAGATTCTCAGGAAAGTCTTTTCCTTATATGTCAGGATCCTTTCTGTGGTCTTTTCCTTCTTCATAACACAACAAACCTTCATCAGTTTCACTGAGTCGTACTTCATGTTACATGTTTAGTAGTCCTCCCCTGATTCTGTGTGCATGCATACACACACACGAAAACACACACACACACAAACATACACTACACAGAGAGATGAATGCACACACACACACACAAGCGCACACACACACAGATGTATGCACCAACACTCACTCACACACATAAGTATGCACACATGCGCTCACACACAACAAATATGCACACACACTTACATAGGCAGGCACACAAACACGCCTACACACTACACAGACACACACACATGCCTACACACTACACAGACACACACACACTCATGCCTACACAGACACACAAATGCCTACACACTACACAGACACACACATGCCTACACACTACACACCCACCCACACATGCCTACAAACTACACACACACACACACACACTGACACACATGCCTACACACCAACCCACACATGCCTACACACTACACACACAGATGCCGACACACTACACAGACACACACCCGCACATGTCTACACACTACACAGACACACACACATGCCTACACACTACACACACACACCCACCAACACACAACACAGACACACACATACATGCCTACACACTACACAGACACCCACACACATGCCTACACAGACACACACACATGCCTACACACTACACAGACACCCACACACATGCCTACACAGACACACACATACATGCCTACACACTACACAGACACCCACACACATGCCTACACAGACACACACACATGCCTACACACTACACAGACACCCACACACATATGCCTACACACTACACAGATACACACACACTCACACACATGCCTACACCCACACACCCACCCATGCCTACACACTACACACATGCCTACACACTACACACACACAACACACACAGACACATGCCTACACACTACACACCCACACATGCCTACACAATACACAGACACACCCACCCACACACTCCATCACTCACACACACACACATACCCACACACTACACACCCACCCACCCACCCACACCCACACACCCACCCACACACACACACACACACACAGACAGACAGACACATGCCTACACACTACACACACACACACAAGCGCACGAAGGCAACAACTTACCTTTTTCGTTCTTGTCCCACTTGAGCATGAGGTCAATAGCATACATGGCCCGGGACTGGGGGGAGGGGCAGATGCCCTGGGGTGGGGGCAGGGCGGTGGCAGCCTCAAACAGCTCCCGGAACATGGTGAAGATATCTTTCTGCAACACACACAGTTCTGGGTCAGCTCACAGCAGGCACACAAGACTGTATACATTTGGACATAAACGTGTACTTATTCAGCATAAGGATTTTTCAAATACAAAGTTAGTAACACAGGACGGTAGCTCACCTGAATATACAGCCAACAGTTTAAAATATCAACAAAGACAGCCACTTAACAAGTGATGCTATCACTGTTATTATTCAAATACTGTCTGCATAATGACTGAGGGGAAACTTACACTAAACACAATATGAAGAAAACATGAAGTCATCATAAGGCCCAAGTTCAGCTCAAATCAAAGTCAAAATTTATACATATATATAGCAGAAAACTTACCATATATATCTTTCGCTCTTCAACTAAATTCACGTTTAAATCCTACATCAATCATGTGACAATTTTGAAATCCTACATCAGTCATGTGAAAATTTTGAAATCTTACATCAGTCATGTAACAATGTTCAAATCTTACATCAGTCATGTAACAATGTTCAAATCTTACATCAGTCATGTAACAATGTTCAAATCTTACATCAGTCATGTAACAATGTTCAAATCTTACATCAGTCATGTAACAATGTTCAAATCTTACATCAGTCATGTAACAATATTCAAATCCTACATCAGTCATGTAACAATGTTCAAATCTTACATCAGTCATGTAACAATGTTCAAATCCTACATCAGTCATGTAACAATGTTCAAATCCTACATCAGTCGTGTAACAATGTTCAAATCCTACATCAGTCATGTAACAATGTTCAAATCTTACATCAGTCATGTAACAATATTCAAATCCTACATCAGTCATGTAACAATGTTCAAATCTTACATCAGTCATGTAACAATGTTCAAATCCTACATCAGTCATGTAACAATGTTCAAATCTTACATCAGTCATGTAACAATGTTCAAATCTTACATCAGTCATGTAACAATGTTCAAATCTTACATCTGTCATGTAACAATGTTCAAATCCTACATCAGTCATGTAACAATGTTCAAATCTTACATCAGTCATGTTACAATGTTCAAATCTTACATCAGTCATGTAACAATGTTCAAATCTTACATCTATCATGTGACAATTTTGAAATCCTACATCAGTCATGTAACGATGTTCAAATCCTGAATGAATCCTGCATATTGAATCACACTCCACCAGGCTTACAGTGTGCATCTGGGGATCAGACTTGGGGAGTTTATCTGTGTGACATACATAGGCATTGTGTTGGACACAACAATAACACTGACACCACACATCGTCGGCCTCGTCACTCACCTCCACATCGGCCCAGCTGAAGTCAGGGTACTGCTTCTCAAACATCTTGATGTACTCATCGTAGTGAATCTGAAAACGTCATCACAATTAGCCAGGTTCTGATATGGAGGCCATCATGAGCATGCTCCAGTGTGACGTGCTGTTCAGACCCTAGCTGTGACGACTGATACACATTAGCATGACACACACTAAGATCACCTCTAGTCTGCAGATTGCAAAGTGTGTGTTTGTTGTTTACTTCTCTTAAGCTAGGTATCACCCAAATCATCACATCCTACACTGTGGATGGGGATAACTCTATATTCCATACACAGTATATACTTATTTGTTGGCTCAGAGTTATAGGGGTACTTCCCTGTGACAGGTTGAGTGAGGGTTTGTTTGTTTGTTTGTTTGTTTGTTTGTTTGTTGTCTAATGCCGCACTCAGCAATATTCCAGATTTATGATGGCGGTATGTAAATAATTGAGACTGGACCAGACAAAATCCAGTGATTGACATCATGAGCTTAAATCTATGCAATTGGGATACAATGACATGCATCAACCAATTCAGCGAGCCTGACCACCTGATCCTGTTAGTCGCCTCTTACAACAAGCATAGTCGCCTTTTACGACAAGCATGGGTTGCTGCAGACCTATTCTCTACTTGGAACATACGGGTCAGATTGGCAAAGAATTCATAACCTCAACCTATGTACATGAAACAACTGACACTGACTCTGACACACACTCTCCACACTCTCTGACTTTTCTCACTCTCCATATGACATCCCTCCACTTTTCTAAGAAAGATATGCTTATGAAACAATTATTGCCTTATTACCATCCTGTCTAGAGAAACATCTAATCAATGTCATCATTACCTTTCTGATAAGAATCATCAGTCGTCATGGCAGCAAAAGATATCAGACATGCATATACAATATCCAAATGTACATGTACATGTAACCATGGTTACCTGTTTGAGCGGGGACTCCTCCCGGTAGTTCATGACGGTGAAGTGTTTGTCGTAGTCATCGAAGTGGTCGAGGGAGTAGGGCCTGCAACAGACATGTCACAATGTCACTCCCCTGCATGTCAACATGACGACCATGCTTACTACCATGACTACAGTCACCACACATAAATCTGTTACACCTTAAAAAGCCAACATCTGCAGCGTGCAACGAGGACTACACAACAAAACACCCATCATTCAGCAGTGAATGGGTACCCGGTAGGACTACTAAAAACAAGGAGCTAGACCACTCATGCGTAGGACGGATCTTCAATGTAACCATAGCAACGGGTGTGAACGTGGACTTTTTACTCACTTGTTGGCGAACCGGAGCCAGAACACATTGTAGGCAAACAGTTTGAGCGGCTTGACGCTGGACAGCAGTACAATGTACCGGATGTCATACTTGACCAGCCCCACATCATCACGAGAAAACAACACCGGGTCCTCGATGTACTTACACACCACCTGCAACACCATACAGCGAAGTGAGGCCACACTACCGCCAACAATACTCCAGATATATCACAGCATTTGAAAAGATACTTTTCTAAAGCTAGGTATCACCCAAATCATCACATCCTACACTGTGGACGGGATAACTGTATATTCCATACCCAGTGTATACTTATTATTTGTTGGCTCAGACTTATAGGGGTACTTCCCTGTGACAGGTTGAGTGAGAGTTCGTTTGTTTGTTGTTTAATGCTGCACTCAGGAATATTCCAGCTATATGATGGCTGTCTGTAAATAATCGAGTCTGGACCAGACAAAATCCAGTGATTGACATCATGAGCTTCAACCTATGCAATTGGGATAGGATGACATGCATCAACCAAAATGGACTGAAGTTTAAGTGATTTTCATCATCATTTTTATATAATGTTCTTTTCTATAGGAACTGATTTTGGTTTTCTAGCTACGAATACCTGGGCCCACTTGCATAAAGTGATTTTAGTGCTAAGATGATCGTAACTCCCATACTGTAACATAGGCGTACAATGGTCATAGCACTAAAATCGCTTTGTGCAAGTGGGCCTTGGAATATTGGGGCTTAAAGCAACATTTAGTCACTCCCGGACTACCACAGCAGGGGACCAAAGGCTTCAGACATTTAGTGATTAATTGTTTGAAAGGCATTACTTAAAAGTTGACGGATGACAAAGTAGACACAATTTATGGATAACAACTTCTTTAATACTGTAAAGGTGACGTTTTCGGTATAGATCCTTATACTGCTTGACAACGTCGCCTTTACAGTATTAAAGAAGTTGTTATCCATAAATTGTGTCTGTCTGTGAAATTGTCCCTACCTTGGGTCCAGTGTCTGGAAGTTTGACGATGTGGTCCAGGTTGTCGGTGATGTCCATACCGAGCCCACGTGCCAGGTTCCATGGTTTACAGATGAACGTGTTATCGAGTCCCCTGAAGCACAGCAGATCTGAGAGTGACACACCAACAAACAGCCATGACAGACAGTAGAATACGGACAAGGGACTCACACTAGTCTTCAGGGAGGGGGGCCAGGAAAGAGTACTTTTCAAACATACATTTGTCTCGCTGAAAGGAGGACATGCACATGTTTCAGACCATCCAGCATTTCCAACGAACATTGATGTTTATTATGTGTTCCAGTACTTTTAGGACATAGTGTATTAATATAAAATATAATCCCAAGTCCCCTGCCCGACAAAACGTTTACCCTTAAGGAGCTGCCATTTGATTATCAGAAGGGGATAGGGGGTGAGGGATTAAATATTTTGAAATATAAAAAAATGGAAAGAACGGTCTGTATTCTTAGGACACTGTTAACAGTCTTCTGTACAGGATGGTCAGGTCACAAGTCAGGTCACAGGTCAGGTCACAAGTCAGGTCACATGTCAGGTCACAAGTCAGGTCACAGGTCAGGTCACAAGTCAGGTCACAGGTCAGGTCACAAGTCAGGTCACAGGTCAGGTCACATGTCAGGTCACATGTCAGGGCACATTATTTTTTTCCTTCCATGGAGGCATATGTAAAAACATATCTATAAAAGAGGCGCTTGATTATTTTGGGAAAAGAAACCTGCCACCTCCCACGAAAATCAAATGGTTGCACTCTAAGGACTTATGGCATAGAAACTTTAACTGCTTTAAACTTCTTTTTTGGTTTGGGAACAGACATACAACTAGCCATTCAGGAACAATGAAATATCATGTCTACTTTATTTATGACACATACATGCTATTCACTTTGTCTCTGACTGAATGTGACACCAAGGCCAGTGGAGTTACCTCCCTTCACTTACTGAGCTTCCCTCTGCTGGAAGTAGGACACAAACATCGGCAGCTCTGTCCTCAGGTTGTAGGTGACCGGCAGCCATTTTGGACTTGGTTGTGATGCATTCTGGGATTGTCCTTTCTTGGCTGCACGTCGTGAGACAATGGCAAGGAGGTCTTTGATTGTCACAGTCATCTCAAATGGGAACTGGTTCACAAACTTTTCTGGAAATTCTTCACTTAGTTCCCTGTGGAGAGGCAGCAACGAAGTTGCAACAATTAAATGGCCAACAAGATAATGAGAAGCAGTATGTATATATAAGTGAAATGAATGTAGCAGACATATCAATGATACCATATTTGTAACAATTGTTTGAGTTCTTCATCTCACTCTGTCCCAGGAGTCAGAAAGTCGACCTTACTTGAAGTCCTTATAATGTCGGTGTGTCCAGATGACGTCTGCCCGTGTGATGTCGTCCACCAGCTGGAAGCGCGGGTCAGTGAGATGGTCCTTCAACATTTTGCCATAGTCCATGTACACCTTCAGGATCCTGTCATGGGACACGGGCGGGAACTCCACATCCAGATCCGGCAAACTTTCATTCTGTCGGTAAGCCTTAGGAATAACACAAATAGGGTATAACACAAAACACCCAAACACGTTTTCTGATAAAATGTTCACAGCCTGTTCTAAAACTGGACTGGACAGTGTCATTTTAAGATTTGGCAATTAGCATTAAGTAATTTAGTTGAAAATATTTCACCAAATGAGTTAGTGATAGTGTCACTAGGTTTACCTACATCATATCATTGCACCTATAACATTCCGCAATGTATACATGTTAAGTATGCATCAAAGAATCGGAGGGGCAGGGGACCGGTCTAAATCTGCTCCCTCCCCTGCTGGTCCACCCTCCCTGGCTGGTCCCCCCTCTCCTGACAGGTCCCCCTCCCCTGCTGGTCCGCCCTCCCTGGCTGGTCCCCCCTCTCCTGACAGGTCCCCCCTTTCCTGACAGGTCCCCCTCCCCTGCTAGTCCCCCCTCCCCCCTGCTGGTCCCCCTCCCCTGCTGGTCCCCCTCCCCTGCTGGTCCCCCATCCCCTGCTGGTCCCCCCTCCCAGCTGGTGCCCCCTTCCCTGCTGGTCCCCCCTGTCCTGCTGGTACCCCTTCCCTGCTGGTCCCCCCTATCCTGCTGGTACCCCCTATGCTGCTGGTCCCCCCTCTCCTGCTGGTCCCCCTCCCCTGCTGGTGCCCCCTCCCCTGCTGCTCATCCCCATCCCATGACAGTTCCCCCTCCCCTTCTGGTCCCCCTCCCCTGCTCCCCATCCCATGACAGGTCCCCCCTCCCCTGCTGGTCCCCCCTCTTCTGCTGGTCCCCCTCCCCTGCTCCTCATCCCCATCCCATGACAGGTCCACCTCCCCTTCTGGTCCCCCCTCCCCTGCTGGTCCCCCCATCCCTGCTAGATCCCCCTCCCTTGCTGGTCCCCCCTCCCCTGCTGGTTCCCGTACCACCCTGTGAGCAGGTTACCTGGAAGTAGGACATGTCCGGCTCTGTCTGCTCACAGCTCACGTCGGTCAGATTGTCATCTATCCATGGGGTGAGTCGAGCTCGTCGCACCAGAGGGTCTGAGACGTTCGGGAGATAGTCTCTGGTCACCTCCTCTGTGCAACAACTTTCAACATTGTCACAACATCCACTCCAAGAAACATTATTTATCGCATCTATCTACAGCAAACATAACTTGATAAAATAGAGATATTTTTCCCCTCAGAGAAATTTCATTTACAACCATGTACATATTTAGATATTAGAAAATCATATTTCACAAAAACACAAAATAAACAGTAATGCAATCACAAAGGGTCTCTTGAAATACACAGAGCTCCAGATAACCTTTTGAGCCATTGAGGTTTTACTCGTAGGTTTCTATTTTAATTGCGTTATTACATTTTTCATTGGGTAACCAATATGAACTCGTCTGCAGGACAGAGGAGACAGCGAGACAGTCTACACACCTCCATGCTCCAGATCCCTCAGAGGCCACATGATGTTGAAGGCCATCTGTCTGGGCAGGAAGTAGAACGGCACTGTTCTGAACGAGGGTTCGTTTGAGTGCTGGATGCGGGAGCCGAACTCGTCCATTATATACCAGATCGGCATGGAGTCCTCCGAGCCCTGGAACACACGACTTCCATGTATTGTTTAGGACCATGTCATTTATTCATCCACGTTGTTACTGGGCTGGTATCAGCTTTCCACTAATGCTACGCGAACTTACCAAAAATAACGACCTGACAATTGAACCCCATCATTTGCATAATCCATGTTCAATCCAGCTCCTGTTTACTTGTCATTGTCTAGCTGTTCTTTCGATTCACACTCAACCCAGCAAATATATTAGTGTGCAAAATCTACTCATATTTCTGCTAATTTTAGTGAGCAAAATAGACAAATAGCATACACATATCTATGTTTCTGAATACACATATTTTCTGCCATGGCACATTTACACAACACATGGAGCATGAACTCTGCCATAGTCCCCTGAGTGAGTGAGTGAGTGAGTGAGTGAGTGAGTGAGTGAGTAAGGTGTCAGAATTTTGTCATCTTTAGAAATCAAAAGCTTCGGCTGTTGCGCTGCTGCAACTGTGCCTGACAAGGCCACAACCTGACATTACCACACAACCTGACATTACCACACAACCTGACATTACCACACAACCTGACATTACCACGCAACCTGACATTACCACGCAACCTGACATTACCACACAACCTGACATTACCACACAACCTGACATTACCACACAACCTGACATTACCACGCAACCTGACATTGCCACGCAACCTGACATTACCACACAACCTGACATTACCACGCAACCTGACATTACCACGCAACCTGACATTACCACACAACCTGACATTACCACACAACCTGACATTACCACACAACCTGACATTACCACACAACCTGACATTACCACACAGCCTGACATTGCCACGCAACCTGACATTACCACGTAACCTGACATTACCACACAACCTGACATTACCACGTAACCTGACATTACCACACAACCTGACATTACCACGCAACCTGACATTACCACACAACCTGACATTACCACACAACCTGACATTACCACGTAACCTGACATTACCACACAACCTGACATTACCACACAACCTGACATTACCACACACAACCTGACATTACCACACAACCTGACATTACCACGAAGCTGACAGTTTCTTACCTCTGATAAATGCCCAAAGCTGTACGTCTGTGTGAACCTGGACAGAGAAACAAGGTTAATCACCATGGTTACATGGTCACACCTACCTCATCACATTGCATGTGTGGAACCATCTGACAATCTGTTTCCATGGTTACTCATGTGTGTGACTGGTACAACATGACACGGAAACACATGAGGGTCATAATGTCTTTATCCTTCTTAGAAAAATGAGTTGTTTCTGTTGAATTTCACTCAAGAAGTAACTTTACGAACCGTTTGTGTGAACAGCACAATTATCATATAGTACCAAATATCTTGCAGCCATATTTGTGTCCAAAAACATGGCGTCATACAGAGAAACACCTATCTATCATTAGTCAACAGTTTACTGAGAAAGAAGGCACTATGTGCATGGAGCTTGAAAGTAGTGCCTGATAGGCGACCTTAATTGCATATATAAGATAGCTAAGCCATAAATCGCAGAACAATGTAGAACAAAGTGTGGTTTATCTCACGATAAAACAGTGTTCTATCATGATGTAATTTCTGGAGATTCAAATAAGCGCTCGGAATTTGAGGATGTTATTTATTGGACAACGTTATTTTTGAGACGGAAATGTCAAGTAAATTGTTCCCTATAGACGTAGCTGGGCTACACAGATAAACGCCATGGCCGATGACGCATCCAATAGGCGAGATATGACAATTGGTATTCGGAGAACAGGTACAGATAATAGACGTGAAGATTGTGAGAATACGTGCCTCTCATAGTTTATTCTCCCTGCAGTGTTTTTTTGTAAGATAAACAACGACCATGAGTCTTTCATTTCTTAAACATATCAGCTCATGATATCCAGTTTATCGGACCGGTTAATTACAATGTTAACACTAGCCATCAGAAAATAAACAAATCTTCTCTTACTTCCACATGGTGCAGAGAACGGCCTCAATCTGCTCCTCGCGCGACTTCCCTGCTGTGGCCACCTCCATCAGCCCCGTCATCCGCTCCAACAACCCCGCCACCTCCTCCAGGTACTGCCTCGCGTCACTTACACGGAACGTCCACGCATGGTCGATCAGGAAGATGCTGAAGTTGGACAGTCACTGTTGAGATGCAGCCAGTTTCTAGTTTCTTCAACCAACTGACATATATGAGATGGAATTAATCTGTAAATATTTTACTGAACTCGCAAACTGACTACCCTGATATTCAGGACGTCCAAATTCTACATCATAATTCATGGTCACCTGCAACTGAAGGAATGAATAATTGATTTACATACATCAACATAATGGTAACAAACAAATATCAATTCTAACTTACTTTTTTTCATCTGTGTGAGAAATACCGTCTTCCGTGTATGCAATAATCTTCCATCCATGATCTTCTCCACCATCATTGTCAGCGTCCTCAGTGGCGTACTGCTCACAGATGATCTGGAAGCTGTCTCCTGCATCATACACCTGCAACACCACAGTGACATTCACTGGAATACACAACATGTTGTGTGAATGTAAGAGGGAATATTATCCTACCCTATTTTTTATCCCGGGGATGAAATTCTCTAGTGTCAGGATGATTCTCCCAACCCATACCAGTGTGGCACTAAGGTAGGATACTATACTCTAGAGTAAAACTCCCCCCGGGATAATATTTAGGTAGGATATAATCCTTGCTTACATGAACAGTATCATGCTCAAAAATGTTCAAATGGTACATACATATAACGTACATGAAATTCTTCCATGAACATTTCATGTACTGAAAACCTAATCTACATTTTCCAATTACCTATTACAGATATTACATTTGAAATGTTTAAATTGAAAACATGATTGGTTTATCTTCTAACTGAAGAGGATCTGAAAACAGATTGCATGGCTCTCAGGTTGTCTACACGCTTCAAACACTGTCTACACAGCTCAAAGACTGTCTACATGACTCTAAGATTGTTTACAATGGCTCTAAGACTGTCTACAGCGGCTGTAAGACTGTGTACATGGCTCTTAGGTTGTCTACACGGTTCCATAACTGTCTACACAGCCCAAAGACTGTCTACAATGGCTCTAAGGCTGTCTACATGGCTCAGTGATTGTCTACATGACTCTTAGACTGTCTACACAGCTCTAAGAATGTCTACAACAGCTGAAAGACTGTCTAAATGGTTCAGGGATTGTCTACATGACTAAGACTGTCTGCACAGCTCAAAGACTGTCTACCAAGGCTCTAAGACGTACTGTGTACATGGCTCTAAGATCGTCTACACAGACTTTCACAGGGCTCTATCATTGATCACATTCATTCACACATACTGACTTACTACTGGGAAATTCAAAAGTCAGAAGAGATTCAGCAATATTTAACTACTGTTATAATCAACAATTATATAGATTTAGAATTTGCCAACAGTTATAATATTCAGACTTCAGATCTTCCTCATCGTTTTTCTGTGTTAAAATTGGTCCTCAGCAACCTATGCTGGTCGTAAGAGGGGTTCGCTGTGCAGGGTTGCGTCCCTTAGGGATGCCAGAAACCTATGATTGTGGGTTCAAATCCCGGTTCGCCCCGATTATGTTTCTAGGTTTGTCAGCACCATACCCGTGCTCGTGGGTTTCACTGAAGTGGTAAACGTCTGAGACCTGCATCACTTCGGGCTTTCCTCCCACATTAAGCTGACACGCCATGATATAACCGGAATAATGTTAAAAGCGGCGTTAAACCCAACTCACTCACTCGTAAGAGGGGACTATATGGATAAGGTAGTGAGACACTGACATGGCATGAACACTGTGACCTGAAGCCCAGTCAGTGTCGGTCTGAAGGCTGCATTTTCTGTTTTGTGTGAAACCTCACCCTAACCTTGATGTCTCCTATAAAAATCACTCAGACAAAACATGAGGCATGACAACACCATCGCCTGTCCTCATCAGCATACTATAGCCATGACAAAGTTACTTCCCTGACAACGTTCTTCTGAAGTGGAAATACAGGAACTGCAACTCTACTACTCCATTTGTGATGGGGATAATCAGATGCCATTCTAGTTAAACATACACTTGACATATTATGACAGGGATTTACCTAGGATTCCAAACTAAGTGCCCTTAGCTGTTAGCAGGCACCATGGGAAAAAATTGTTCTATTGTTAAAAAATGGTTTTTACAGTTCATATTTTCATAAATTCTGAGGTATTAGGACATTTACCATATTTTCTTGAATATAGTGCGCACCCATGTATAATGCGCACCCCCCTCTAGCGGATTCGGTATTTTTGAGAAAAAACAAAAACAAAATCAAATATTATGCGCAGAAAGAAAATTACACCGTACCCAATCAGCAAATTCCGGTAAACGAACAGGTGATAAGAAACTTGATTAGTACAAATTTAAAATTTCAGATAAAAAATCACCAGAAATGTTAATTTACTGTTTAAATTTGAGTTTAAGTTTGAATAAAATTAATGAAATAAGTTACAAACATAAATCCAGATATACAAAGAACACTTTTTATAACCGACCTGTGAAGATCCGGGGTAGAATAGGTCTTCAGCAACCCATGCTTGCCGTAAAAGGCGACTATGCTTGTCGAAAATGGAAACTAAGAGGATGGGTTGGTCAGGCTCGCTGACTTGGTTGATGCATGCCATCGATCCCAATTGCGCGGATCGATGCTCATGATATCAATCACTGGATTGTCTGGTCCAGACTCGATTATTTACAGACCGCCGTCATATAGCTGGAATATTGCTGAGTGCGATGTAAAACAACCAACCAACCGACCAACTTTTTTTAACCAGACAGTGTAATTACATCATTAATTTGCGTACTTCAGTATGGATTTGTTGACATGGTATTTCCGGTGTTACGTGGTCACGGTAATGTCTCTGTATTGGGGGAAATAAACCCATAAAAAAAGTGTGCACTATACTTAAGAAAATACGGTAATATTCAATTTGGGAGACTTGGGGCCGAGTATATCGGCCTCTAAGCAGGTCAAGATAAATTCCTGTATATGGACATCAGTCTTGTGCAGCATGGGAAGATAAAAGTATCCCAATACAAAATGGAGTAGTCCTATCAAATGCTTTGTCAAGCGATACGCCTCACTTCGATCCAAACAATGACATCATAAATAAATAAGAACTTTATCATTTTCAATCATTTCACAAATATTTGAATCATGGACACTTAATACCTCATCACTAGGTTTTTTTCAAACAAAGTGTTGCAGGACCTCTCCGGGTGACAACAACTGTGATTTTTGAAACTCAAATACCCTTTTGTATGATTCTATAAGAACACAGCTGAGATTTACTGCCTGAAAAACACAAGAGACATCTCAGCAAAACAACTGATACCATCCTGTTTGAATTTTAAATAAATTAATAAAACATACCTCATCTTTGAGCTTTTCAAACAAAGTGTTCCAGAACCTCTCAGGAATTGCTGACCCCAACAGTTGTGGTTTGTGAAGCTCGACAAAATCTGAAAACGACATCTCCATTCCCTGTGAGTCTCCTGTCGTCACCGGCATTCTTCGATCCTGACTCTCACAACTGGTCCAACAACCTGGAAGTGAAACATTCGACTATTGCTGTCAGCTGAGAGGCAGTCAGGGTCAGGCCGGTCTTGACTGTTCTACCACTCCCAGCGACTACTGGATAAACAGTAATATATATATGGCTGTTGCACATGTTCACTGTTATTTGATGAAATTCAACAGTGTGAATGTTTAATTTGTTGAAGCACTGTAGAATCTACCTGATGTAGATCACACGAATTCGTGCCTGAATATAATTTTTTTTTTTAAATTGGTGGGCCTCGTGGGGTACATAGCTAGGTCAATAAATAATTTCTTTTAGCGTACAGCTACGAACTCTTGTGAAGGCCAAGAGATCTATCTATTTTCTTCACACGTACATAATTTACTTGTGTTTCTTTATCAAGGATAATCTACACTGGATATATAACTAACAAACACAATGGCATTTTCCTAAAGTTTAACATGTTGCTTGTGAAACTTGAATTTCAAGAACACAGATATTTTTACAACTGCTCACTGTATAACATTAACAATGATATCATTTCCTCAAAATATGATTTTGAAGACGTTCGCAGTGAAAGAATTAGTACGAATCACGCTTCAACAGTCGTCAGTATCTTATAACAAGTTGTGAAGAAAACAGTTCTTTGAGACTTACCTAGTAAATACTTTGACCCCGACTTAAAAAAACGAATTAGAGAATATTTACAGTTAATACGATTTTCACGTGTTTTCTCTTATAAACATTTAGAGTTATCTCCCTTCCTAGTTTTCAGTCTGGAAAGACGTAAATATCCGCTATGGCGGCGAAATCCGAAATTGTCTGAGCTTGTCAGATTCACAATATTTGAGATACTCGGCTTCGTTCACGTATTTAAACGGTCATGCCTTTGGGATTAGACAGAAGTCATTTTCTAACGGGGAAAGTGAAAGAACAAGACATTCAGTTGAGAGTGAGTACCAATCAACCTTGGTTTGCAACTTCTACTACAGGTTTTGCCGCTGAAGCTGGTTTGAGGCTTGACCACTGTTGACATTAGCTACGATCACTTTGACAGCCCTTCCGTTCATCGTTAATTACCAGCTGTTCACTACGAACTCACCACCTTACAGCTGGTCGTGATGAATAGCCAGATTAAGATACAGATACCTGTTCATACACTCAGTTTTCTAGACTGAATGAAAAAAATCAGAATGATTTGAAACTAGATTTTCAAAATTATTAATGACATGGAGTACTGCTGTTTACCGGGTGCACTTTTTCAGATCCAATTACCATTGTGGGGACTCGAACACGCTTCGTCGGCTCACTGGCTTGGCTAATTAACGCGTTAATTAGTCGACGCTCTACTGCTGGACCACATGCACAAGGCCTATTACATATGTAATCAGTGCTCGTTTAACAGGTCATTAGTACCTCTTTAACGCGCTTCGCAATTAAATAAACAATACATTTTTCATGCATGTGACATCACGCTCTGCCCTCCCATTCATTCTTTTCTTGAAGCCACACACGCCATAGTTTGTATCAACATGACGAACCAATTGAGCAATGCTATGGTGTATGTCGATGTGTTTCGCATCACGCTTGATGCGATAACTCTCGTGATTATTCTAATCGAATAACCTGGATTGACGCTTTGAAAAGGTAATAATTTATGGCTAACCCTTGCCCTAAGCAGGCTAACCCTAAGGATCGAAAAGGGATATTGGATCGAAAAGGCGTGAGCCACGGTAACGGAATAGCGAGACAGCGGACGCGTTATAATGCGGTAACTGAGCGGATGGTAGCGCTCGGGCTGTGCCCGGTAAACTGCATTGTTGCCTAAAGACACAAAAACTCCCATAACAAATAGATAATACATCTTGAATTTGTTTAGAATGTCCTAGTGTCATTTGTTTTCTGCATAATTATTGTGGATTCTCTTGATATCTCCTTCTCAGGCATCCTCATTGGAATGTTTGATATTTCCCCATGTTGGTATCTGCCTATGAGTTGGTTTGTTGTTTAATACCGCACTCAGCAATATTCCAGCTATATGACGGTGGTCTGTAAATGATCCAGTCTGGACCAGACATTCCAGTGATTAACATCATGAGCATCACAAAAATAGGAGAGAATGCAATACACCCGACATCTTCCGCCATTTTTCCCATGGGATGTGCACAAGCTCATTCCTTAGTAACGGTACAAGTTTTCAGATGCCATTTTTTCACCTCGCTAAAATAACAAGGGGTTTGTGGGGCTTGCCCTCCGCTCAATGGCTTGAATTAAATGCTTTCGGATGTCTCCCAATGAGGATATCTCCCTATGTGGAAATCTGCCCATGTGGAAATCTGTCGATGAGGGTATCTCCCTATGTGGATATCTCCCCAGAAGCATAGCTACTTCCCTATGACACATGTGAAGATCCGGGTTAGAATAGGTCTTCAGCGACCCATGCTTGTTGTAAAAGGTGACTAACAGGATCAGGTAATCAGACTCGCTAACTTGGTTGATGCATGTCATTGTATCCCAATTGTGTTGATCAAAGCTCATGATATCAATCACTGGATTGTCTGGTCTGGACTCGATTATTTACAGGCCGCTTTCATATAGCTGGAATATTCCTGTGTGGTGTTTAACAACAAACAAACTAACAAAACCTCCCTATGAGGATATCTCTCTATGACGATATCTTCCTTTGAGAAGGTTTCAATATTCTTTTGTTAAATGGGTAATGTATTCCACAATTTTATGCAAGGTGGTATTAACAAGGATTCAGAAATCTTTGTGTGTAAATACTATAAATAATAAGGGCTTGGTTATATTATGAGCAGTTCTAAGGTTGCATGTTATGTTTGCCCCGACAGAGTGAGGTACTAGATCGTTAAGGTTTGACAGTATCACACTGTTAAATATTTTATAAAACAAACACAGTTTAAGTTGCCCTGTAGGATTCAAGGTACTAAATCGTTAAGGTTTGACAGTATCACATTGTTAAATATTTTATAAAAAAAAACACAGTTTACGTTGCCCTGTAGGATTCAAGGTACTAAATCGTTAAGGTTTGACAGTATCACATTGTTAAATATTTTATAAAACAAACACAGTTTACGTTGCCCTGTAGGATTCAAGGTACTAAATCGTTAAGGTTTGACAGTATCACATTGTTAAATATTTTATAAAACAAACACAGTTTACGTTGCCCTGTAGGATTCAAGGTACTAAATCGTTAAGGTTTAACAGTATCACATTGTTAAATATTTTATAAAACAAACACAGTTTATGTTGCCCTGTAGGATTCAAGGTACTAAATCGTAAAGGTTTGACAGTATCACATTGTTAAATATTTTATAAAACAAACACAGTTTACGTTGCCCTGTAGGATTCAAGGTACTAAATCGTTAAGGTTTGACAGTATCACATTGTTAAATATTTTATAAAACAAACACAGTTTACGTTGCCCTGTAGGATTCAAGGTACTAAATCGTTAAGGTTTGACAGTATCACATTGTTAAATATTTTATAAAACAAACACAGTTTACGTTGCCCTGTAGGATACATGCTCATGATTTGTGTCAATGACATTTCTTTCTTTCAGAAAAAACAGGAAAGAATAGCTTCACTAGAAACAGAAAATGCTATGCTGTACCTGAAACTAGCTCAGCTGAGGGGGGAAGTGCAGAGCTCCAGGGAAGGGCTGACAGATGTGGCAGCTAAGTATGAAGCAGAGAGAAGGTTCAGGAGTAAAGTGTCAGACAAGGCTTCCAAGTTCAAACAGGAAATAGAGGTACGTAATTTGGACTACTTACTTACACTGTCCGATAGAACCAGCAACAGGAAGTAACCAGAGAGTCACCGTTTGTCATTAAGGGGCTAAAACAAGGAATTGTCTCCTCAGAGTCAGTATTTTGTGTCCGAGTGGAGTATCCATGTAAAACCGCGGCATGGTATCTCAATGGGCTTGCACTAAGACACTGGCGTCAGCTCAGACTAGTACAGGCAGCTGCACACATGCGTACACATCATATACAAGTGCAGTTATCTTGAATGAGACGTTAAACCCCATTTCACCACAACTTACCACCAGGTACAGTCCCTTTGACTACAAATGAGAACAATGAATTGCAAAATCAGGAATAGTCTATTAAATGTCAACATGGCAATGAATACCCTGTACCCTAAACTATCTGTTGTTTGTTACTTTTATTCCCATCACTGATAAAAATTGTTTAAGAAACTATTATGTTCAAGTTGACATGTTGAACGGAGGGGGGGACAATGGTAGGAGGAACAGTGCGAACATGCACTGCATGTGCTACACAACGGTTCAAGGCAAGACAGCAAAAGAGGCATCGTCTCATGATAATTTTAATCGCAATCTGACTCATTCATGTCACAGACCTCATCGTCGGAATTGCTTGTGTCAGTGCTGTTGGTCACAACTATAGGTGGGACTGTTGCTTGCTGAAGTCCATAACATGACTAGTATGTTGACTCTCGTTGACGACTTGGGTAACGCAACTCTGCCATGCTTCCACTGTTACCCGACCAAGGGATTCATTTACTAGCTTTTCAACATCCTGCAATTGTTCAACGTTGTCTTTGATGATACCCCATATTAACTCTATTGGGTTCAGATCTCAGTGGTAAATCAGCGTGACCTTAACGTTTGATGTAATGGTCAACCACATACACAGGCTCGGGCATGTTACATTTGATGGTTTCATAGAGTTGTGGAGGAAAGGTCATATTCGTCCTTTGCAGCCACGTCGCCATATCACCTTTCAGGGCCTTGCTGTCTTGATCCTGCATACTGTGATATGCTGCATTGTCCATGATGATAAGGGATTTGGCAGGCAAAGCAGAGACCAGTTTATTTTCACCCACTCCAGAAATACCTGCCGTTTATATCTGTGTGGTAGACCATGTTGTCCTTGTCCTTGGCTCACTGCCTGGGAGAAAACCCTGACTAGCACATCCAGCATGGAGATCGATAAGTCTTTCACCTTTTCCCATTGGTCACTTTCTCCCGGACTCCTTACAGTCCCCGCCGGGTACCCACTGACTGCTGGCTGTGTGAGAGGCATTTACCCACGTCTCAGCTGGGAAAACAGGATCATATCCTTCTTCACGTTTCTGCTTGATAGTTCGAGGATAATGATTTGGAGACGAAGGATGTCAGATCATTCACATAACACAGCCCAATTTTCACCACATGTCTTTTGGTATCTGCATCCAAATGTATGCAAAAGCTGCCATAGCTTGTATTTTGTAACAATTAAATCATGTTCAGGTTCAAGGTATTCCGTCAAGAGTCTTGGTGACATGTACAAATTTTCTGAATGTAGTTTAACAATTGCACGTCTGACATGATTTTTCTGAAAACTGTCAAATTTATCAACTCTACATGATTTTGATATGCTCCCCACTTGCATTGCCTGATTGCTGGAGTCCCCTTAACAGGCATCATTTTTCAGCTTGTTTGGAGACACACCAAGAGCTTTAGAAGCTTGTTTCAAGCATTTATTAATGGCAGAAAATGCTTTTCCTCTTTCTGCTTCACACTGAAAGAAATCATATACCTTAAGAATGAACTGTTTCACATCAGCTAAGTAGCGCAACTTGTCAGTCAACAATGATGGATACTATGCAGCACGTGTAGTGCGTGATTGCGCTGTTCCTTCTGACGTTGTGCCCCCCTCCGTTCAAGATGTACACATAAGATGTACATCAAGATGTCAACTTGTACACATAACAACATGATAGCTTCTTAAACAACTTTTTCCATCAGACTGGTGCTCACACTTTCAACCTATGGTTTGTATGGTCCAGGATTGCTGTAATATTTCATCACATGGAATTAGCTACAGTTCATTTGATATATTTAAATCGCTCACCAGCTTGTATGCTTGCTGGCAAATTATAAGCAAATCAGATACTGGTCACCATTACCCCTGATCTTTGACTTCGAGTGTATAAAGTATGAAGATTAACATAATGAAACCCACTGTCGGTTTCTTTGCCTTTCCTATGTGTGTGTTGTGAGTATTGCATGTATTCATGGTTCTGATCTCTGCTGGGGCGGTCGGGTAGCCAAGTGGTTAAAGCGTTCGCTCGTCACACTGAAAACCCAGGTTTGATTCCCGACATGGGTACAATATGTGAAGCCCATTTCTTTTGTCCCCCGACGTGATATTGCTGGAATATTGCTAAAAGCGGCGTAAAACCATACTCACTCATTCACTCACTCATTGATCTCTGCTGTAGTTGCTGAGAGAGGGGATGGGACAAGTGATGAATGTAGCCAGTAGGATGCCGGAGCAGTTCCAGTCTCACATCGACCACGCCAGTGCTGTCGTCAGACAACACAGACAGGTGTACCAGGATCATTCCTCTAGTCTCTCAGGTAAACTTTCTCACTTGTAGCTCGGCTAGGCACTTGTAGCTTAAGTAATCACTTGTAGCTTAAGTAATCACTTGTAGCTCGGCTAGGCACGTGTAGCTTAAGTAATAACTTGAAGCTCGGCTAGGCACTTAAAGCTTAAGTAATCACTTGTAGCTCAGCTAGGCACTAAAAAGCTTAAGTAATCACTTGTAGCTCAGCTAGGCACTTAAAGCTTAAGTAATCACTTGTAGCTCAGCCAGGCACTTAAACCTTAAGTAATCACTTGTAGCTCAGCCAGGCACTTAAACCTTAAGTTATCACTTGTACCTTAAGTAATCACTTGTAGCTCAATTAGGCACTTAAACCTTAAGTAATCACTTGTAGCTCAGCCAGGCACTTAAGCCTTAAGTAATCCCTTGTAGCTCAGCCAGGCACTTAAACTTTAAGTAATCACTTATACCTTAAGTAATCACTTGTAGCTTAAGTAATCACTTGTAGCTCAACTAGGCACTTAAAGCTTAAGTTTTCAATTGTAGCTCAGGTAAGTAATTATTGCTCAGATAAATACTTGTAGCTCAGGTAAATACTTGTAGTTTAGAAATATGCAGGTGTAATATCTTTTATTATGACACAATGTTACCATGGCTACAGGACAAGTGCGTAATAGATGTATGATAACAGTGTTACAGGACCAGGTTTTGGTGCTACAAGCTGCACTGCAGGACGTTACAGACAGGCACGGGAAGGAGAAGAAGAGGAGACAGGCACTACACAACACACTCATGGTGAGGCACTACACAACACACTCACGGTGAGGCACTACACAACACATTTACGGTGAGGCACTACTCAACACACTCATGGTGAGGCACTACACAACACACTCATGGTGAGGCACTACACAACACTCACGGTGAGGCACAACACAACACACTCATGGTGAGGCACTACACAACACACTCATGTTGAGGCACTACACAACACACTCATGGTGAGGCACTACACAACACACTCACGGTGAGGCACTACACAACACACTCATGTTGAGGCACTACACAACACACTGACGGTGAGGCACTACACAACACACTCATGGTGAGGCACTACACAACACACTCATGTTGAGGCACTACACAACACACTCATGGTGAGGCACTAAACAACACACTCATGTTGAGGCACTACACAACACACTCATGGTGAGGCACTACACAACACACTCATGGTGAGGCACTACACAACACACTCACAGTGAGGCACTGCACAACACACTCATGGTGAGGCACTAAACAACACACTCATGGTGAGGCACTACACAACACACTCATGGTGAGGCACTACACAACACACTCATGGTGAGGCACAACACAACACACTCATGGTGAGGCACTCAACAACACTCACGGTTAGGCACTAAACAACACACTCACGGTGAGGCACTACACAACACACTCATGGTGAGGCACTACACAACACACTCATGGTGAGGCACTACACAACACACTTACGTTGAGGCACTACACAACACACTCACGGTGAGGCACTACACAACACACTCACGGTGAGGCACTACACAACACACTCATGGTGAGGCACAACACAACACACTCATGGTGAGGCACTACACAACACATTCACGGTGAGGCACTACACAACACACTCATGGTGAGGCACTACACAACACACTCATGGTGAGGCACAACACAACACACTCACGGTGAGGCACTACACAACACACTCATGGTGAGGCACAACACAACACACTCATGGTGAGGCACTCAACAACACTCACGGTTAGGCACTACACAACACACTCACGGTGAGGCACTACACAACACACTCATGGTGAGGCACTACACAACACACTCATGGTGAGGCACTACACAACACACTCATGGTGAGGCTCTACACAACACACTCATGGTGAGGTACTACACAACAACACTCACGGTGAGGCACTACACAACACACTCACGGTGAGGCACTACACAACACACTCATGGTGAGGCACAACACAACACACTCACGGTGAGGCACTACACAACACACTCACGGTGAGGCACTACACAACACACTCATTGTGAGGCACTACACAACACACTCATGGTGAGGCACTACACAACACACTGACGGTGAGGCACTACACAACACACTCATGGTGAGGCACTACACAACACACTCATGGTGAGGCACTACACAACACACTGACGGTGAGGCACTACACAACACACTCATGGTGAGGCACTACTCAACACACTCATGGTGAGGCACTACACAACACACTCACGGTGAGGCACTACTCAACACACTCATGGTGAGGCACTACACAACACACTCATGGTGAGGCACAACACAACACACTCATGGTGAGGCACTACACAACACATTCACGGTGAGGCACTACACAACACACTCATGGTGAGGCACTACACAACACACTCATGGTGAGGCACAACACAACACACTCATGGTGAGGCACTACACAACACACTCATGGTGAGGCACAACACAACACACTCATGGTGAGGCACTCAACAACACTCACGGTTAGGCACTACACAACACACTCATGGTGAGGCACTACACAACACACTCATGGTGAGGCACTACACAACACACTCATGATGAGGCTCTACACAACACACTCATGGTGAGGTACTACACAACAACACTCACGGTGAGGCACTACACAACACACTCACGGTGAGGCACTACACAACACACTCATGGTGAGGCACAACACAACACACTCACGGTGAGGCACTACACAACACACTCACGGTGAGGCACTACACAACACACTCATGGTGAGGCACTACACAACACACTCATGGTGAGGCACTACACAACACACTGACGGTGAGGCACTACACAACACACTCATGGTGAGGCACTACACAACACACTCATGGTGAGGCACTACACAACACACTGACGGTGAGGCACTACACAACACACTCATGGTGAGGCACTACTCAACACACTCATGGTGAGGCAGTACACAACACACTCACGGTGAGGCACTACTCAACACACTCACGGTGAGGCACTACACAACACACTCACGGTGAGGCACTACACAACACACTCATGGTGAGGCACTACACAACACACTCATGGTGAGGCACTACACAACACACTCATGGTGAGGTACTACACAACACACTCACGGTGAGGCACTACACAACACAATCACGGTGAGGCACTACACAACACACTCATGGTGAGGCACAACACAACACACTCACGGTGAGGCACTACACAACACACTCACTGTGAGGCACTACACAACACACTCACGGTGAGGCACTACACAACACACTCATGGTGAGGCACTACACAACACACTCACGGTGAGGCACTACACAACACACTCACGGTGAGGCACTACTCAACACACTCACGGTGAGGCACTACACAACACACTCATGTTGAGGCACTACACAACACACTCATGGTGAGGCACTAAACAACACACTCATGTTGAGGCACTACACAACACACTCATGGTGAGGCACTACACAACACACTCATGGTGAGGCACTACACAACACACTCATGGTGAAGCACTACACAACACACTCATGGTGAGGCACAACACAACACGCTCATGGTGAGGCACTACACAACACACTCACGGTGAGGCACTACACAACACACTCATGGTGAGGCACTAAACAACACACTCATGTTGAGGCACTACACAACACACTCATGGTGAGGCACTACACAACACACTCATGTTGAGGCACTACACAACACACTCATGTTGAGGCACTACACAACACACTCATGGTGAGGCACAACACAACACGCTCATGGTGAGGCACTACACAACACACTCATGGTGAGGCACTACACAACACACTCATGGTGAGGCACTACACAACACACTCACAGTGAGGCACTACACAACACAGAGTGAAGTGTAACAAGACATTTGTACTTTTATCAAATCAACCATACACTGTTTCCCAATGTTTTTCAAGAACTAAACCCCTATGTGTGATATATACATCGTTACTCAGTTCTCCATTGTGTGTGAGATATACGCTGTTAGTCTGTACTCCTGTGTGTGAGATATACAGCGTTAGTCTGTCCATTGTTTCCCCTTGTTTGTCAGGAACTGCGAGGAAACATCCGTGTCCACTGTCGGGTCCGACCACTCATGGAGTTCGACTGCGGAAATGAAGATGTGTCAACTCTTGGAAGGTAAGCCCTTTCATCATTAATAACAGTAACAATTTAAACCATGCACTTTTTTATGTAAGTTTTGTGTATACTGAAGTATGTTTGTTTTGTTTTCCACAGGTCTGGCGCAAAATCAGAAGTTGTGGTCCACTTTTATGATGATGTGAGCATTGAGAGTGTATTCATGGGAGTGTGTTACAAATTGTAAATAGTTGCTCATGTCAAATTGTTTCAAGTAACACGGAGACTGACATACTAACAGATGGTCCAGAGGATAAGGAGGGTTTTCATTGTGTCGTTATCTGGATGCTAATATCTTACAACATGTATCATGATATAACTTTTTTCATATAAGGCCACAATAAATTAATTATCCTTAGTTTTTGAAAATTTGAATTGGAAGGCAGTTTTGTTTTTGTTTTGGAAACAACCATTTTTAAGGTATCTGTGTACGTTAACAGCTGACAGATGTGATTCGGATGAAAAGTAAATGTTTGGGCTAGGGGGATGATATATTTTGTGAAGGAGACCGAGAAATGGACACACAAGAGGGGGATGAAAGTCTTATAATTACTTTTTTATGCCAAATATCTTACATGCAATATCTTATACAGTATCTTATATACATGCAATATTTACTCTGTCTACAGGAGAATGTGTGTATTAGGACAGCTAAACACAACAAAGTCTTTGAATTTGAAAGGTACGTGCCTTCTTACATGTTTTATTGCAATAGTTAAGATCTGACAGTGTTTCATAAACTGAATTTATGTTTCTTTTGATTAATCTTACATAGAACTGTTAACCTGTCTTTGATGGAGAGAAATTGATGGGGTCCATATGGCTCGTGCATGGCCCCAAGTGTTGGAGAGAAATCGATGGGGTCCATGTGTCTTATGAATGGCCCTAAGTGTTGGAGAGAAATTGATGGTGGTCCATATGGCTCATGAATGGCCCCAAGTGTTGGAGAGAAATCGATGGGGTCCATATGGCACATGAATGGCCCCAAGTGTTGGAGAGAAATCGATGGGGTCCATATGGCTCATGAATGGCCCCAAGTGTTGGAGAGAAATCGATGGGTTTCCATGTGGCTCATGAATGGCCCCAAGTGTTGGAGAGAAATCGATGGGGTCCGTATGTCTTATGAATGGCCCCAAGTGTTGGAGAGAAATCGATGGGGTCCATATGTCTTATGAATGGCCCCAAGTGTTGGAGAGAAATCGATGGGGTCCATGTGTCTTATGAATGGCCCCAAGTGTTGGAGAGAAATCGATGGGGTCCATATGGCACATGAATGGCCCCAAGTGTTGGAGAGAAATCGATGGGGTCCATGTGGCTCATGAATGGCCCCAAGTGTTGGAGAGAAATCGATGGGGTCCATATGGCTCATGAATGGCTCCAAGTGTTGGAGAGAAATCGATGGGGTCCATGTGGCTCATGAATGGCCCCAAGTGTTGGAGAGAAATCGATGGGTTTCCATGTGGCTCATGAATGGCCCCAAGTGTTGGAGAGAAATCGATGGGGTCCATATGGCTCATGAATGGCCCCAAGTGTTGGAGAGAAATCGATGGGGTCCATATGGCTCATGAATGGCCCCAAGTGTTGGAGAGAAATCAATGGGGTCCATATGGCTCATGAATGGCCCCAAGTGTTGGAGAGAAATCGATGGGGTCCATATGGCTCATGAATGGCCCCAAGTGTTGGATCTGATTCTCACAATAACTGGTACATGCCGGTCAAGCTGAAACATGAGGTTTGCATGTATATGCTGTGATGTGGTGATTAATCTAGAGTTAGGCTGTAATGATTCACTGATACCTACGATATCATCGATACTTAGGTGCACACTATACTTGAATGGGCAGTATGTGAGAGCATGATACGCTATAATAGAACAGGAACTAATAGAGTTACATCCCATAATAGCAGAAGTAGTATAGCGCCACCTGTAGGCATGGCAGACCACGAGGACATGGGGACTGAGGGGAAGCCGACTAACTGTTACATATAACACCATCCCTTCATTTAAAACTGTTTTTTTTCTTGTGGTTTCCTTTGTTAAAGTTTTTGAGATAACAATAAATAAATGTACGAAGAAAGAGGTTTTAGAGCTGTATTTCAGTGATTTCATCATTTCTCACTATTTGATGTGGTGTGATACCAATAGTATCGTCAGTCCGTATCGTGATATGAATCGTAACACAAGATGCGATACTCTGCTCTATAGTGATGTATTGTTTGTTTGTTTGTTGTTTAATGCCGCACTCAGCAATATTACAGCTATATGACAGTGGTCTGTAAATAATCGAGTCTGGACCAGGCAATCCAGTGATTGACATCATGAGCATCGATCCACGCAATTGAGATACAATGACATGTTTCAACCAAGTCAGCTATAGTGATGTGTTTGATGGGCATTCTGACAATTTGACTTTCTTCCATTTTCAGGGTATATTCCCCAGATGAGAAACAAGCTCATGTGTTTGATGAAGTTCAGCCCATGCTGACTTCACTGCTTGATGGGTGAGTTGGTTGTACAGAATTCCTGGGTCACATCAACGACAGTAATTCTACCTCAGCCGTGAATTTCTCCTGTTATAGCCATGTGTGTGACCGCCTCCGTGGTCTAGTGGTAGAGCGTCCGCCCAGAGAGCGGAAGGTCCGGGGTTTGATCCCCGACCGCATCATACCAAAAGACGTTAAAAGATGGTACTTGTTGTTACCCTGTCTGGCGCTCAGCATTAAGGGGCTAAAACAAGGACTGGTCGGCTCGGAGTCAGTATACTGTGTCTGAGTGGGGTATTCATGTTAAACTGTGGCATGGTATCTCAGTGAGCTAGCACTATAAATCGGCATCAGTCCGGACTAGTACAAGCAGCCACACAAACACACACGTACATGCATGTCGCTATATAAGTGCAATAATCTTGGACGCGACGTAAAACCTCATTTCACCTCACCTCACCATGTGTGTACAATGGAGCAGTCTGAAGCAGTGTTCCATTCATTTCTAATTTGTTTTGATTGATTTGATTCCAATCATGTGCATGATTAGAGTAGATTCCACAGAGAGTATCAAATGGGTAGCAGTTGAACAACTATTTATTTGACTTGATTAATTAACCAATAATCTGCTAATTAATAGATATGGATTGATAGTGCTTCAAAGGAACACACTTAATACAGGAATGTTTGATATTAGGAACTTGGTAATGATTTGAAATATTCTTTATATTTATCATGTCACAAACATAGAATTTTACCTTACCCTACAAAATTAGGGGTCCAGGAGATCCCGAATTACTAATTTCTTGGGTCCACACAGGAATTATGAGGGTCCTGTAATGTAATGAAATAGTACAGTGTCCTGTACTGTAAGATGTAATCATTACATTAAGTACAGGAAGTGTATATTTTTTGTCAAGAATTTGGTACAATGAATATAATGTGCGTGCCTTGGGAAACAAAATATATTTTCTGAGTCCATTCTATACATATGTGCGTACTGGAAGCACATTTCTACGTCATGTAAAACCCTGCACAAACACCTGTAGTCAAATACTGTAACATACATATCACACTTACATATTCTCTGTTGATAACAACACTTCTAATTGTACCATTTATCACGTTCATATCAACAGGATATATTTTTCTGTTTTTGTGCAATAAAAAACATACCGTTTATCAAAAATGTCTGTTAGTATAATTAGAGGACTATAGAGCCAGGTGTTGAGTGTTGATTGTCTCCATGTTCTGCCGCAGCTACAACGTGTCCATCATGGCGTACGGTCAGACTGGCAGTGGCAAGACACACACCATGCTGGGGAGTCACCGCAACGACGACTACCACCCATCTAACGACATGCACCCCGACGAGGGGGTCATACCCAGGGCCACACGCGAGCTCTTCAGGTAGGGACATCGTGTACAGGAAGACCTTATCGGGTACGGATGTCGTGCATGGGGGGGAGCTCTTCAGGGAGGGATATCATGCATGGGGGGAGCTCATCGGGTAGGTACATCGTGTACAGGAAGAGTTTATCGGGTAGGGACATCGTGCATGGGGGGAACTCATTGGGTTGGGACATTGTGCACAGGGGGGAGCTCATTGGGTAGGGACATCGTGCATGGGGGGAGCTTATCGGGTAGGGATATCGTGCATGGGGGGGGCTCATCAGGTAGGTACATCGTGCATGGGGGGAGCTCATCGGGTAGGTACATCGTGCATGGGGGGAGCTCATCGGGTAGGGACATCGTGCATGGGGGGGAGCTCTTCAGGGAGGGATATCATGCATGGGGGGAGCTCATCGGGTAGGGACATCGTGCATTGGGGGAGCTCATCGGGTAGGGACATCTCGCATGGGGGGAGCTTATCGGGTAGGGACATTGTGCACATGGGGGAGCTCATTGGGTAGGGACATCGTGCATGGGGGGAGCTAATCGGGTAGGGACATCGTGCATGGGGGGGAGCTCATCGGGTAGGGACATCGTGCATGGGGGCAGCTTATCGGGTAGGGACATCGTGCATGGGGGGAGCTCTTCAGGTAGGGACATCGTGCAAGGGAGGAGTTCCTGAAGGATCAACATCGTCTCGTGCAGTATTTGTTTAACCAATATCAGCAGTATTGTTATTTACTATATCTTCATAAACCATGAAGACAGATATTTTATATTCCACCATGATGATAATCATGATAATGAGTTCTAATTCCATTGATTGAGTTAAATATATTCCCTGGACTAATATCAGAGTTATAATCCTTTTGACTGATATCTGAATTATATTTAACGAGATTGATCCAAATTATTTTTAACTAGACTGATAACCAAGTTATATTTTCAATACTAATATCAGTGTTATATTTCCCTTGACTGCTATCCAAGTTATATTTCCTTTGACTGATATGTATATATATTTCCCTAGATTGATATCCAAATTATATTTAATTAGACTGATAACTGAGTTATATTTCCCAACACTTATATCGGCATTATATTTCCCTAGACTGATATCTGAGTTATATTTCCCTGGATTGTTGTTCCCTTGACAAATTTCAGCATCATATTTCCCTAGACTGATATCCAAGTTATATTTCCCTAGATTGATATCAGAAAAGCCTCCTGGAACACACTCCCTGGAGGTATCGGTTGTGGAGATCTACAACAACGACATCCGAGACCTACTGAGTCGTGACACCAATGTGAAACACGATGTGGTCACCGGATCTGACGGTCTCCTCAGCCTGCCCACCATTACCTCCAAGTAAGACGACTGTACTGTGTCATGACAGTGTCACAGTTGAAGATTTATACCAACCAACTTACGGGAAATGACATGATACTTATGGAAATGATTTTCTCTGGTAATGTGTTTTTGTTAGAACGGAGGCGGGTATTACCGATGATGTGGCATTTACCGATGGATTTATAAATCCCATCTTAAACATGTTATTCATACACATTTACCATCATAAATGCGCATGTCAATAGTTAGTATTCTTTCTCTTCCGGAATGAACCTTCGATTGCCAAAAAGTACGTACTGTCAATCCATAACAATCGATGTGCGACAGACATGGCCTCCTTGAACTCTGACCCCCTAAGTGACATAAATATTCATGACCTACATTGCCCATAAGCCAATCATATCTTGCTGTAGTTGGGTAATCTAAGGAATTTTGAAACAAGCTATAGTCCTTCGACGTCTTCTCGTCACATTACCACATTGATATTATTTTGGGATTTACACTTTTAGGATTTCATAAATCTATCTTTAGCACTACACACAGGTACTAATTACTTAAAGGTGTGAGTTCAATTTAAATTATCTGTAATTGCCGACCGAAGTCATCGGCAGACCCACCCTTCATCGGTAAATGCTGAACTTCTGGTTTGCGTTTTCGTGCTGTGTTACGAACCCACTACACAAAAAATAAGGCCACACTTCATATTGTGGTAATAGAGTTGACTGAAAACAGATTTCAGAGAACTCGTTGCCCAAATGCACTTATTTGCATAGGGTTTCCCCCTTACCATATCGGTAATACCCGCCTCCGCTCTATGCATTCTACCTTATCCTGTAAGGCTGGAAAGTTTACTGTAGTACATGCTGATAAATTACTGCTTTATTCACAAGGATAATTTGTAAATGAAATTGTTTTGTTTGTTTGTTAGTTTGTTGTTTAACGCCGCACTCAGCAATATTCCAGCTATATGAAGGCACTCTGTAAATAATCAAATCTGGACCAGACAATCCAGTAATTGATATCATGAATATCGATCCACGCAATAGAGATCGATGACATGCTTCAACCATGTCAGCGAGCCTAACCACCCAATCCCGTAAGTAGCCTCTTACGACAAGCATAGTCGCCTTTTCCAGCTAGCATGGGTTGCTGAAGACCTATTCTACCCAGGATCTTCACGGGTCTTGTAGATGAAATCATATGTTGACCCATAGCATTCAGTTCCCTCACATGGAAAACATAGGTAAGTGAAATAACCCGGAATCCTCACAAGGGGAATATCCACGCAGTGGAACCTTGAATCACCACAGGGTGGAACCCAAGAATCCCTCACAAGGGTGGATTCCAGAATCCCCATGGGGTAGAACCCGGAATCCCCTATGGGTTGAACAACGAATGGATCCCCAATGGATGTGTATCACAAGCTGGTTATTTCACTCTGTGTCCACTTCTGTCTTCTATGCTTAATCATGATGGTCCTATGGGTTTTTTTTATGTGTTGTAGACAAGTATCGACTGTGTATGATGTGATGTGCTTGGTACAGCGAGGTTTGCGGACCCGCCGTGAGTCCGCCACAATGGTCCACGAACACTCTAGTCGCTCCCACCTGGTGGTCACGCTGACTCTCATCAGTCAGGCTCCCAGCTTCTTCGCAGTCGGTGGCGGACCCAAGTCGGATGCCGAAGGTATCAACTTCATGTAGTTTGTTGGCTGAAGTATACATGTCATCAAGACATGGAACTTTTAGGGACCAGGCATTTATTATAGGGATGGGTGGGTCAAAGAGAATCAGGGGAGGGTCATAAAAAATAATACATGTATTTGGGGAGAGTCATGACGAAATGGAATTTGGTAAATAAGATGTAAAGTTCTTTAGTATTTTGTCTTTTCAGGGAAGGTCATGAAAAAGATGTACAAGGACATGGGGAAGGTCATCCATAAATATGACAAGCATTAGGGGAGGGTCATCTTATTTAATGTTTGTAACGTTTCAGGGCTATTCATGCCCCCTCAATTATACACCTGAAAAGTCACCTGATGAAGGGGCAAGTAGCAGCCCTGAAACGTCATTACAATCAGTAAAGAAGTTGTTATCTATCAAAGTTTCATGTCTTCATGTTCTCCCAACTCCTAAATTCCTATCAAAGACTTGTACATGTCATTGAGATTCTTTTCTGAACACTTCTCAGTTCACCAGCTTGATATTTTCTTTTCAAAATAAATGACATAAGAGAATACTGAAATGAATTAGCCCTGTTGGTCTTCTAGAATCTGTGCACCATAAGAAGAGCCGGTCGCAGTCCCTGACCCACTCCTCACTGACTGCAAGTGGTTGGTCAAGTCCTGACCAATCAGGTGCCTCCTCCCTGCCATCCAATCAACAACCAGTCATCCGTACCAAGCTACAACTAGTTGATCTAGCTGGGAGTGAATGTGTTGGTGAGTAGGTTTGTGTCCTAGTGATCTAGTTGGTTGTGTCTCACATATGGCATCTGCCTAGGGGTTACTTATGACATATGTGCTGAATGTATCAATTCATTTTGAAAGCATGTATGTATTGGTGGAGATTCAGATTGGTTTGACTAAGTATGGATCAAGTAAATCTAGTAAATGGGGTGTCATATGTGTTTAAGGGCGATCAATTACCCCGTCCCCTGTTGGGCTTCAATTAATGAGCCATCCCTGGTGTAGTGGCTTCAATTACCCAGTCCCTTGTTGTAGAAGCTTCAATTACCCAGTCCCTTGTTGTAGAAGCTTCATTTACCCAGTCCCCTCGTGTAGGGGCTTCAATTACCCAGTCCCTTGTTGTAGGGGCTTCATTTACCCAGTCCCCTCGTGTAGGGGCTTCAATTACCCAGTCCCCTGTTGTAGGGGCTTGTTACCCAATCCCCAGTCGTAGTGGCTTCAGCTTTTTTCTTCCATCAGTTCTTTGTCTATGCTGTCAGGTTGTTTTTTCAATAAGCTGTTTATCTTCTATCAATTGTCATTCTACTATCAGCTGTTTTGTCTACTGTCGCCTGTTTGTCTGCTATCAATTGTCAGTCTACTATCAGCTGTTTTGTCTACTGTCGCCTGTTTGTCTGCTATCAATTGTCATTCTACTATCAGCTGTTTTGTCTACTGTCGCCTGTTTGTCTGCTATCAATTGTCAGTCTACTATCAGCTGTTTGTCTGCTTGTCTGTTTTATCCAATACCAACTTTTTTCTACTATTAGCCGTTTGTCTGCTATCAATTGTCAGTCTCGTGTCATGTTTGCCTACTATCAGCTATTTGTCTACGGTCAGTTGTTTGTCTACTATCAGCTGTTTATCTAGTATCAGTTGTTTGCCTACTATCAGCTGTTTTTCTACTGTCAGCTGTTTATCTAGTATCAGTTGTTTGTCTACTATCAGCTGTTTTTCTACTGTCAGTTGTTTGTCTACTATCAGCTGTTTGTCTAGTATCAGTTGTTTGCCTACTATCAGCTATTTGTCTACTGTCAGTTGTTTGCCCACTATCAGCTGTTTTTCTACTGTCAGTTGTTTGCCTACTATCAGCTGTTTGTCTACTGTCAGTTGTTTATCTAGTATCAGTTGTTTGCCTACTATCAGCTGTTTGTCTACTGTCAGTTGTTTATCTAGTATCAGTTGTTTGCCTACTATCAGCTGTTTGTCTACTGTCAGTTGTTTATCTAGTATCAGTTGTTTGCCTACTATCAGCTGTTTGTCTACTGTCAGTTGTTTATCTAGTATCAGTTGTTTGCCTACTATCAGCTGTTTGTCTACTGTCAGTTGTCTAGTATCAGTTGTTTGCCTACTATCAGCTGTTTTTCTACTGTCAGTTGTTTATCTAGTATCAGTTGTTTGCCTACTATCAGCTGTTTGTCTACTGTCAGTTGTTTATCTACTATCAGCTGTTTGCCTACTATCAGCTGTTTGTCTACTGTCAGTTGTTTGTCTAGTATCAGTTGTTTGCCTACTATCAGCTATTTGTCTACTAGTGTTGTCTACTTTCAGGGATGTCCGGAGTGAAGGGAGCAGCTCTGCGGGAGGCGTCACACATCAACAAGAGCTTGTCTGCATTAGCCGATGTGCTCGGTGCTCTGTCAGAGAACAGGACCCATGTTCCGTACCGGAACAGCAAACTCACACATCTGCTACAGGACTCCATAGGTAAGTCTGAACCTTATCAAATCCAAGCATTACATACTACTCAAAAAAGTTAAAGAACACCTGGTTCTTTCATATTACTATAGGTAATCTGTCATGGGCAGTTTAACTCTAGCAGTGTGAAAGAATCGGTGTCAAATACCAAGTTAGTCTAGTTTCATGAACTGTCTGAAAATGCAGCCAGTTGGTAAATAAGATTACTTAAAAGTAATAATGCAGTCAGTCAGAAAATTCGCAACTCTTATAATTAATGCAACTAGTTATTTTCAATACCTGTGAAGATCCTGGGTTGAATAGGTCTTCAGCAACTCACTCCTGCCGTAACAGGTGACTATGCTTGTCGTAAGAGACAACTAACGGGATCGGGTGGTCAGGCTTGCTGACTTGGTTGATGCATGTCATCATATCCCAATTCCGTGGTTCGATGCTCATGATGTCAATCACGGGATTGTCTGGTCACGATACTTGAATATTGCTGAGTGCGGCGTTAAACAAAATACAAAGTTATTTTCAAAAGTCTCATGAGCAAGCATGAAGAAATGGTTATTTGTTGTTTTGAGAAACATAGAAGATATTGTTTTCTTCTACTCCCTCGTCTTGCTGTCCCTCAGGTGGTGATGCCAAGCTACTGGTGTTGCTGTGCGTGTCCCCCTCCCAGCGCTATATCACCGAATCACTGCAGTGTCTGGGCTTCGGACAGAGAGCGCGCCAGGTCCAGCGAGGCCCCACCAAGCGCCGACTGCCGACCTCCGCCGAGAAGGTCCACTATGAAGCAAGGTCGAACTCCCCCAAAGCCAGATCCTCCTCAGCTTCAGAAAAGATGATTACAAGCCAGCGATTCTGATGCTCACGAGGGGGCATGGGTGAATCAGTCGTCTAAGAGGCCGCAATTCACAGAGTTGTGTCCTATGATTGTGGTTCACCCTGATTGGTTCAGCACAATACCCGTGGTCATTGGTTACACCATTGTGGTAAACCTCAAATCTGCATCAATTTGGGCTTTGTTCCTCATCAAGCTGTTGTGATATACGTGGAATACTGCCACTTTTAGCCTAACTCAGGCGATTGGGTAGCCTAGTGGTTAAAGCGTTCATTCGTCACGCCAAAGACCCGGGTTCGAGTCCCGACATGGGTACAATGTGTGAAGCCCATTTCTGGTGTTCCCCGCTGTGATATTGCTGGAATATTGCTAAAAGCGGCGAAAAACCATACTCGTCAATTATCCTAACTCACTCACTCACTAACTTTGCTGCTGATGCAGTTCTTCATTTGGAGGAGTGAAGGGGCATGAACAGATGGTGATGACTTGTCAGCTGTTGTTATGGATAATATGTAATCAATCAAATGTTGGCCTTTTGACAATCCTTGAAATAAATAGTTGTTCTTATGATCATGATATGGTTTAAGAAACATGAAAGAAAGATTCTCCTGGGCAATGACTGTAGAACATCCTATTTATTTGTAACTTTTTTCACAAGGAGTGTCCAGATTAACGGGGTCTCATTGTATATGTAGGGTACAGTTAAAAGGAAGACTGCATCAAAGTAGATCCATTTCATGTTTGGCTAGTATTGTGCATATTTATGTCCCCACATACAGAGATCTGTACCTACAGAGAAATGTGCATGGTAAGTCCCAAGATATATGCACAGGCAATCTTTACATTGTTTACCAGCATATTATTAACTGACTTCTTTCTCAATTGAATTTTAAGTTGACATAATGGTCTATTGTACTTTCTCATGTGAAGTTGTGTTACCATATTCGACGTAATAAGCACCCCGCTCTAATAAGCGCCCACAGCGATATTTGCTAATATATTGGCTAGTGAAAAATCCCAAAAAGCACCAGCTCCGATTGTTAAATGTACACAAGACTTATTTATTCTTGTATAATACGTGTGTTATATGCATCCTTAATTATCGGAAATTAAATTCTGGAAAAACATATCTGTCGTATATTTACATTTCAGGCTGTCTGCATAAACCATGAAATTTACGATCTTTCGATTGTATTTCAACAAGATAATATTCTAATAAGAGCCCCCTATTTCTAATTTTGAGAGCACCCTGGGCACTTATTATGTCGAGTACGGTACCTTAAATCATGGTTCACATGATGATGTCACATTCATTACGGATGGGGGTATTTTGTCATCTGACAATTATCCACACACTATCAGCAACAACAATGACATTTTGGAATGCAGAGCAATGGCATGACTTCAAGTAACAACCAAGTAGGGGCTTTGAGAATTTAGAGAAGTAATTTAAATTTTATAAAGTCAACTAATAATTTTTCAGTTTTCCATTGAATATTAATTAATTTCACTACTTCATGAAAATTATACCATATTACAATGTAATCCAAATTGTATATACATGTGTTGAGGTAATGATCTGTTACATTTAAGATTTACTCAGGTGAAGTTGTGTGTTTAATACCCAATGTGATGTGTACGGCTACTGACTGTGATACCCACATGGAAACTGTGATATGATATATTACCAATGATGATAATAAATCCTATGTTTCATACCTGTGTGAAAGTTTTGTGAATATCTATCTCTCCCACATACATACATATCTATCTCTACAGGGATAGTGTCAAATGTTGAATTGTTTATGTTATCTGGCAGATGAATAAGTGTCATCTTTCTCTCTCTCTTACAATTGAGAGAGAGAGAGAAAGAGAATCAGATGTCAGCTTTCTCTCTCTCTTACAATTGAGAGAGAGTGGTCAGCTTTCTGCTTTATTTTTTTACCTGTTTTGAATTGGAAAAGTCGAGTTTAACACAAGAAAAGTCATATCGAACACAAATATTCACCTACTGTTAGGTATCGTATTCAGAGAAAAAGATCTGATATTAATGATGTCGAACTGAACATAACCAGTGGAAATGCACAGAAGTTCTCAGTTTGAAAGATCACAGATAAATTAGTAATAATCAGCATATTTTATTTCACGATGAATAGGATACAAAATAGACTCTCACACTATATACTTACAGGGCCACTAATATATCTTGAGATACCAAAGTGTTCATGAAATAAGAAATCATGAATAGGAAGAAAAGGTTTTTGATAACAAGGAACTGCAAAATATCATTCATTACAGGTATGTTAAAAGAACATCTCGACATGAAAGCCCTTGATCATGCTAAATATAAAGTCTCCCTGATTTCATTTCAAACAAACCATCACCGTATCTGAGTCAACACCGTCAACAACACACATCAGTCAAATACATATCAATCAACAACACAATCAACAACAGACATTAGTCATTGACACAGTCAACAACACACCTCAGTCAAAGACAGCCATTCAACATTTTGATTAACACACCATGAATTAAAGGCACGTAAGGCAGTTTCTTACACATATGCATATTCTTACAGTTTCTTCCTGCCACAATATGAGTGTGTTTGATATGATACCACTGTAAACAGTTATGGCATATAGTGTCACTTTATACATGTAAGTGTTACCAGCAGTATTTGTCCAGAAGATGGGGGTTTCTTGGGTAACAGGGTCTGGACAACAAAGGTTTCACTGTATTTGGATTGATGAATGACCCCTTTTGACATAGTTAGCAATAACCTCTAAACCTCATATGAAACCTGATCGAAGCAGGTAGAAGACCCCCCACCAATGTTTTACGCTAATACGATACCTCTCTGTGTGAAAATCTAAAAACACAGTCATTAAAGATTTTATCAGGTGAACCAATATAAATGAGGATGTTTTAAAACAATTCAGTTTGATTTGTTAATTTTGATTTGGACATTTGAAAAAACCACAGAACAAATATTCATTTGATGGTACTCCCTCTTGGCGCTCAGGATTGACAGGTTGTGTTATCCTGGTGTCATCAGATCTTCAAGCAGAGTGGTATTGTATCAAAGTAACAGATCTAATATTAATTAGATTAATCTGCCATCACCTCCCATCTGCCACTCACTACGGTGTCTTGATAATGTCAATGATTTTCTTATACACAACGTTAACAGCATCCACACCCCAGATGAAGTCAAGATGATTCCACTTCGGGATGTAGAAACTCCCTTGCAGCTGACCACGAGTCAGCTTGGACATAAGCAGCTTCACATCCTGGAGACAAAGAAATGTAGTGCCCATCAGCAAATGTTTACCCAATACAGGCCTTGTGAACAAGTCTGGTGGTGATATGTAATGTTAACCCAATACAGGCCTTGTTTATAAGTCTGGGGATATGTAATGTTAACCCAATACAGGCCTTGTGAACATTGTGGTGATATGTAATGTTAACCCAATACAGGCCTTGTGAACAGGTCTGGTGGTGATATGTAATGTTAACCCAATACAGGCCTTGTGAACAAGTCTGGTGGTGATATGTAATGTTAACCCAATACAGGCCTTGTGAACAAGTCTGGTGGTGATATGTAATGTTAACCCAATACAGGCCTTGTGAACAAGTCAGGTGGTGATATGTAATGTTAACCCAATACAGGCCTTGTTTATAAGTCTGGGGATATGTAATGTTAACCCAATACAGGCCTTGTGAACAAGTCAGGTGGTGATATGTAATGTTAACCCAATACAGGCCTTGTGAACAAGTCAGGTGGTGATATGTAATGTTAACCCAATACAGGCCTTGTTTATAAGTCTGGGGATATGTAATGTTAACCCAATGCAGGCCTTGTGAACATTGTGGTGATATGTAATGTTAACCCAATGCAGGCCTTGTGAACAAGTCAGGTGGTGATATGTAATGTTAACCCAATACAGGCCTTGTTTATAAGTCTGGGGATATGTAATGTTAACCCAATACAGGCCTTGTGAACAAGTCAGGTGGTGATATGTAATGTTAACCCAATACAGGCCTTGTGAACAAGTCTGGTGGTGATATGTAATGTTAACCCAATACAGGCCTTGTAAACATTGTGGGGATATGTAATGTTAACCCAATACAGGCCTTGTGAACAAGTCTGGTGGTGATATGTAATGTTAACCAAATACAGGCCTTGTGAACAAGTCAGGTGGTGATATGTAATGTTAACCAATTACAGGTCTTGTGAACAAGTCTGGTGGTGATATGTAATGTTAACCCAATACAGGCCTTGTGAACAAGTCTGGTGGTGATATGTAATGTTAACCCAATACAGGCCTTGTGAACAAGTCAGGTGGTGATATGTAATGTTAACCCAATACAGGCCTTGTGAACAAGTCTGGTGGTGATATGTAATGTTAACCCAATACAGGCCTTGTGAACAAGTCAGGTGGTGATATGTAATGTTAACCCAATACAGGCCTTGTGAACAAGTCTGGTGGTGATATGTAATGTTAACCCAATACAGGCCTTGTGAACAAGTCAGGTGGTGATATGTTATGTTAACCCAATACAGGCCTTGTGAACAAGTCTGGTGGTGATATGTAACGTTAACCCAATACAGGCCTTGTGAACATGTCAGGTGGTGATATGTAATGTTAACCCAATACAGGCCTTGTGAACAAGTCTGGTGGTGATATGTAATGTTAACCCAATACAGGCCTTGTGAACAAGACTGGTGGTGATATGTAATGTTAACCCAATACAGGCCTTGTGAACAAGTCAGGTGGTGATATGTAATGTTAACCCAATACAGTCCTTGTGAACAAGTCTGGTGGTGATATGTAATGTTAACCCAATACAGGCCTTGTGAACAAGTCTGGTGGTGATATGTAATGTTAACCCAATACAGTCCTTGTGAACAAGTCTGGTGGTGATATGTAATGTTAACCCAATACAGGCCTTGTGAACAAGTCAGGTGGTGATATGTAATGTTAACCCAATACAGGCCTTGTGAACAAGTCAGGTGGTGATATGTAATGTTAACCCAATACAGTCCTTGTGAACAAGTCTGGTGGTGATATGTAATGTTAACCCAATACAGGCCTTGTGAACAAGTCTGGTGGTGATATGTAATGTTAACCCAATACAGTCCTTGTGAACAAGTCTGGTGGTGATATGTAATGTTAACCCAATACAGGCCTTGTGAACAAGTCAGGTGGTGATATGTAATGTTAACCCAATACAGGCCTTGTGAACAAGTCTGGTGTTGCTATGTACTCACAAACAAGGGCAGATTACTTGAAATAAGCTAACAGCTTCTGCAGGACTTTTGTCTTCTATAATTTTTTGGAATCAAATCAAGAGTGATACCCACATTCCAACAACATGAGGTGTATATCGAGATGTATGAGAGACCGAGACCGGTGTAGAGCAGGTAGACATGTCCAAGTTGTTCACTTACCTGTACATCAGCCAGTCTTCTCTGCATAGAACAGGTAGACAGGTGTGTCCATGTTGTTGACTTACCTTTACATCAGCAAGCCAGTTGTTCTCTGCATAGAACAGGTAGATATGTGTCCATGTTCCTGACTTACCTGTACATCAGCAAGCCAGTCGTTCTCTGCATAGAACAGGTAGATATGTGTCCATGTTGTTGACTTACCTGTACATCAGCCAGCCAGTCGTTCTCTGCATAGAACAGGTAGATATGTGTCCATGTTCTTGACTTACCTGTACATCAGCCAGCCAGTCGTTCTCTGCATAGAACAGGTAGATGTGTGTCCATGTTGTTGACTTACCTGTACATCAGCCAGCCAGTCATTCTCTGAATAGAACAGGTAGACAGGTGTGTCCATGTTGTTGACTTACCGGTACATCAGCAAGCCAGTCGTTCTCTGCATAGAACAGGTAGATTTGTGTCCATGTTGTTGACTTACCTGTACATCAGCCAGCCAGTCATTCTCTGAATAGAACAGGTAGACAGGTGTGTCCATGTTGTTGACTTACCTGTACATCAGCGGGTCTTTCTCTGAATAGAACAGGAAGATTTGTGTCCATGTTGTTGACTTACCTGTACATCAGCCCGCCAGTCGTTCTCTGAATAGAACAGGTAGACAGGTGTGTCCATGTTGTTGACTTACCTGTACATCAGCGGGTCGTTCTCTGAACAGAACAGGAAGATTTGTGTCCATGTTGTTGACTTACCTGTACATCAGCCCGCCAGTCGTTCTCTGAATAGAACAGGTAGACAGGTGTGTCCATGTTGTTGACTTACCTGTACATCAGCCAGCCAGTCATTCTCCGAATAGAACAGGTAGATTTGTGTCCATGTTGTTGACTTACCTGTACATCAGCGGGTCGTTCTCTGCATAGAACAGGTAGATATGTGTCCATGTTGTTGACTTACCTGTACATCAGCCAGCCAGTCGTTCTCTGAATAGAACAGGTAGATGTGTGTCCATGTTGTTGACTTACCTGTACATCAGCCTGCCAGTCGTTCTCTGCATAGAACAGGTAGATATGTGTCCATGTTGTTGACTTACCTGTACATCAGCCAGCCAGTTGTTCTCTGCATAGAACAGGTAGATATGTGTCCATGTTGTTGACTTACCTGTACATCAGCCAGCCAGTCGTTCTCTGCATAGAACAGGTAGATATGTGTCCATGTTGACATACCTGTGCATCAGCAAGCCAGTCGTTCTCTGCATAGAACAGGAAGATTTGTGTCCATGTTGTTGACTTACCTGTACATCAGCCAGCCAGTCATTCTCTGAATAGAACAGGTAGACAGGTGTGTCCATGTTGTTGACTTACCTGTACATCAGCAAGCCAGTCGTTCTCTGCATAGAACAGGTAGATTTGTGTCCATGTTGTTGACTTACCTGTACATCAGCAGGTCGTTCTCTGAATAGAACAGGAAGATTTGTGTCCATGTTGTTGACTTACCTGTACATCAGCCCGCCAGTCGTTCTCTGAATAGAACAGGTAGACAGGTGTGTCCATGTTGTTGACTTACCTGTACATCAGCCAGCCAGTTGTTCTCTGCATAGAACAGGTAGATTTGTGTCCATGTTGTTGACTTACCTGTACATCAGCGGGTCGTTCTCTGCATAGAACAGGTAGATATGTGTCCATGTTGTTGACTTACCTGTACATCAGCCCGCCAGTCAATCTCTGCATAGAACAGGTAGATTTGTGTCCATGTTGTTGACTTACCTGTACATCAGCGGGTCGTTCTCTGCATAGAACAGGTAGATATGTGTCCATGTTGTTGACTTACCTGTACATCAGCCAGCCAGTCGTTCTCTGAATAGAACAGGTAGACAGGTGTGTCCATGTTGTTGACTTACCTGTACATCAGCGGGTCGTTCTCTGCATAGAACAGGTAGATGTGTGTCCATGTTGTTGACTTACCTGTACATCAGCGGGTCGTTCTCTGCATAGAACAGGTAGATTTGTGTCCATGTTGTTGACTTACCTGTACATCAGCCAGCCAGTCATTCTCTGAATAGAACAGGTAGACAGGTGTGTCCATTTTGTTGACGTCATACAACGGTGGTGTTGACTGAAGCAAATTTTAAATTTTTTTGAGTGAATGAGTGAGTATGGTTTTACGCCGGGCAGTGATGACTTAGCATTACACCACTGCCAAAGGCTAATTTGCATATCATGTGACCAGACTTTTCTCTTGATTGTAAAGATATGCACTTATTCTGATATCAGAACAGGCTGGCCTAATACAAGCCTTTTGGTTTTTACACACGTTTTTTTACATAATTATAGAGATATACTACAACAGCAACAGTGACAATATAGCTTTACACATTAAAGTGACCCTATCACTAGCTATCCGTAAGGCTTTGATGTCTGCACGTGGAGCCATACAACCAATGTAAACAAAGGATAGATATGCAAATAGAAATACATTTTCCATCAAAGTTAACATATGTCTATCTAAATGTGTAGATAAAAAATATAAATAAAACAAATGAAAACATATCCAATATCTTGAAAGGACTGAGTAGACGTTAAAAAATCGTCATATGTCATTGGGCTCGCCACATGGAATTATGGGTAGGAGGTTTGTTCTAACCCAGGGCTGTGGATGACAACAGGACATCAGTGGTCAGTGATGTGATCTCACCTGGTTGTAATGCTTCTGGTTATCTGTCTCAGATCCGTAGTCGTACATCTGGAAGGCTTTGGTCCTCACACCCTGCAGTGAAACATGGCGTACTGAGGGACAGGCTATATATGACAGAAGTCGCATCAACATGTGAATGGAAGACTGTTTGTTTGTTTCTAAGGCCACACACAGCAATATTTCAGCTGTATGAAGGTGGTCTGTAATAAAGCTAGTCCAGTGCTTAGTACATTTCACTGTCAGAATATTGCCATTTTTCCATCTACATACACCATAAAAATGTTCACGTTCCACGCATCAGTACTAATCGTTATGAGGTACACACTAATCTTTGCGACATGCAAGAGAAGAAAATATTTGAAACATATTTATCTAACAACAGAGTTAACCATGGTTACCAAATCAAATCATAAGGCCTTTTAGAGGTCAGACTGCCAAATTGAATACTTTTTCAAGCCTGTAGAACTTGGTGAAAATCTGCAGTCTGTGTTCGAATTTGAAAACTCTTGGGTCCTCAAGTCTTCTGTCTGTATGAATCATAGGCACCTACTATTAATCTATTATCTACTATTAATCTATCATCTACTGTTAAACTATGAAAGTGAGTGAGTTGGGTTTAACACCGCTTTTAACAGTATTCCAGTTATATCACGGCGTGTCAGCTTAAATTGGGAGGAAAGCCCGAAGTGATGCAGGTCTCAGATGTTTACCACTTCGGTGAAACCCACAAGCACGGGTATGGTGCTGACAAACCTAGAAACATAATCGGGGCGAACCAGGATTCGAACCAACAATCATAGGTTTTTGGCGTGCCCAAGGGATGCAACTCTGCACAGCGAATCGCGGCACCTTAGACGACTGGGCCACCCATACCCCCAATTAATCTATGATCTACTATAAATCTATTATATACAATCAAATGTTCATCAACTTGTAGATTCATTGACATACATTCCCAATGTCTGTACGTCATAACCATCATTCTGTAACACACCGAGTTGACCTACAGAAGAAGCACTGCATGAGTATAATGTTTAAGTTCCAGGCACTCCCCACTGTCATATGAGTCCAGCCATTTATATGGGATTTGAAACCATGTGCCCTTGCCAGGCAAACTGGGAATAAAATCAGTATTTTGTTCAACATTGGGATTTCTAAAAAAAAACTTTCCTAAATTCTATTCTTTTTTCATCATTGTTTGTTAAAAAAAGCATTGAAGCCTCTTCCTCTTTATTGGTGCTGTTATCATGTGAGAAACAGTGACCTCTGCCAAGCCACAACATTGGTTAGTTACTTAGTTATAGCTGTACTAACATGAAGTGGGTATCTTTAATTTCCTACTTGGGATTTTCTTAACATTTGCTCCAGATTTGGGGCCAAATATCTGCCTCTGAGCAGGTCTAGACAAAAGGTTTCAGGTTGTACATCTGAGTATTGATAGCGTACCCCTCCCTCCTCACCTGGGCAAAGTGTACCATGTCCTGTACAGAGGTGCCTGCTGGCGTGTGGCTGATGTACACCGGGAGCCGACTCTGAAACAATCCGTCACTGTCTGTACATATTACATGATGTTTTACAGTTGAAAGGGATTCTGGTCTGATTGATGTTCTACAGGGAGAATGATCTGGTTGATGTTCTACAGGGAGACTGACCTGATTGGTGTTCTACAGGGAGACTGACCTGACTGATGTTCTACAGGGAGACTGGCCTGATTGATGTTCTAGAGGGAGACTGACCTAATTGATGATCTACAGGGAGACTGGTCTGATTGATTTTCTACATGGAGACTGACCTGATTGATGATCTACAGGGATTCTGGCCTGATTGGTGTTCTACAGGGAGACTGACCTGATTGAGGTTCTACAGGGAGACTGACCTGATTGAGGTTCTACAGGGAGACTGATCTGATTGGTGTTCTACAGGGAGACTGACCTGATTGAGGTTCTACAGGGAGACTGACCTGATTGATGTTCTACAGGGAGACTGACCTGATTGATGTTCTAGAGGGAGACTGATCTGATTGGTGTTCTACAGGGAGACTGACCTGATTGAGGTTCTACAGGGAGACTGACCTGACTGATGTTCTACAGGGAGACTGGCCTGATTGATGTTCTAGAGGGAGACTGACCTGATTGATGTTCTACAGGGAGACTGTGCCTGATTGATGTTCTACGGGGAGACTGGCCTGATTGATGTTCTACAGGGAGACTGACCTGATTGAGGTTCTACAGGGAGACTGGCCTGATTGATGTTCTACAGGGAGACTGATCTGATTGATGTTCTACAGGGAGACTGGCCTGATTGATGTTCTACAGGGAGACTGGCCTGATTGATGTTCTACAGGAAGACTGATCTGGTTGATGTTCTACAGGGAGACTGACCTGATTGATGTTCTATAGGGAGACTGACCTGATTGATGATCTACAGGGATTCTGGCCTGATTGGTGTTCTACAGGGAGACTGACCTGATTGAGGTTCTACAGGGAGACTGACCTGATTCAGGTTCTACAGGGACACTGATCTGATTGGTGTTCTACAGGGAGACTGACCTGATTGAGGTTCTACAGGGAGACTGACCTGATTGAGGTTCTACAGGGAGACTGACCTGATTGATGTTCTAGAGGGAGACTGATCTGATTGGTGTTCTACAGGGAGACTGACCTGATTGAGGTTCTACAGGGAGACTGACCTGACTGATGTTCTAGAGGGAGACTGACCTGATTGATTTTCTACAGGGAGACTGATCTGATTGGTGTTCTACAGGGAGACTGACCTGATTGATGTTCTACAGGGAGACTGACCTGATTGAGGTTCTACAGGGAGACTGACCTGACTGATGTTCTACAGGGAGACTGGCCTGATTGATGTTCTACAGGGAGACTGGCCTGATTGATGTTCTACGGGGAGACTGAACTGATTGGTGTTCTACAGGGAGACTGATCTGATTGAGGTTCTACCGGGACACTGACCTGATTGAGGTTCTACAGGGAGACTGATCTGATTGGTGTTCTACAGGGAGACTCTGATTGAGGTTCTACAGGGAGACTGACCTGATTGAGGTTCTACAGGGAGACTGACCTGATTGATGTTCTATAGGGACACTGACCTGATTGATGTTCTACAGGGAGACTGACCTGATTGATGTTCTACAGGGAGACTGACCTGAATGATGTTCTACAGGGAGACTGACCTGATTGATGTTCTACAGGGAGACTGACCTGAATGATGTTCTACAGGGAGACTGACCTGATTGATGTTCTATAGGGACACTGACCTGATTGATGTTCTACAGGGAGACTGACCTGAATGATGTTCTACAGGGAGACTGACCTGAATGAGGTTCTACAGGGAGACTGACATGATTGATGTTCTACAGGGACACTGACCTGATTGATGTTCTACAGGGAGGCTGACCTGATTGATGTTCTACAGGGAGACTGGCCTGAATGATGTTCTACAGGGACACTGACCTGATTGATGTTCTACAGGGAGACTGACCTGATTGATGTTCTACAGGGAGACTGACCTGAATGATGTTCTACAGGGATACTGACCTGATTGATGTTCTATAGGGAGACTGACCTGATTGATGATCTACAGGGATTCTGGCCTGATTGGTGTTCTACAGGGAGACTGACCTGATTGAGGTTCTACAGGGAGACTGACCTGATTGAGGTTCTACAGGGAGACTGACCTGATTGAGGTTCTACAGGGAGACTGACCTGACTGATGTTCTAGAGGGAGACTGACCTGATTGATGTTCTACAGGGAGACTGGCCTGATTGATGTTCTACAGGGAGACTGACCTGAATGATGTTCTACAGGGAGACTGACCTGATTGAGGTTCTACAGGGAGACTGGCCTGATTGATGTTCTAGAGGGAGACTGATCTGATTGGTGTTCTACAGGGAGACTGACCTGATTGAGGTTCTACATGGAGACTGACCTGATTGATGTTCTACAGGGAGACTGACCTGATTGATGTTCTATAGGGAGTCTGACCTGATTGATGTTCTACAGGGAGACTGACCTGATTGATGTTCTACAGGCTGACTGACCTGATTGATGTTCTACAGGGAGACTGACCTGATTGATGTTCTAGAAGGAGACTGACCTGACTGATGTTCTACAGGGAGACTGACTGACCTGATGTTCTACAGGGAGACTGACCTGATTGATGTTCTAGAAGGAGACTGACCTGACTGATGTTCTACAGGGAGACTGACCTGACTGATGTTCTACAGGGAGACTGACCTGATTGATGTTCTAGAAGGAGACTGACCTGACTGGTGTTCTACAGGGAGACTGACCTGACTGATGTTTTACAGGGAGACTGACCTGATTGATGTTCTACAGGGAGACTGACCTGACTGATGTTCTACAGGGATACTGACCTGATTGATGTTCTAGAAGGAGACTGGCCTGACTGATGTTCTACAGGGATACTGATCAAGTTGATGTTCTAGAAGAAGACTGACCTGACTGATGTTCTACAGGGAGACTGACCTGACTGATGTTGTACATGCTGACTGACCTGATTGATGTTCTAGGAGACTGACCTGACTGATGTTCTACAGGGATACTGACCTGATTGATGTTCTAGAAGGAGACTGGCCTGACTGATGTTCTACAGGGAGACTGATCAAGTTGATGTTCTACAGGGAGACTGATCTGGTTGATGTTCTACAGGGAGACTGACCTGGTTGATGTTCTAGAGGGAGACTGACCTGGTTGAGGTTAGACACATCATATCCAGCAATGAGGAAGAGGACGTTCGAGCACAGGAAGCGGGTGTGCTTGTCCTGACACACTGTGTCAGCCAGGAGCTGCAGGATTTCGTCGTGGGGCAGGAAGTCCCTGTGCTTGAACAACTTGTATATTTCCTGAAACACACACAAAGAGGTCACAGGTCTCAGGCCACAGGTCACTGGAATGTCAGAAGCTACTGCAAAATGCACAAGCATGGTAAAAAGGAACCAAGAACAGTTCCTTTACCTCATCGGCTCTCAATTTTCAGCCTTACAGCTGTTGAAAGTGGTTTGAGATAACCAAAAGACCTCTTGCACTAAGAGGTAAACACAGGTAGGTAAGTAGGTAGGTAGGCAGGTAAACATTGGTACAGAGGTAAACAATCAGGGTTTTTTCATGATGACAAGTTACCATGGTTACATATGTGCAAAAAGATTCATGTCACATCTGAATGATGTTTTGTCTGTTGTTTAACGCCGCACTCAGCAATATTCTAGCTATATGACAATGGCCTGGAAATAACGTAGTCTGGCCCTGACCACCTAGTGATAGACATTGTGAACAACGATTCATGCCTGTACAATGACACATAGTCAACCATGTCACCAAGCCTGACCCCGATCCATTTGGTCGCCTCTTACAAACGGGGCTGTGAATGATGAATCAATCAGATTCCCGAAAGCATTTTTTTAAATCAAAGAATATTGTAATCTTGTCATGTTCATGTTCAAGTGAATCAGGTGTAAATTAACGCATTCAACATAACCTTTGGGTATCTATACCCAAGTGTAAACTATGACTGACATCAAATGGACTGTCAACTCACCGAGTCGGAGATATCTGACAGGTACTTGAGTGGACTGATGATGTTGCCGACAGTGACAACTGGACCCATTGCAAAGAATTTCTTCACCTTTGAATATTGAAATGACACGTAAATGAACATGAAGATCAACACCCTCGTGACGAACACTGGGCATCACGATGTCTATGCTACAGATTCAGTTAAGTAAAGATTCATGAACCAAACTGAGACAAGGAGTACCTCAAGTCCTGAAAGTCAGGCAAAGCTCATGTAAGCCTGAACCGTGTGAAACCGTGATAACCTGCATAACACTGCTGCTAGTGGAACCAGCAACATATTCCTATATTAAGGAATCCTGGTTCTGCAGACTCTGCTACAGGATTTCGGGGTGGTTGGGTAGCCTAGTGGTTACAGCGTTTGCTCGTCACGCCGAAGACCCGGGTTCGATTCCCGACATGGGTACAATGTGTGAAGCCCATTTCTGTTGTCCCACGCCGTGATATTGCTGGAATATTGCTAAAAGTGGCGTAAAACCAAACTCACTCACTCACTCATGATTTACACTACTGTCCTGCTCCAGGAGTTCAAACATTTGTTAATACGACTTGTTTGTTTGTTATTTAACGTCACACTCAGCAGTATTACATCTATATGACGGCAGCCTGTAAATAATCAAGTCAGAACCAGACTATCCAGTGACTGAGCAACAATCCACTCCATCAAGGTATGATGACAAACAATCAACCAAGTCACAAAACCGGACCACCAATTCATTTGGTTGCCTCTTACAACAAGGGGATTGCTGGGGATCTATTCTAACCCAGAACCCACTTGGGAGATCAGCGGAAGTTTGCTGGGGATCTATTCTAACCCAGAACCCACTTGGGAGATCAGCGGAAGTTTGCTGGGGATCTATTCTAACCCAGAACCCACTTGGGAGATCAGTGGAGGTTGGCTGGGGATCTATTCTAACCCAGAACCCACTTGGGAGATCAGCGGAAGTTTGCTGGGGATCTATTCTAACCCAGAACCCACTTGGGAGATCAGCGGAAGTTTGCTGGGGATCTATTCTAACCCAGAACCCACTTGGGAGATCAGTGGAGGTTGGCTGGGGATCTATTCTAACCCAGAACCCATACTGGGAGATGAGTGCAAGTTACTGGGCACTGTTCTAACCCGTACCATGATTGTTCATGCTCATTGGAGGCAGGGTTGCATCCCTTGGGCATGCCAAAAAACTATGAATGTGGGTTTGGATACTGATTCCCCTCAATTATGTTCCAAGGTTTGTCAGCACCATACCCGTGCTAGTGGGTTTCACCAAAGTGGTAAACATCTGAGACCTTCATCACATTAAGCTGACACACTGTGATATAAATGGAATACTGTTCAAAGCTGCGTAAACCCAACTCGCTCACTCGCCCAAAGCCCACTCATTCACCCTTCTTAACATACTTCTCTCGTACCTTTTTATTCATTTCCGGATACTGAGACAGAGCGGCAAAGGCTTGCAAGGTACCCTGGGAATGACCTACATAGTAGAGGTCTGATTGGCCAGACTGCTTGAGGGCAAAGTTCAACTGTGCCGGGAAGTCATACTTGGCAAACTCATCCCAGCTGAATCATACAAGGGAAAGTAGTTGAGGAAATATTTAGAAATAATTAACAACCCACACTCCGGCGCAGTACAAGAGTGAGAACAACCCTCACACAACACAAGAGGAAGAAGATTATGTCAAACCTTGCAGGATGATTACATGCAACTTTTCCTCATCAACACCCAGTCATAGTAGGAAAAGCAGATGAGGAAGCTGTGAGGAGGAAGTGTCAACAAACATACCAGGCCTCAAACCAGATGGTTTACACTTTCGCCTGATAACTCCAGGACCCACTTGCACAAAGCGATCTTAGCGCTACGACTGTTGTATGCCTATGTTAAAGAATGGGAGTTACGATCATCTTAGCGCCAAATCGCTTTGTGCAAGTGGGCCCTGTTCATTAGCATAGATTTACATGGCATTAAGATAGCTTTTGGAACATGGTACTGTTTCACGAAGCAAACTTAGCGCTACGACTGTCTTAAGTTTACTTGCACCATGGGGGATGTGATCGTCTTAGCGCTATGACATCATAAGTTTAGCTACGCGCATCTTCCCGAGCCAAGGGGAGAAGATCGAAGATGTGATCGTCTTCGTGATAAGATTGTCATAAGACTAGTTACACCATCGGATAAGTAATTGTCCTAGTACTAAGACTGTCATAAGTTTAGTTACACCATGGAAAATGCAATCTTAGCTCTAGGACTGTTTTAAATCTAGTTCCATCATGGGAGATTAGCATCTTAGCGCTAGTTACACCACAGAGGGATTTGATCACCATGTGACGAAGATTGCAGTGTGGGATGGCCTAGGACACTGAACTGAAGGTGTTAATAGTTTGCTTTGTGTGATCAGTTTATTCAAGTATGACCGGAATGGTTTCCCTGTGCGCCGTGTCCGTTCAGCAAGACACTGACTGCAGCTGCAGGTTTCGGTGTCTCTACATACCTGAACTCCCAGAATGCATCTTGATCTGGTTTCAGCGAGACATGTCGGAGGGAGTAGGTATTACCGCGGTTGTTGCCAAGCCAGACGTCGAAGCCAGCATCAGCCAGTATATACGCTGGAAAGATGAATGTAAGATAAATAAACTCTTGAATGAACACAATGCAGCAATGACCTGTTTCTGATGTCAGCAGTGAAACAACTGATTTACAAACTCATTAATCTGTTTTTGTAAACACATGCTACAAACCAATGTTCCTATAAAACAGAATCATGTAAACTTAGGTAGTACAGCTCTTAAAAGCCAAATTAATGGCAGTAAAATGGAAACCCATGTCATAATTGTGAATTACACGAAACAGATTTTATTCCTTTCACAATGGGGACTGCTGATCATAAAAACAATATACTGCATTCGACGTAATAAGCGCCCCGCTCTAATAAGCGCCCACGGCGATATTTGCTAATATATTGGCTAGAGAACAATCCCAATTAGCACCCCATCCGATTGTTCAATGTACACAAGACTTATTAATTTGTGTATAATATGTGCGTTATATGCATCCTTAATTATGGGAAGTTAAATTCTGGAAAAATATATCTGTCGTATATAAACATTTCAGGCTGTCAGCATAAACCACGAAATTTACGATCTTTCAACTCTGTTTTTTTTCACCCAAATTATATTCTAATAAGTCCCCCATATTTCTAATTTTGAGAGCGTCCTGGGCGCTTTTTATGTCGAATACGGTACTGCATTCATGATGAAGGCAATATTGTTGTCGGTTATCGCCTCAATATCTTGTTTGTTTGTTTGTTTGTTTGTTGTTTAACGCTGCACTCACACAGCAATATTCCAGCTATATGATGGCTGTCTGAAAATAATTGAGTCTGGACCAGACAATCCAGTGATTGACATCATGAGCATTGATCCACACAATTTGGATACGGTGACATGCATATCAACCAAGTCAGCGAACCTGACCACCTGATCCCGTTCATAGCCTCTTACGACAAGCATGGGTTGGTATTCTACCCTGTATCTTCACGGGTCTCCCCAATATCTATTGGCCTGAGTGTCTGAAGATGCTTCATAACCTGTTATAAGCCTGGCATCAGGAAGACAAGATACTACAACATTTTTGTAAACGTTTTTAGCATGTTTATGGAACCTACTTTATGCATAGTATCTAGGTAGGGTACAATATTTCTTGTATTACAGTGCTTTTACATTTGCTTAAGGGCACACTTGGAAATCAAATTTTACCTACAATACCTTGTTAATATGTTTAGTATTTGTTTTGTTTGTTTGTTTGTTTTTAACGCCTCACTCAGCAATATTCCAGCTATATGACAGCTGGCTGTAAGTAATCAAGTCTGGACCAGACAATCCAGTGATTGACATCATGATCATTAATGTATGCAACTGGGATACGATGACAAGCATCAACCAGGACAGCGAGCCTGACCACCCGAACCCGTTAGTCGTCTCTTAAGACAGGCATAGTTGCCTCATAGTCGCCTCTTATAACAAGCATGGGTTGGTGAAGATCAATTCATAGTTTAGCATGTGAAGCCAGTGATAATGATTCCTTTGCTCAGCAGAACTGGACGAACTGTGTGTCACAAACCTATTTCTTTTGTTTTAGTGAAAAGTATTCATCCTGTTGGAACATTTAAATCGCAAAGGACACATCTAAACATATTTATGACTGCCTTGTGACCCATTTGAAATAAGCTACATCTTTATCCCCATACATATCCTCTATGACACGATTCAGAGGGGGCATGGGTGCCCCAGTCATCTAAGGTGTCACAATTTGCTTGCAGAGTTGTTTCCCTTTGGCACGCCAGAAACCTATGATTGTGGGTTCGAATCCCGGTTCACCCAGATTATGTTTCTAGGTTTGACAGCACCATACCCGTGCACGTGTGATTCACCGAAGTGGTAAACAGCTGAGACTTGCATCACTTTGAGCTTTCCTATTAAGCTGACACACCATGATATAACTGGAATACTGTTAAAAGTAGCGTTAAACCCAACTCACTCACTAACTACACAAGATTCAGGCACAAACCAAACTGACAAGTCATCGGACACATATGTTGTGTACTTAGTCAGAGATTTATGACTGGCATATTTTTCTACCCAGTACAAAGTCCATGTGACCTTCAGAAACAACATTGTTTTCCTTGTGTGTAAAATAAGCCATAAACTCAGAAGTAGGACGATTCATCTGTCTCATAAAGATACACATTATATGGGGGTTTTGAACGTAATGTCAGTTGCTGACAGCCAAATGAATACTGTGACAGTCAAATAAATACTGTGACAGCCAAATGAATACTGTGACAGCCAAATGAATACTGTGACAGCCAAATAAATACTGTGACAGCCAAATAAATACTGTGACAGCCAAATAAATACTGTGACTGTAACATTGTCAAGCAAGACTGAATGAGGAACATTGTACAGAATATATAGAGTAGGTGGAGGATTAACAGTAACAACAACTGCATACATGAGTGGGATAACATGAGTATGTAATGACAAAGAGGGATAATATTGTCAGAACATGATGGACAGAAAACACATTGGTGGAAGCCAATGAGACAAGAAGCCAATTAAACAGGATAAGTTCACATAGGTGGGGTGATTATTGCTTATGAGTTCATAGTAGGCAGATGGGATGAAATAGCCTTGATCTCTTGACTGATCTACACCGAAATGTCACCTTCACAGCACACAAAGCCAGCGATCTGACCCACTCAGCCACCGAGGTCTCCACAAAATGAAAGTCTGACAACTGGTAGTCTAGATCACGTACTTTGTGTACCCCTCTGACAAGAGTAAATTGGCACGTATTCAGTTTTATTATAATTCCTAGTAGATTCTCAAGTAATTTGCATTATTTCTTCTGAATCAAGACACGATTTGTCTCTTATTTGTCATGACTTTCCAATGTTTATTATGTCTGAATGCGGGCAGGTAACTTTGAAGATGGGAAGGCAACATACAGTCAAGTCTCATTAATCCGACCCTCGTTAATCTGACAATCAGCTTTATCCGATACTAATGATGGGAACCCATTAAACCAATGCTATTTAGACCTGTTAATCCGACAGTCTCGCACTCCGACTCCGACACATCTAATTTGCAACGAATTACCGAAATCACTCATTAATCAGTCTCGTTAATCCGACACAGTGATCAGCGTACTCCGTGGTCATCTGCCCACGAGTACACAGCCAGTGGTTTGATGCGAGGCGAGTCGGCTGGTAGATGCATATTACAAAGCTGCAGAGATAAACTTTGCTTAACAATAAACAATTAATGCTTTAAATAAAGAAGACAGGATTAATCACATGCTTAGATTACCTCAATCTCATTAAAATCAGATACAAGTTCTAGTTATCGCCGAGGACATCCCATTACAGGTCACGTCAGAAGAACCTATTGCGAACTATGACCGCCGAACGTTGGTAGTACTTAATTTCGTTTATCTGACATACCGTATTCGACATAATAAGTGCCCTGGGCGCTCTCAAAATTAGAAATAGGGGGCTCTTATAAGAATATTATTTGGGTGAAAAAAGAAAATAGAGTTGAAAGATCGTAAATTTCGTGGTTTATGCTGACAGCCTGAAATGTTTATATACGACAGATAAATTTTTCAAGAATTTTATTTCCCATTATTAAGGTGCATTTAACACACGTATTATACACCAATAAATAAGTCTTGTTTACATTGATCAATTGGAAAGGGAGCTATTTGGAAATTGTTCACAAGCCAATATATTAGCAAATATCGCCGTGGGTATCCGACATAATCATATGCATCCAGCCATATCGGATTAATAGGACTTGACTGTATATAGGTCTCAGGCCCTACTGTCTTGTTGGCTTTTAAACTTATTTCAAACGCTGCTGGGCACAATTTATTGTGAGGCTGCCCATGTGGAAACACAACATTTGTGTACCTAAGCTTTCACTGGCCAGATTGGTGAGGAAGTTGGTGGCGGAACACAGCAGCCCGTGCTGGAGGAAGACCACAGGCCGGTTGGGGTCCTTGTTCGTGACCCCGTGTGGTATCCGCTGCACCCCCAGGAGGTAGCCGTCCTCCGTCTGTACACTGTACTCCTCATATGGGTAGCCCTTGCTGGTAATCAGCTGGCTCTACAACACAAGATCACAACAAACATTTGGAGTGTAATGATATATTAAACTGTTGCTGTATTGCAACTGTTTGCCTTGTGATAGTATCAGATCAATAGGAATTTTAAAATGCCCATAGTATTGGCGAAAGCATGCACAACAATCGATAGTTTCAATAGTCGCTATTAGTCATAATAATTTAACAAAACATAAATTATGTGAATTTCAGACATCAGGGGTAGAAACTAACATTTTTAGTCAACTAGTCCTTATAAAGAACTCAGATAGCAAAACCCTTAAAAATATCAAATTTCTACTTGTCCTTTTGATACCTTAACTATTGGGCAGTTTGGTAAGGACTCTAGGACTTGTGCCAATTTCTAACCCTGGACATGCCTGTGTGTTGGTTTGCAAGGATTATACAACAAGTTCAGAGAAGAGTGTTTTTTTTCTTCCCTTTGGTTGGTGGAAAATGGCTGACTTAGAGATTGTCAGCAATTCTTTATTCATTTCTATTACACTGATTAAAATAATCATCCATCATCCTGAGGCAAGGGTGTTCACTGAGTATAATAGTCCAGTTTCAAGCTGTAAAGTGGGTTTACAACTATCACAATACCATTGCAATTGTGACAATAGCTCCAATAGTCATCATTAACAAATATATTCACTTTTTTAAAAGTTTACTGAAAACAATATGCCAGTATTGGCCAATATTGGCTTTTGAAATGAAATCAATACAAAACTAATACCTAGACTTGTTTTTAATTCTTGGGTGACTGTTAGGGGCTCTATTACTACTACCAGTATGTTTGTACTGTGATAGTTAAAAACATTAATGCAATAATTAAACATATATTGTGATGCTACTAACTGCAAATACTACTCAATACTGCTGTAATAATCATATCACAATGGCGTTAGTATTGTGAGAGTTAAAAATACTCTCTTGATAATACTGCAACAATAATACCATTATTGCCATTGGTGAGGCGATGCGAGTTTGAGGCAAAATGGGGTTACATTGAGGTTACAATTGTTTCACCTATATACAGCTCCATGCTACTAGTTCAGACCTATGCCAGTTCTATAATGCTAATCCAAAAAGACATTTAATCTGATTCGATGCCGGCCAGTCCTTATTTTATCCCCTTAATACTGAGCGGCAACCAGGGAAACAACAAGTACCATCTTTAACATCTTTTGGCAGGACGCGGCCAAGGGATCAAACCACTGACTCTCTCTGCAGAAACCCTATCCACTAGACTGTGAAGGTTTTGTTTGTTTGTTTGTTGTTTAACGCCGCACTCAGCAATATTCCAGCTATATGACGGTGGTCTATAAATAATTGAGTCTGGGCCAGACATCTCAGTGATTGACATCATGAGCAGCGATCCACGCAGTTGGGATATGATGACATGCATCAACCAAGTCAGCGAGCCTGATGATGATGACCACCCGATCCTGTCAGTCGCCTCTTACGACAAACATAGTCACGTCTTTCGGCAAGCATGGGTTGCTGAAGACCTATTCTACCCCGGAACTTCACGGGCTGACTACGACAACTATTAATTATTGCGATAAAATGGTGAATACTTTTTCTTTCCCATTCTGTAGACCTCCTGGGCTGTAAACAGTTTCTCCATTACCTATGCCTAGTAGTAACTGTGAGGGTGTTGGGTTTTAACAGTATTCCGGTTACGTTATATCACGTTATGTCAGCTTAATGTTGGGGGAAAGCCTGAAGTGATGCAGGTCTCAGACGTTTACCACCTTGTTAAAACCCACGAGCACGGGTATGGTGCTGGCAAACCTTGAAACATAATTGGGGCGAACGGGGATTCCAACCCACAATCATCGGTCCTGCTCAAGGGACGCAACTCTGCACAGTGCATTGCGGTGTCTCAGATGACTGGGAAACCATGCCCCTTCACCCCTTCACCAATCTCCAGTAGATTGCAAGATACACTGTTTAGGTAACCATGGTAACTCTGACAGTAGTCTCATATAATGTTTTGAGTGAGTGAGTGTGAGTGAGTTGGGTTTTTAACGCCGCTTTTAACAGTATTCCAGTTATGTCACAGCGTGTCAGCTTAATGTGGGAGGAAAGCCCAAAGTGATGCAGGTCTCAGATGTTTACCACTTTGGTGAAACCCACGAGCACGGGTATGGTGCTGACAAACCTCAAAACATAATCGGGGCGAACCAGGATTCGAACCACAATCATAGGTTTCTGGTGTGCCCAAGGGACGCAACTCTGCACAGCGAATCGCAGCGCCTTAGACGACTGGGCCACCCGTGCCCCCTATAATGTTTTGAACAAGGAATGGATGAGCAGCTCACTTCAGACAACCCTGATTTTTGATAGTACTAAACTACTGTATCCCTTTTATTATCAAACATATCAACACTATAGCATGTCTGGTGTGGTAGGGAGATTTCTGGTCATTAAATGCTGAGTAGAAATGGCAATAAGTTCAGTCATCAATATATTTCCCTGTGACTAATGCTGCTACAGTCCATCTCCCCATGTTGTCAGCATGACTTTCAGGTTTCAACATCTCCAACTAGGTCACACCTGTTTCAGTGACCCTCACATGATCACATGGGCTGGGCATTGAAATTGTAATTAATATCTATGGAAAATTACAAATTCAGTTTCTGGTTATGTCAAGCTGAAGATATGAATACTTTAGGATACACTGAATATACCGAATCTGCTCCATGCATTGATCACAAGGTCACAGTTGAACCAACTACTTCACAACACACAAGTATAAATATCACCAGGAATTACTGCCCTGCTATTTCTACAGATAGGCACTGACGTCAAATATAATCAAATTAATTTACCATCAGTTGTTGAATTACTTTTGTCAGCTGTCATGAAGCGAAGAACAACAGTTCAATAAAATATACTTCTCTCTCCTAAAAAATTGAACTTCTAACTGAATATTTTTGTAATTCCTAAAATGTTGCTTCTTCTGTTTACAATTTTTTCCTAAACTCTTTCTGACTTCTATAGTTTTGAAATATGTCTACACAGTTTTGTGCATTTGTACCTCTTTTAGCCATCAATTATACACATATTTGCAAATAATAGTCAATTTGTGATAAAAAGTATAACCTCTTGTACTGTGCCCACAAATTATTTGTTCAGGAATAGTAATATACACTATTGTGTAAACAAAAATATATGCACGACAGGAATGTTTCATAAAAAGTACAGTGATCCCACGCTACAACGCTACCTTCAGCGAATTCAGATGAATAAATAGGTATAACAAACTTGGTCAATAAAAATATGAAATTTGATATAAAACATCACTAGACATGATGATTTACCATTGTTTTATATGCAGAGATTAAGATTACCATGTGTATCTAACAAGTAATGGTTATACCACGACATGTGATTAATTATGGCCCATAAACAGTCAAGTGTCAAGTGGTATAATCGACTTGTACCACCCCCAATCACACCCCGCCCATTAGTTGACCTGACGTGATGGAGCAAGAAAATACGCGAAAAGGTACCACCTATTTATTACATCATTTTACCGCCTACGTCAGAGATTTTTAAACTTTGAATTGGCATTGTCAGAACCCCCCAAACCCACTGTTACCAGTTCTGAGGACCAAGTGTGTATATTTATGATTAATTCCATCATAAATAAAAAGGACTTGAGCAAACAAGCTGACTTGTGATTTTGAAAAGTTCATCATCCCAGGAACCAAGAAGTGGTTGATAAGTACAAGTGACCCAATAGAGAAGGGTATAGTACCCAACACCCCTAAGGTTACATATGATCCCCTCAGTCCACCTACAGTGCCCCACAGAAAGTCAGTGCCATTATTCGTGTCCCAATTTTGATTTAGAAAGTGACAATTGAGAAGGGCGACAAGAATAAAATTATCGAGATCTAAGTTTATGGAACAATGACTCAGAGAGGACAAATTGCCTCACAATTTCTAATGTATTCAGCATTAGAAACTGTCACTAGTCCTAAAGTCCTTGCCAAAGTGTCCAATAGTTAAGTAGTTTTGTCCTTTTTTAAGGATTTGGCTATATGTTATCATTATAAGGATTAGTGGACTAAAACAGTTAGTTTCTACCGCTTGACTATTCTGTCGAAAGTTTTCATAAAATATACATACCTTATTTGATGTAATAAGTGCCCTGCTCTAATAAGCGCCCACAGCGATATTTGCTAATATATTGGCTAGTGAACAATCACAATTAGCACTCTTCCGATTGATCAATGTACATTTATTTATTCGTGTATAGTACGCACTCATGTGTTATATGCAACCTTAATTATGGGCAATTAAATTTTGGAAAATACATCTGTCGTGTATAATACACAGAGACTTTTCTTTTGTATCATTTCAGGCTTTCAGCATAAACCACGAAACTTACAATCTTTCAACTCTGTTTTTTTCTTACCAAAATTATATTCTAATAAGAGCCCCTAATTCTAATTTTGAGCGCGCCCTGGGCGCTTATTACCTCGAATACGGTATATGTTCAAGTTATCAACTACCAGGACACTGTAGAACATTTTTGCATTTATTGACATTTGTCACACACGGCCAATGAGTGAAGAGTTCGATTTCTCTCTACAAGCCTTGTCACAGAACTCCACTCACTTTCATAGACCACAGAGAGCTATGTTTACAGTTCATATTTTCTAAAATTCTTTGTCTTTCTCGCTAGGAAAATGCTGGTAATGAAGTCAAAAATCATATTAGCAAAAATCATAAAGCTAGCATGGGGTGTTGGCCTAGACACCTTATGATACAAAGAATTGAGTTTAGAAGACTCACTAACTATACTACAGGTTCATCAAGATACACACAATCTGTACTCATACTACAGGTACTTCAAGATTTACACAAGATATATCAATACTACCCTGTTACATATACTTCAAGATGTACACAATCTGTACTAATACTACAGGTGCTTCAAGATGTACACATTCTGTACTAATACCACAGGTACCTATAGACGTACACAAGCGTACTTATACTACAGGTGCTGTCTCACCTCTCAAAAATATTGACATAGTTACATATAACATACAAGTGAGCCACCCGTTACGGGTTACAATAGACTTAAAATATATCACCGTATATACTGCATAAATATATAAGTGTAAAAGGAGTACTTAAAATATACTTCCGGTCACTAGCCATATAAGATATGTAGGTTTTGGCTGTAAAATATACATAATATTTAACGTATACACTCCTGGCTGGCAACCAATTATCGCCAAGTTCCTGTTATAGCGCGAACGTGATCGCATATCATTTCACTCTGGCTCGTTTTCATAGGAAGAGAGAAATATTTATCCGAAAAAATGAATGAAACGGACTCTTGTCAAGAAATATTTTTAAAAAATAAAAAAATAAACTTGCTCAAATAACACTTTTAAAAAGAAATGTGCACTGTATCACGTAACTAATCACACAAAAATATAAATCAAACAACACGATGATGCAGTTTCAGTTTTGCCATTGCTTTCTATCTGAGCCATATTTCCAAAAATGCATATACTTGTATATATCGCGAAATCCATAGTACACAGTGCTAAGGATAAGCATGTGTAGATCAAATTTGGGGAATATTGTTTTTTGTCACTTTACAGACGACAAATTGATAATAGCATTTCTTATTCATTTTGATGAATAAAGCAATTGAGTTTGATACTAAAAATAGTAATTTGTATAACTGAAGCAGTGTGCGTGATCACATGGCACGATAACTAGTATCTATTTCCACTGTTTTGATTCCCTTTTGTAGCATTTTAACAGAAATCTGTAGCAGACATATGTATGAAATAATTTGCTCAAAGTTTCACATGAATTAAAGTTATTGGTATAGTCAACTTTGTTCACAGAATATCTCAGACATAACATGAAGAAAATGGTGACAACTGGTCTGTGACCAGCACAGGTACTCATAGGTGTACACAAGCTGTTCTAATACTACAGTACTTTTAGATGTACACAAGCTGTACTAATACTACAGTACTTTTAGATCTACACAAGCTGTACTAATACTACAGTACTTTTAGATGTACACAAGCTGTACTAATACTACAGTACTTTTAGATCTACACAAGCTGTACTAATACTACAGTACTTTTAGATGTACACAAGTTGTACTAATACTACAGTACTTTTAGATGTACACAAGTTGTACTAATACTACAGTTCTTTTAGATGTACACAAGCTGTACTAATCCTACAGTACTTTTAGATGTACACAAGCTGTACTGATACTACAGTACTTTTAGATGTACACAAGCTGTACTGATACTACAGTACTTTTAGATCTACACAAGCTGTACTAATACTACAGTACTTTTAGATGTACACAAGCTGTACTAATACTACAGTACTTTTAGATCTACACAAGCTGTACTAATACTACAGTACTTTTAGATGTACACAAGCTGTACTAATACAACAGGTACTTCTAGATGTACAAGGGCTATACTAGGCCTAATACTACAATACTTTTAGATAAATACAGCAGTCCTTAATACCAGATCACATTTGATTATCATTGACATGACCAGCTGATGACAAACATGTTTTTACTCACAATATTCATGTTGACCTCTGGGTCTATTTCTGGCATGCGATAACCCATTTTGTTGACACTCAAATGCTCCAGCAAGGCTCCAACATCGTCTACGACGTAAGATTGTACAACTGTCACATGTAGATACGCAACTGTCGTCAGCAGCCATAACATCACATTGACCGGCGCCATCGCACGCTTTGTATTCCTTGACATTATTCCGCGCTGCTACTACTACAGCCGACCGGTCGGAAATGCTCGTCAGATGACCATTCAGAGACCTTATCTCCTTTCATTGTCATGTGATCAAGCCACCCCTGTGTGTCAAACTGACATATTATTCAGCCGACGAACTACACTGGACAGACCGACCCTTGACCCCAAATAAAACTAGAGTTATTTCCCTTATCAATGTAGACTTGCTTTCACTCGTAAATTGGTTTGTCGACAGGTTGACTTGCTGAGTGTCGTTTCTCTTGAGGCTGATTTTATGAATGACCGCCTCCGTGGTATGAAGAGCACCATCATTATGAACTATGAAAATATTTATATAAGCCTTTACTTCCCGATGTTAGTACTTATTTTCATTTTTGCGATTTCATTGTCTTTGTTTCTTGTTTTACCATAATAGAAAGAAATGCATAGATCTATTTATCAATTTAAACGATTCAGGAATAATTTTATATCACTTTAAAGAAAGTCTGTCTGCCACAAACGTTGACTTGCGTTAAGTCTTTCGTCACAACTCAATTTTCCGTAACCAAGATGAGCACAAGAAGGAATGGCCCGAGTTGGTCACGCACAATGCTTGACGCCACATTGAAGTGTACTGTGGTTCTCTGACGTCATAATGATGACGTCACACAAGAGGTGTGGTTTTCCGGAAGCGGATGTCGTTATTTTTAGAGAAAAATAGAAGATGTCTGATATAGATGAGAGATGGGAAGGATACTATTGTTCTTAGTACTCGGTGCTTTTATCTTTCAGCAGATCTCAACATGTACAGATGGTTGGTGTACATATAAGTAAGTCGTGACTATCTTGGTTGCAGGAAGACGTGTGTGAGATGCAATTAAATTCATGTTTACGGACTCGTAAGAACTTTGGCCCTCTCTTTATCTTGTCACTGAAGTAGGCCCCTATGTGCACAATCAAATTCTTTGCAATGCTAAAAACATACATATTATAATAAATGTGCAGGCAATGTAGATCAAGATGTACAACATTTATGGGGAAAGTGATTATTATTAATATTGATGCGTTGCAGTTTACGGATCCTTTCTACATCATTCTATTTGAGAATCCTCTCGCCTATACACTGGTCGTTTAAGATTTAGATCCGAGATTCAAATAGCTGCCACGGAGCTCATGTGCATCAATTTATTACAATAACGCCAATAACGAAAACTGCAATGTACCCTTTTTAGGAAATGATATTCGCTTCATTGTAGTAACAAAACTCTTGGACAATGAAGTTTTCGTTATTGGCGTTATTGTAATAAATTGATGCACGTGAGCTCCGTGGCAGCGATTTGGATCTCGGATCTAAATCTTAAAAGACCAGTGTATAGGCTGGAGGATTCTCAAATAGAGGGTACACATGCATAACACCGGACACCTCCATGCCATATGTTTTGGAGCAGTACAATTAAGTTACTCCCACGCATTATGCTTTCTTATTAGGGGCATGGGTGAAGACGATGGGGCTTCTTTCCTTGAGAAGATCTGGGATTATGTGATCTCATTTATAACCTGGTTCGACAAAGATGGATATGACCTGTTTGACATGTGCCCTGAATACCCCGAGCCGGACTGGGATCTGTTTGAGCCGGAGGAAAAACGCTGCCGAAAACTGTCGGAGATTATGAACCCATATGATGGTGAGCAGCGTTTACTTTCAATAATGCTATCTTAAATAACAACTTGTAAAAATGGTGTTCAATATTAATCAAACCAGTGTACTGGGTACACACTTGTATCCTTATCTGGGGTTATCTGCTCTCCCTGTGCAAGGGTTTCACGGTTAACCATTTCGCTCTTTAAACACGTTTTAGGGCCAACTGCAGCATTTGGTTCACCTCCTTCGGCTTTTTCCGTAATCTTTTTCACGTTTCCACGTTTTTTAATACTGTTTGAACACATGCAAGTCCTAGCGGGCTTAAAGAATGTTTGGTACATTTACGCCATACCGGATACCTGTCGGCCATATCTGTTTGATGCGTCTAATACAGGGACACGCGACAGCGTGGCTATTTGAACACCAGGGATATAAGGCTGCAAATAAGCTGAAAAAATGACCCCGCATGCATTTGTATGGTTTAATATGATTAAAAAAGGAAATTGAACATCAAAGCAATTCATAACATCGAACATCAGACATCAACATCGAAAAACTAGAAGTTCCATAATCGCGTGTGGCAGCCCTACATCGGGACCACATTTCAACATGTAACTTGTTTTATTAACGTTGGAGACTGGAAGTGCACATTTTCTTACGAAAACTTTTATTCCCCCCCCCCTTTTTTTGTTGTTGTTGTTGTTGTAAATTTAGCAAGACGCCTAAAAATGGCAGCTGAAAAACTAAGAAACTTTTACTAAGGAAGAAGTTCGCGCACACCCCTTACCAAAATGGCGGATGGTATCCGTGGGTATCTGGATAAACGGCGATCCAGCCGAGTTTGTGTATCTATAATCTTTATATTTATAAAAAAAAAAAGGAAGTAATAAAGCATAATATGGTTTATCGCGGTTTATCAGGTTATCGACGCCCGAATGTTTTACATATACCTTTTCAGCATCAGATAAGTGTTCCGCTTCTCTCAAACGCAATAAACTAATCTCCCATTACTTATATTGTCCATGATACAATTGTTCCATCGCCGAGGATCCGATTATCAACTTACATCGCCCATTCTGTACCGGGGGCGGTGGGGTACCCTTGTGGTTTCACTCGTCACGCAGAAGACCCGGGTTCGATTCCCCACATGGGTACAATGTGTGAAGCCTATTTCTGGTGTCCCCCGCCGTGATATTGCTGGGATATTGCTAAAAGCGGCGTAAAACCTCACTCACTCATTCTGTACCAAATTTGTAACCTCTTCATGGTCTCACAGACTACTGGACAAGCACGCATGGAAGCCTTCACGCCTGCCTGCCTGACCTGACCCCCTTCAAGAACGTATTGCAGCATCTTTCGAACCGGGGCAGCTTTGAGAGCATGTTCTCCTCTCTCCCCGACCTGTCCTTCTGGAGAAGTGTTCAGCATTACCTGTCAGATCTAGCAATTTGGGACAGCATCAGTGTCCACCTGCCTGACTTTGACCTGGCTGCCCCGAATGTTGCCCTGGACACCCTTAGCAGGGCAGAGAGCTGGAGCAGTGGCATGTCGTACCTCTCCACCTGGGCCTTATTCAACCCCACTTCCGTGTATCTGCTGTCGGCTGTCGTCTGCCTCGTCCTACTTTCCATTGTCAGCTGGCTCTGCTCCGATGATCCCACATCCGGTACGTATTGTTGAAGATAGCAGCTATGCCTGTTCCCGGGCCGTCACCAGCCATGTTACCATGAGTGAAAGGTCATAGTTACTTGACCTGGGTGCCGTTGTACAAAGCGATCTTTGCGCTAAGGTGATCGTAACTCCCATACCTTAACCTAGACTTACGACAGTCGTAGTGCTAAGGTTGTTTTGTACAACGGTACCCTTGCTGATTGATTGTGTGTCATGAACGCGGATAATTGCTAATGGTATCAACCACTGGTTTACCCACCTATGACTCGGTTGTTGCTCAGTCTAGCATAAAGCGACAATAATTTCCCCTTACTTCTAAATGAATTTTTTTTGAGCAAAATAGTTTGTCATCTTCTTAATATATTCAATAAATAATAATAATATACATTTACTTAAAAATATATATATAAACGAGCCTCTGTTTCCATTGCAGAGAAGAGAGTAACGTTTTCAAACATCTGTCCAAGTAAAGAGAGCTCTCAGGCACGATCCCGACGGCTAGCACATCTGAAGACGGATCACCCCTCCAAGAAAGACCGGCAGAGAAAGAAGAAGAAACAACGCCAGAGAGGTGCTTCCCGGTACCGTTCCTCCGACACAGACGACTACCCCAACGATGGTGTTGACCGCGCGGAGGAAGACCCGTGCAATTGTTACCCACGGTCGCGTGAGACTCACGATGATGCAGTAGATGTTGACGACATAGACGAAAATTCTCTCAGATATATTGCCGGGTTATCGTCAGAATATTCTCTCGATAATATCAAGAAGCAGGTTCAAGAAACTTTTCGACGTATCTCGGATGAGGACCATGATGCTAGCTGTTCGAAGAAGCCGAGATGTCCCAAGAAGAGCGATGGGAAGGGCCGAGAAGTTCAGACTGACCCAACCATTACTGTGTACGACATCAGATACAAGGACACCTTGCCGCAAGATGTCATGGACGTTCTGTTTTGTATTGACCCCTATTGTGAACACGATCATGAACGGTATGAGCTGAGAGGCTGTCAGATCCTGGTCAAGCATCCCTATCATCTTGAAATGGGTACTTACGATTCCTCCAAAAACAAATGTTATAAGACAAGCGCGTATCCATATGAGGACACGTCCAGGGAAGAGGCTGCCCGTAGTAGCGGTGCTCAAGAAGTAATAGTACCTGACGAAAATGCGTATTCGACAATAGATGTTTCCCCGACAGAGGTACATGTGTGGGGGAAAGATGATGAATTTGTGAAGAGATATCACGAATCGTTGTCAGGACATGACCTGATGCATGGTGCAGTGACGGGTAGCCAAGTGAGTATAAGCGACGAGTTTACAAACACTCTATCGAAACAGATTCGCGGCCCCGACGCGCTGGATACAGATATTTCCCAAGTGGAGTCCTTCTCTGACTGGCAGGCATCTGTGTTTCACGACTGCCCCTATTGTAAAGAGCAGTCGTCATCCAGCAACGGACATTCCAAAGTAGGCACTATAGGTTGTGCGGAGCAGAAAGTGACAAACAGTAATCATGTAAGTTCAGGAAGCACCAGAAATCAATCCCCCGTGCCCGGCTGTAGTGGGGTGTCTGGGCTTAACCCTCCAAGGATAAAACAGCAGTTGGTCGAACTTCTCGGGGATGCTCTTTTACAAGAAACTATTGGTCCACCGAGAGCCAACTCCAGTTTCCAAGAGGAGGGACACATTTTAGGATGTTCGGAGGAACCGACTGGACATGACTGGGACGGTGGTCAAAGGTCAGTCCGCGGTCGCACTACCAGGAACCGGTCGCAGACTTGCCAGGACCGAGATTCAGCACCGGCCTCCGATCGTCCACATACAAGACCGTCCGGCCAAGGAGGTTACCGTCACAGGCAGCCGCGCGTTTTCCAGTCACCCACTTCCGGGGATAATCCAAGGAACGGAGATGCGTTCCAAATGTATAATTTTAATGGACCTGAAATGATGTATCTGCCCGATATGGCGTTAGCGCGAGCCATAGAGAGAGCTGCTTTGTCCACGGCAATGCGGGAACCAGTTGGAGGAGACGCACAGGTCGGAGAGGTTGTCTCCCTTGATGACCTTACTTTCGACTTTGACACTGTCCCTACTTTGGATGAAAATGATTTCAACATCAGCGAGGAGTTGCAGAATTCATCCCTCACTGAATCACAGGCATCCGTGGACCTTGCAGAGCTGAACAGAAGCCTCGGCTTCTATGGTGACGTCGTAAGTTCAACTTCTCACGTCTACAGTGAAGTGAAGTGTGTGATAGGGCCATGGTTGTCGGAAGCATTGGCTGATCCAGAGGGGGGGGGGGGGGGGGGGGGGGGGGGGGGGGGGTGCCTCTAGGGATTTAGTTATTTTCCCTCCTTAGTTTGAACGAGTGTGGGCACAAGTAAGTGATCAGTACTGAAAACAGTGACGATTGGCTATTACTCCAGTTGTATACATCACGAATCTCGTGGTAAGGTACTCCTCGGCCCCTTGATGTCATTTTGGGCCGTATTGGGTTAAAAAGTGAATTTAATTTAAAGCTTGCTTATTGTTTCATATTCGCTGTGCAGAGTTGCGTCCCTTGGGCACGCCAGAAACCTATGATTGTGGGTTCGAATCCCGGTTCGCCCCAATTATGTTTCTAGGTTTGTCAGCACCATACCCGTGCTCGTGGGTTTCACCGAAGTGGTAAACGTCTGAGACCTGCATCACTTCGGGCTTTCCTCCCACATTAAGCTGACACGCCGTGATATAACTGGAATACTGTTAAAAGCGGCGTTAAATCCAACTCACTCACTCACTTATTGTTTCATTTACTTTTGCTTACTCTTGATTGTTTTTAAATACTGGAAAAGCTTACGAGTCCCATGACCAGTTCAGTGTTACGTCAGTGCGGATGTTCTGCTTAATACAACACTAGTACAGTTTCAGGCAGTCTCAAACCAGCCAAACACCCGAGAGGGTTTCAGTTAAATATTTCTATTTCTATATTTCCCTGCAATATCACGGCGGGGGACACCAGAAATGGGCTTCACACATTGTATCCATGTGGGACAAGGCTACCCCACCGCCCTGATTCATAAGAACATATGCGTGACATATCTCGTTATTTCAATATCTAGCTAGGTATCTTCCCGAGACCTCGTTATCTCGCGGAATATATAGAAATTAACGAGTGTTTATCTTTCTAAGCAAGGACACACACACACACACACACACACACAAACTTTGTGGCTGCCCCGGTATGGACACTCTGATTCGAATATGTTTGGGACAAAGAGAGATGGAGTGGAGTACCTTCAGGAGAAGTTTAGGTACTGATTCTAAAGGTACTCCACCATCTCTCTATGTCCCAAACATATCACAACTTCTCGTGTGGACGTAACCGTGAAGATCCGGGGTAGAATATAGGTCTTCAGCAACCCATGCTTGCCGTAAAGGGCGACAATGCTTGTCAAAAGAGGCGACTAACGGGATCGGGTGGTCAGGCTCGCTGACTTGGTTGATGCATGTCATCCTATCCCAATAGCGTGGATCGAGGCTCATGATATCAATCACTGGATTGTCTGGTCCAGACTCGATTATTTACAGACCGCCGTCATATAGCTGGAATATTGCTGAGTGCGGCGTTAAACAACAAACAAATCTCGTGTGAACGATCGCTGCCGTAGGTCACGTGTCTTAAAGACAAGCAATCAGTTTTTGTGAGAAATGTTAAGGAGATAAACATATTGTGTTTTCAATGTAGAGCGTCCTATGTTTATCACCATGCTACCATGACTAAATAAAATGCGAACTCTTTGAGGTAAGCAAACACATTGAGCGAAGCGGCATGGGTTGAGTCCGGTGTTTTGAGTGGGTGGTCTAAATGAATTACGGAATCACCGACAACAACCTTTAAACGAAATATGACGCTGTATAAAATATGCTCAAGCAGTTTGTTTAATACTTCACTCGAACATATGACAGGCATTGATAGCAAATAAGCACGGCAACTTGGTATACAGAAATGCTCCAAATTCCAAGCTCTCGGTTGTCCCCCAAACTTGAAATACATAGTCCTTTGACGAATAATCGTCACATGGCGCTGGCCTGTGGCAGAGGTACTATGCTGGTCGCATGGAACTCTGGGTATGAGAGTGGGGGTTTATTGTGATTTGACAACCTCTGACTGACCAATCAGAATATAGTCATTTCAAAATTTGTGGTAGAATATTTATTGACATAGCATGTTGAGATGATAGATCACCGAGAGGATCTTATGCACACTCGATGATCCCTGACGTCACAGGGCATTGTTTTGCCGGGGTATGTAGTAACACAATATCACAAATTACGTCATAGGGTACTATGTTTGAAAGGTTTGTGGTGATGTATTCTAAAGGTAGCCCCATTCCCAGAAGATAAATTGAATTATTCGAGAAACTATATCACCGATCGATAATTGATGTAGATGCGCTATTTTGCTTGTGACAGAAATGAAAAGACGATGTGACCAAGCATACGCTAGATCACAGGGGAGGTAATTTGAACAGCGTCATGACTTCAGCCCATTATGACGTAACTCTAAAAGTATACATTATTGCAGGAAAAAGTATAGTCGGCGCCTTTGATCGTTTAGCGAAGCGTCTCAGAAAATCTAGTTTATTTTATTTAACAAGCACATGCCTGTCTCAGGGAAAGATCATCATGAGCACCAGTACACACACACTGTAGACGACGATGTCTCTGTTTCAGTCGATGGTGGAGCTGGCGGCCTCTTGGATCGTACAGAATGTCTTCGACAGAGTTGGGAGGTATCTGTCGGGGGTCCCGGGCGAGAAGATCAAGGCCACATTGTTGGACATCTCCACTGAGATCGCGGAGACTCTGAACCTCATAGAGTAAACCCGGGACATGTATACAAATGACAGTCTTACAGTAACAGCATAACTATATGTATCAGTCTGCAGCATCAACATGACTACATGTGGCAGTCTACAGTAACAGCATAACTATATGTGGCAGTCTGCAGCATCAGCATGACTATATGTGGCAGTCTACAGTAACAGCATAACAATATGTATCAGTCTGCAGCATCAACATGATTACATGTGGCAGTCTACAGTAACAGCATAACTATATGTGGCAGTCTGCAGCATTAGCATGACTATATGTGGTAGTCTACAGTAACAGCATAACTATATGTGGCAGTCTACTGTAACAACGTAACTATATGTGGCAGTCTGCAGCAACAACATGACTATATATGGCAGTCTGCAGCATCAACATAACTGTATGTGACAGTCCGCAGCATCAACATGACTGTATGTGGCAGTCTACTGTAACAACGTAACTATATGTGGCAGTCTGCAGCAACAACATGACTATATATGGCAGTCTGCAGCAGCAACATAACTGTATGTGGCAGTCTGCAGCAACAACATGACTATATATGGCAGTCTGCAGCATCAACATAACTGTATGTGGCAGTCTGCAGCATCAACATAACTGTATGTGGCAGTCTGCAGCAACAACATGACTATATATGGCAGTCTGCAGCAGCAACATAACTGTATGTGGCAGTCTGCAGCAACAACATGACTATATATGGCAGTCTTCAGCATCAACATAACTGTATGTGGCAGTCTGCAGCATCAACATAACTGTATGTGGCAGTCTGCAGCATCAACATAACTGTATGTGGCAGTCTGCAGCATCAACATAACTGTATGTGGCAGTCTGCAGCATCAACATAACTGTATGTGGCAGTCTGCAGCAACAACATGACTATATATGGCAGTCTGCAGCATCAACATAACTGTATGTGGCAGTCTGCAGCATCAACATGACTATATGTGGCAGTCTACTGTAACAACCTAACAATTTGTGGAAGTCTGCAGCATCAACATAACTATATGTGGCAGTCTACTGTAACAACCTAACAATATGTAGAAGTCTGCAGCATCAACATAACTATATGTGGCAGTCTGCAGCATCAACATGACTACATATGGCAGTCTACAGTAACAGCATAACTATATGTGGCAGTCTACTGTAACAACCTAACAATATGTGGCAGTCTGCAGCATCAACATAACTATATGTGGCAGTCTGCAACATCAACATAACTGTATGTGGCAGTATGCAGCATCAACATAACTGTATGTGGCAGTCTGTAGCATCACAATATATAACTATATGTGGCAGTCTACTGTAACAACCTCACAATATGTGGCAGTCTGCAGCATCAACATAACTATATGTGGCAGTCTGCGGCATCAACATAACTGTATGTGGCAGTCTGCAGCATCACCATAACTGTATGTGACAGTCTGCAGCATCAACATAACTATATATGGCAGTCTGCAGCATCAACATAACAATATGTGGCAATCTGCAGCATCAACATATATAACTATATGTGGCAGTCTCCAGTAACAACGTTACTTTATAATTTTGTAATTTGAAGTTTACACGATATACGGCTTATTTCCATTGTACGAGAGATCGGTCAAATGACTGCGAAAGTGAAGTTCATTTTAGAATTGACATTCACTTTGTGCGAGTTCATTGGCGTATGAACCTTCATAGAGTGAGAACCAAACTGTATGAACGTCGGAGCTTGTACCTATTTAACACATCTTTCCAAACCCCTTTCAATGATCGGCCATTTGATCAATGATGACTAACACTTGTAAGCGCTATAGATTCATCAACAACTTCGGAAATCTCTTCGTAACCTTTATCGTGTCGGCTATTTTGACGTCTTGTACTTGATGTAATGTATTACTACGCGCCGCCACTGTGACTGATTTATTGAGGCATTTCTTAACAGACCTTTCTCATCTAATAATGATATTATTTGAACATATGTACTGTAAACAAACTACATAAGATGTCACTGTGAGAATACATACATGCCACCTCTCCCTTTCGGGAACTACATCATTCCGCGATACAGGTGGTGGTTGTATGGCTGTCAGTGAAAGCAAGAAGTCACACGTACTAAAAAGAATTGTGTATAGAGATCTAGATCCTTCGAGGATTAAAATAGTGACATAAAAATTATAAGAATTGACTTTCACTTTGTGTGAGTGAGGGCCAAACACTGTATGAACGTCGTCGCAAGCTCCGACCTTCATATAGTTTGGCCCTCACACTATGAAGGTTCATACGCCAATGAACTCACACAAAATGAACGCCAATTCTTCACTGTGGCAGTCTGTAGTTACAACATGACTATATCTGACAGTCTTCAGGAACAACATAACTGGCAGTGTGTGTGTGTGTGTGTGTGTATGTGTGTGTGTGTGTGTGTGTGTGTGTGTGTGTGATATATCATTGCCTTGTGATAGTGTTGATGATTGAAGGACTGAACGTGCGTGTATAGCATTGAGCTGCATTTGTACATAGTATTGACTGCCATTGTGTGACTACGTGTTGTACAGACATAAATGACATGTAAATAAATATCATATCGGTGATATTCGCTTTTATTGTTTTTACACAACCGTATGCTTTTTGTCACCTGACTGGCGATCTGTGCGACAACCGACACTCTGATTAACTGGGCTTTTCCCGTCACCTACAGTACACCTCGGACGACACTGGAGTAGTGACAGCATATGATTTACATGTGTCGTACCGCCAAACCATAACAACTGTTTCAAAAGCCTGTTTATCGTGTACCTAACAAGAAGTAGGTACATAGTTCCGTGTACTCATCGTATTCAACATTCTTTAAGGTCTTGATGTCACGTGACAGTCATGTGAATATCCTAGTTCAAAGATGGACTCCTCCCATTGCTGGCCGACATCTAAGGGCGCACCTTAAAGTCTACAATAACATATTTTCCAACTTTTCTTGAAATGGCACTGTTTTCAATGGACGATAATTGGATAAATTTGTACTGTGACAGGTTAACATACTATTTCTTAATGTATTATACTCTCAGAGGTGAATAAAATGGACAAATATTAACAAAAACGAAATTCATTTTCAAATTCATTATTACTACTTTTAATACAAAACCTTTCTTTTCTTGGTATTCTGTTACTTCCATGATGCTCACCAGTTTCAATAGGAATACAATAGGAAGATAATCTTAATGTATTATATGATCACACCTTATGTTAATGTTTATAGTTCACTATTTTACTCGTACATTTTTGAAAATCAAATAGTCTTGATATATTCATAAAGAACAAGCGCCGGCGAGAGGAGCTAGTTCTGATGCCACAAGGTGGTAGAATTACTAGGCAGGTGTTGCCCTAACGCGTGTATGACAAACTCAGCATCCAGCCAAGCATACTGTAGTCCAGTCGTAGGCGTTATCTTGTCCTATTCCAGTTGGTTGGTTTGTTGTTTTACGCCGCTCTCAGCAATATTCCAGCTTTATGTCTGTAAATAATCGAATCTGGACCAGACAATCCAATGATTAATATCATGAGCATCGATCCACGCAATTATGATCGATGACATGCATCACCAAGTCAGCGAGACTGATCATCCGATCCCGCTAGTCACCCCTTACGACAAGCATAGTCGCCTTTTTCGGCAAGCATGGGTTGCTGAAGACCTATTTTACCCCGGATCTTCACGGGTTCTTTAATCCCACGGGTAGCCGTCGAAATTGGTACAGACCTCTATGACATATCCATGATGTGTATGGTCGAGACTCTAGATCAACATATACTTGGTAAAACCCACTCTGTTAGTCAAGGTCGTGAAATAACTGGATTCTCAGTTCCCAGACTCTCAAGCGCATCCTCCGTAGTAGGTAGAGGGTGAGACCCGTGAAGATCCGGGGTAGAATAGGTCTTCAGGAACCCATGCTTGCGTAAAAGCGGCGTTAAAAAACTAACAAAGAAAGAAAGAAAAGGTAGAGGGTGAGCATCCACAAGCACACATTCGTTCAGGCGAAACTCGCACACAAAGCAACAGGATTTGTTTTCACGTTTAGCAATTAGTAAGCATGGTGCTGCCCAAGGGCTTGTAGACTCTTCAATTATAATATCTTGATCGAGTATATCACGTACCACATCCATCAGAACATTTTTCTGTTTCTGTCCAAGTTTAAAAGCTCTCTGATAAATTGGTTGTTGACCTAGACTAATATCAATGTGGTGTTCAAGTATGTGAGTGAGTGAGTGAGTGAGTGAGTGAGTGAGTGAGTTAAGATTTAACGTCACATCGGCAGTATTTCAGCCATATCGTGAGGAGTTCGTTAAGTACATTAATAAGACATTGGTGTCCTTCTCAACAAACAAGGATGAATATTCATCCAGTAACTGTTGAATCTGCCCCGACTGACCCTGGAAGAGAGTACTCGAAATGTTGGTCCTCATTGGGTAAGGGCAGGACGCATGGTTTATCCGTGGATGTTGAAGATCATCCAAACACCAAAAGAGTCAGACACATCAGTGAAATCCTGTTCAACAACAGGTGAACACTGCGGAATATCCGATATAGAATCCTTTGCTGACAGGCACACAAACTTTCCAATAACAGATCCTTTTCCTAACTGTTATCATTTCATCAGTGAAGTTACAGACAGATTGGAACACAGTACCATCAGGAACACGGGACAAAGATTTACCTTTAAGTAATCCAGTTGCGTTTAGTACATCTGAACCGGTCACTAATCCATCAACACAATTTGAAAGTATAGCAACTTTAATACATGTCGCTTTAACAACTTGTCTCTTTGCAGGAACAATACATTCTTCTGTGGTAACCAAGGGACGGCGAGGATCCAATGAGCGAGTTTATATTCCAAAGTTTATAATAAAAACATTGTGTTGTTCAAGAAAGTCACAGCTCAAGAGGGGGGCACGGGTGGCCCAGTCGTCTAAGGCGCCGCGATTCGCTGTGTTGCGTCCCTTGGGCACGTCAGAAACCTATGATTGTGGGTTCGAATCCCGGGTCGCCCCTATTATGTTTCTAGGTTTGTCAGCACCATACCCGTGCTCGTGGGTTTCACCGAAGTGGTAAACGTCTGAGACCTGCATCACTTCGGGCTTTCCTCCCACATTACGCTGACACGCCGTGATATACCTGGAATACTGTTAAAAGCGGCGTTAAGCCAAACTCACTCACTCACAGCCCAAGATTATATTTGGTTGCACATTTGGCACTACATGAAACAACTCTTTAATCTGAAAATTTGCAATTGTCAAATGAAGATGAGGTGTTCCAGTGATTGGGGCTTTAACATTATTGGAAGTTAATGTGTATGTTGGCGTTTTGGGTTTTAACTATGGTAACGCCAAGCTTTTGGTCAGTTGATTCATTTCAAACACAACAGTCGGCTGCAGTGTCAACTAGAGCACATGTTCGGGTCAATCCAATACTGATAGGAATATCAACAAGTTGGTGAAGGTGTGAAATGATTCGCAGCGCATTCTAATCGCGGAACCGTCACAGAGTATAACCCCTGGTACACGCACGCCCCAGAGTTGACTCATTCAGTACTCTCGCGACCTCTGCCGCGTCTTGGAATATAAACTAGTCTATGTTGTATTACCGGTACTCGTATGGCTGGCGTAAGTCCACCAATAAAAGCTGATAGTTTTTCACTGTCTGTTTTATTTAAACGGGCACATTTAAGTTCAATGTCTGTGAAATACGTTTCCAGGTTTTCAAATTCTGACATTTTCCTGTCCCACAGCTGTTTTTCGAAAAAGCCATAAAGGTTGGTTTGACAGTAAATGTATTGAGAGTCTGTTTTTAGAAAGTTTGATGTGATCCTGCACAGAAGTGAACCAAATCAAAGCAATACCTTGCCATTGGAGTCTCTGCACGCCTGACTAGAACTAGGCCTAAATCGTTCTAACCACATACGGGCGTCCTCCGTGGGTAATCCAAAGAGTGGCTCCATTTTCAGATTGGAAGAAGCCATGCTCACTGTATGAGGCCGAAAGGACAGGGGATCATTGATACATCCCCACCATATGTTGGGTTGTTGGACTTGACTTCTGTAATAATTCTAGAATTAACCACATACAACTAAACACAGCCGTCGTAGCCATTTTATTTTCTCCAACCTTCACCCAAGGGCAGATAATTCCAAACGTCTTTTTATTTCAAACCACCAGAAATTAAATATAACAAGCTTTCCGTTTTTAAATTTACATTGAATTTTACTCCTAAAAGGACTCCGTTTTGCTACGCTACAAATGCACCAATCGAATATGGTTGTCTCGTTGATGTGACATCACACGTGGACAGCCGGACCGTGGCAAGTCATGAGTGTTGTCCTGCTGTAGAATGTTGTGTTTCGATAAACATCAAAATGTCTGGCAACTTCGTTTTGCGCCATTCCTGTTTGCAGCATACCAACGGCGCGTTGACGTTGATAATCAACAAGCCGTGGCATTGTGTAAGCGTTACTTGTGCCAAAACAAAAGTATATTTTTTATGAGCACCTGTTACATCAACAATCTATGTGTGCTGTTCACAATAAAAACACACGTGTATGAGTAAATTATGCTCTCAACAATCGCGCAAACATCCACATTGTGCGCCGTGCATTAACATGCACGTGCAAATTGTGAATCACGACCTTCAAGTCGAGATGTCTCCATGAATATGTATCGAAAGATGCTTTATTTAATTTCAGAATAAACATATTTATATTGAATTTTATATGAAGCACATGTAGTTACTTTTTCCCGTTAGCATACTGAGATTAGGGCTGGGACGAGTCCAAATTTACTACCCGGGTACCCATCCCCCTATTACCCGAGCCTACCCGGGTACCCACTGTAGGTCTCAGGAGATGTCTCAAAATGTCCGATTGGGAACAGCATAGCATAGCCCTGGCAATACGTATTTAGATACATGTATTAAACAATCCGGTCATTCATACACTGAAGTTGAATTAAGTTATATCTTTATTCAACCATATGAAAAATAAAAAGGAATGGGTGCATAGTCAGAAAGAAATGCGAACATTAGTGACTTGTAGTGTAACCATAGAGTTCTGGATAATTATTGTCATTAAACAATATGTCACGTGACTAACCACGGGTCCGGGTAGTCCTGTGGGTACCCGGGTCCTTGTCAGTACCCACCCGGGGGCGGTCGGGTAGCCTAGTGGTTAAAGCGTTCGCTCGTCACGCCAAAAAACCCGGGTTCGATTCCCGACATGGGTACAATGTGTGAAGCCCATTTCTGGTGTCCCCCGCGGCGTAAAACCATACTCACTCACTCACTCAGTACCCACCCGATCCGGGTACCCGAGTTACCCGTCCCAGCCCTAACTGAGATGTCACTGGAACCTTTCAATGAATCGTATCAATGTCACATACCTGCCTCCAACACCATATTTCACAACAATAATGTAATACATGCTTCAGGCAATTCTAATGGGGTTTAGCATCAAGTTTATTACTACTTATTTCACAGAACAATGTATAAGGCTTAAAAACCTCTCACGGCTGAAAGTATAACAGATGCATTGATGTTTGCATTTGGTGTAATACAACAATAGTTGAATTTATCTACAATTACAGAAGGACATTTTTGTAACAAAATTGTAGTGTTTATGTTTTGCACGTGTGTTCATCCACATGATGTTAACCAAGTATTTTATCGCCAACAATCTTCGACCGAGAGCCCGCCAGTGGATGTTGCCCATGTCGTTTAGCGGTCCTGATCGTAGCAGAGAGATTCCATGAGATGTTTCAATATAGGATTTTTCTGTCGGGATTGAAACCCATTTTAGAGATGGCTCTGGGTTAGAGGGGGTTCTGGGTTAGAGGGGGTTCGGGATTAGAGAGGGTTCTTCGTTAGATGATTTTGGTTATTAAGGGTTCTGGATTAGAGGGGATTCCGGATTATAAAGGGTTTGGGATTAGAAGTGGTTCTATTTATCTTAGACTTTTTTTTGAATGTACATACATTTAGAATAAATAATTGAACAGTGTCCACATTTGGCTCATAAGGGCTTTAGTGCACGTTTAACTTACGTGAGAACGGAAATTGTGGAAAATGTGTCCTTTTGACGGCATAACGCGCTGATAATGTTTACCACAGTGGCATAAGTCAAAGACATTATTACTTTGCTGAAACTAACGGGGACGTGTTCCATGCCAACAGAGCAAGAGTCATTATTCGTACCAAAGACAGGAATTCGCACAGCTAATTACGTCATAGCCCACTAGGAAACTTGTACGCTCTATAGACGTCACGTGATCGTGTCTATGACGTCACATCCTAACAACGCCAAGGACACAATTGCAGACAACGTCGAGAGCTGCATATGAGCTGAAGTCTGGACGATAATCTTCTTTCCCCATTCCACTTCCTGTAGTCTCCCCTTTGTTTTCCCGCCATGGCGCTGCAAGCAGGGGTTTCGGTCGGCGTGCAGGCCTTCGGTAGAGCGGTGTCGCCGTCACCGGCTGCCCTGCAAAACGTGAAGCTAATAGCCCAGGCCATGACGGACACTACCCAGATATTCCGGCAGAATCAGGACAAGGTGCATCAGTGCTGGGACAAGTTGACCAAGTCCGAGCAGCTGGCGGCGGATATGGTGGACAAGATAATGATAACAACGAGGCGCGTAGAGCAGCTGAATGACAAGCTTCAAGGTCACAAAGCAGCCGTGGCGAAGAAGAGGCAGCTATGTGATGAGCTGCGTGAAATCACTGGTGAGACAGCACCCAACAATTTTACTTAAAGTAATTTACACTTGTCGGAGGGGTACACAAAGTTCGTGATCTAGACTACCAGTTATCGGACTTTCATTTTGTAGAAGCCTAGGTGGCTGCATGGGTGGGTTAGATCGCTGACGCTGACTTTGTGTGCTGGCGACTAGGTGCCTCCTCTTGGAGTGTGGGGTCGAATCCCGGATTGGACTCAACCCCCCAAAAGTACTAAAATTTTGTACTCATTTGTTACAATTTTACATGTTAGATTATACAGTATATGTCCGGGTAACACTTGACAATTCAACGATTGAACTTGAAAGCTCTACACCACTTCCAACCTCCCACTTTCGATGTTTGTTTTTTATTGAAACTTGAAAGCCCTACTTATCTGTATATCAACAGCCAGTTTACCTACGTTGTGTTGAGGAAGTTCTAAACTAAAATAGGCCCAGAATGTCAGGACCATACCGTCAATGTTACCGGCATTTCCCGTATATAAAACTATAAAACTGAAACTTCAGGCGGGTGCAGAAGGTAGTGTATGTGTGTGTGTGTGTGTGTGTGTGTGTGTGTGCGTGCGTGCGTGCGCGCGCGTGTGTGTGTGTGTGTGTGTGTGTGTGAGAGAGAGAGAGAGAGAGAGAGAGAGAGAGAGAGAGAGAGAGAGAGAGAGAGAGAGAGAGAGAGACATGTGTGCGCACCCAACCTTTTTATGAACCCCCTCCCAACCCAACTCACACTCCTTCCAAAATACCTGGATCCATCCCCGAACAAGATTTTATTATAATGTCGACTAAACGAGTTAAGAGCAATTGCCCTTGCGTAAACTAGAATGTATATAAACCCCGTCTTTCTCATTTTAAAAAGACGAGAGTAAACAAGCGAAACAAAGGCCTTTTTCATCTTAGATTTCCAAACAATGAAATATTAAACTGAAATTGGCAGAACATTGGACCATTTAAGGTTTCTATCTCCGAAAACATGTTTATGTGGGTGGGATGTTAAACGCTACGTAGAGCTTTCGAGCTTTCCATCTTTTCAAAATGGTGTACGGAAGTGTGAAGTTCTAAGTAGTGTTGAGCTTTCAAGGTTCTATTTTTCAAAACAGATTTCGGAAGTCGGAAGTAGGAAGCGATGTTGTGTTCAAGTTTTCCTTCTTTCAAAACTTAAGTTTGAAATATCAATTTATGTATATATACATGATACATTGTTGACCATTGAGATCAAAACATCTGCAGACTTGCAAGCGTACAATATACATACACATCTTTTATTGAGTTCGATGTCATATGTTAAAAGGACACATGCACGAACGTTAGCGTCTGGACGTAAAGCTAGCTTGCAGGCTCGTGACTAGTTAAATGTTCAAAGGGCTAGTGGGATAGAGGTCACGGCTGGCTTATTCAACCGCGGAGTAACCACTACCACCAGTGAGACAAAGAGTAATATACTACTACGAAATGGAATATGCCATGCCATGCCAGATTAACTTTCGTAATATGATAGAATCGGGTGATCCTTAACTTTTGTCAGTAGTCATATACATGTATATAATTATGTTTATTCATGTATGGGAGGCCATAGGCCCATGCACATTTCAGTTATAAATAGAAGCACACAAATGAGGCAATTTACATTGAAAACAATACTTAGGGTATGATATTATGTCTTTGTACGTAATTTTAGAACTTCCTTCACATACTTAGCTACATTTCTGAGTATACAGTCATTTTGGCTTTTTGAGAGATTGCTAAAGGTATTAATACATGGATTGTTATAAAATCAAACAGGAATATACTTTTGTCGTTATGATGCGTAAAACGGGCAGACAAACACAAAATTGACTTCGTCCTCAATACAACCATTGTTACATAGCCGACAAAAGCGTTGTGAATACACAATATCCTCTCTTCTGCCCAGATTACTCCGTATAGTTAATCTCAACAGGCACAGCATACGTCTTTGGTCTCTATTTCTGAAAGTTGCAACATAATATTCCAATAATATCTTAATATGTGAATAATACCTTAATTTACAAGACTCAGAAATTTTCATCTGGATACTCTATTTGTTACAATCCAACAAACGCTGTCTAAACAGGTGCAAGAAACACTTAACATCACAACTATTCTGCTCGTGCCACACATAACCAAAGCCATAAATGTCGAGTAAATATTTAACATGAGTTGCCCAAGTAATTCTACCACATTCATCCAGCTTCTTCATTAACAAATAACACTGTCGGGGATATCTTTCATCATTCATTCTAATAAGTTTACACCAGTATTAAACACACTTCATATGATAATCGACATGAAAACCATCTCCACCACACTCAGCCTATATAGCTGTGCTTGATTTACCAACTCCTAAAACAAATTTACAAAAATTAGAATGAAAAGTTTCGACAATTCTCGACAGATCTCCGCACCATAAAGACGAATGGGTTTTATCTCAATATCGAACAATTTAAATAAAATGCTAACTGGCATATTTACAAAGCGAAACTGCAATTTTTTCGGTTTTAGAAAAGTTAATTTCAAGTCCCCACAGTTTACAGAAATTACACAAATACACAAATCATCCGCATATAGTAAAAGTAATATGTCTATGAACTCCTCTACAATAAAATTTTCTCGCAAATCGCTACTTTCTATCATAGATTGTAATTCAAGGATAAACATCGTGAACAGACACGGACTCAACACGCAGCCCTGGCGAACACTACTCAGTGATTCGAAATAATCTGAAAGAGAATTATTCGATGTCCTGACAGAACACTGAATCTTAGAGTATAGATCCTTCAAAACCACCGCGTATTCCATTTTTTATTATTGAATACCACAAGAGCGTCCGGTTGATTGAATCGAACGCTTTTCGGAAATCAACAAACAAACAATAAAGTCTACGTTTAGAGAGATATTTTTGTGATAAACACTGTAATGTAAAATATATTATCGATTGTAGTGTACTGTTCTGTTAGTAGTTATAAAAACATGACTTTCCCCCAAAGCGGGATATTTTCACAAGACTTTCTATGGCATTTCAGTTAACCAGTCCAAGAGGTGGAGTATCTGTTAGTTCCTCGACCAAACTGCCATCAAAATAACAATGTTATCGCTATATATCGGACCGCCTTTTTTCAGCCATATCTGAAGTAACAAAAACAACAAAAATAGATGAAATGTATAACCGGCTCGCGGTGTTATCAGTTTCTGATATATTACGTCGCACTGTAGCTGAACCTCGCCGTATACTTGCATCTGAAAATGTCATCACGTATTAATTAATAGTGTTGTGCTCGTAGTGATGAATGACACGTTATGAGTTCTATTTGAAATTGTTAATTGTATACCACTGGGATTAATTAATTATTGATCATTTGACAGTAATTGCTTTGTTTGTCAGAGTTTCGCCAGGCCCTTTTGATGAATGACAGACAGTAATAATTACGCCTATACCTGGATACACCTCTTTCGATTTGATTGCGTTGAACCACTGGTGCGATCCATAGGGGTGGGTGCCAGCATGATCAGACCGCTCACTGGACAGAACGGACAAAGTTCCATGGCCCGATATAATATTAACACACATTCTCATTACGCAGCCTACTAATCGAAATAAATAATTACGTAAAATTAGCTGATATTTGTGTCTGATATTACAGCTCAATATTTAGTACTGAGTAAAGAACATTAGGCTAAAGGTGCATGACTACAAGCGTTCAAGTTCTCATCCACGTCTTGAAACAATCAGGAATTTAAGATTAGCTTAGTCAAAATCAAATTCAACCCCAACTCACGCAGAATGCATCAATATATGGGAATATAAATACATGACACCTTTTTATGCATTATAACTTTTTTTAAATATATACAAACACCAATAGCAACACGAATAGCAAAGGTTAAGATACCCCAAGTACATTCACGTCAATGTCCATAGCTTGGTGTGTGGACGCCGTCCGGCTTACTTGGTATGTATATCAGTCCCAACCAGATTTGAAAAGATAACGGGTCTCTAAGGAGTAGAGTAGGCACTAAAGCGCCATTAGTTTTTCAAAACTGACGAATTACGGATGCATTTAGTCGTTGTAACAGACCCCAGAGCATATATTTGATACAATCATCACCTCCATTCAATTCTCAGTTCGCGCCGTACGCCAGTCTAGGTTGTATTTATACATCGGTTTTATTACAAATATATATAATAAATATTATAAATTGATGCCACATTCCGATTATTTATGTATTTTACCAAATAACTCAGCCTAGGCCTCCCTATTCTACATGTCGGAGCCTTAAACCACAGCAACTCTGTGACCTTGTTGAACCCACCAGCCATTGCTGACCTATTTTATTTATCTCCATGTGTAACTCACAAGCCATTGCTGATCTATGTCGAACATTTAAATTAACTGATTGTATATACATGAACATATACTGCCAGAATAGTGTCAAAACGGGCCGACTATATTAGATCTGCACAAGAAAGCAACTTGGTATCTTTCTAACATATTAAGCTTAAATACATGTACACATATAGACTAAAACGTATCTATATCTGCCTGGTCGTCTTGAATCACGTTGAATATGCTTGTTACCAGTTCTGTTTGTGCTCTTGTACAACTGATGACTGTTATTGGAGAAATAATGTAATCTTGAATCTAAAAGTCGTTAACGTTCACAAGCTGCGTCGCTTTACTTCCCCCAGACATTAATCTGGCGCATCATCACATCCTGAATTACTGTTCAAAGTCACACATGTACAGATCACACATTATAAAACATGTGTTTAGAATGTAAACACATACAAGACAGTTTCGATCTTAACAGGGGCGGTCGGGTAGCCTAGTGGTTAAAGCGTTCGCTCGTCACGCCGAAGACCCGGGTTCGATTCCCGACATGGGTACAATGTGTGAAGCCCATTTCTGGTGTCCTTCGCCGTGATATTGCTGGAACATTGCTAAAAGCGGCGTAAAACCATACTCACTCACTCACTCGATCTTAACATGTTAATGATTGTGTTTAAATCCTAAACGGAACACACATTTAGTGTGTTCTATCTGATCACATTCTAAACATATGAAATGAGCAATCGTCTCAGCCAAAACACCATCTAAACACAACATCGCAATAATCTAAACTTGTTTACAATTTTAACATCTTGAAATACTAAACATGTTCAGAATTAAAACATGTTTAGTGTTTAATCATGTCTAGAATTTAAACACCGTTTAAACATGTTCAGAATTTACACGGTAAGAATTTAAACATGTTTACGACAAAATGCATATCATTATGTATCATCCTAATACTCTAAGCATGCTTAAATAGTGTGCATATAATTGAGAATTAAGTTAAATGTGGATAAAATGTCTTATGTATAATAAAAGATGTGCAAATCAGATTCACGGGCACTTGCATAACGCGTATACTTCCAGGGCTTATAACGAACCGTGTACAATATTAACATAAAAATGTACAATGGACCAAGCTTGGTTAATGGAGACTAGAAAATTGATATTTTGTCTCCGTAGCACAGGTGGTAGCCTGGAGTCAAGGGGTTGTAGATTCGTATCCCGCCGAGGTTTTAAAAGAGTTGTGTTCATGAATGTCTTGTTGCTGCATGACTAATATTTTTCTCTCATACAGGGAATTGCAGTGAAGACAATGAAAGTATATCTGATTACTACGATAGACCATCAGAATTATGAGACAATGAACGTGTGTAGGTTTGTGTCTAGGATCTAAACACATTTTTACAGCGCACTTATTCATTATATTCCCCTGCATGTTTGTGAACTATTCTGAATAATTTAGCCCACGGTAAATATTGTGAAAAAGTTTGGAAGTAATCGAGATAAAACTGATTCCACTTGTGGCAGAGTTCAGCAGCTGTCGTCTTGCGAACTACGCCAAAAAGTCGGAATGGAATGCCTACCACACAGTCGAGATGGACAGGAGGGTTGCCGGAAACACTGAGCAGATTGAAGAGTTAAAGCAAACGAGAGGTAAGCTGTCCTCACCCCCGGGGCATGTTTAGACATACAGGAGAGAGGTAGGCTGTCCTCACCCCCGGGCATGTTTAGACATACATGAGAGAAGTAGGCTGTCCTCACCCCCGGGGCATGTTTAAACATACATGAGAGAGGTAGGCTGTCCTCACCCACGGGGCATATTTAGACATACATGAGAGAGGTAGGCTGTCCTCACCACCGGGGCATGTTTAGACATACAGGCGAGAGGTAGACTGTTCTCACCCACGGGGCATGTTTAGACATACATGAGAAAGGTAGGCTGTCCTCACCCACGGGGCATGTTTAGACATACATGAGAGAGGTAGGCTGTCCTCACCACCGGGGCATGTTTAGACATACATGAGAGAGGTAGGCTGTCCTCACCACCGGGGCATGTTTAGTCATACATGAGAGAGGTAGGCTGTCCTCACCACCGGGGCACGCTTAGACATACAGGAGAGAGGTAGGCTGTCCTCACCACCGGGGCATGTTTAGACATACAGGAGAAAGGTAGGCTGTCCTCACCCCCGGGGCATATTTAGTCATACATGAGAGAGGTAGGCTGTCCTCACCACCGGGGCACGTTTAGACATACATGAGAGAGGTAGGCTGTCCTCACCCCCGGGGCATGTTTAGACATACAGGAGAAAGGTAGGCTGTCCTCACCACCGGGGCATATTTAGTCATGCATGAGAGAGGTAGGCTGTCCTCACCACCGGGGCACGTTTAGACATACATGAGAGAGGTAGGCTGTCCTCACCACCGGGGCATGTTTAGACATACAGGAGAAAGGTAGGCTGTCCTCACCACCGGGGCATATTTAGTCATGCATGAGAGAGGTAGGTTGTCCCCACCACCGGGGCATGTTTAGACATACATGAGAAAGGTAGGCTGTCCTCACCACCGGGGCATGTTTAGACATACAGGAGAAAGGTAGGTTGTCCCCACCACCGGGGCATGTTTAGACATACATGAGAAAGGTAGGCTGTCCTCACCACCGGGGCATGTTTAGTCATACATGAGAGAGGTAGGCTGTCCTCACAACCGGGGCACGTTTAGACATACATGAGAGAGGTAGGCTGTCCTCACCACCGGGGCATGTTTAGACATACAGGAGAGAGGTAGGCTGTCCTCACCCCCGGGGCATGTTAAGACATACAGGAGAGAGGTAGGCTGTCCTCACCACCGGGGCATGTTTAGACATACAGGCGAGAGGTAGGCTGTCCTCACCACCGGGGCATGTTTAGACATATAGGAGATATGTTGGTTGTTCGCACCCTCGGGGCATGTTTAGACATACAGGCGACAGGTAGACTGTTCGCAGCCCCGGTGCCTTTTTAGCATGCTGTCTAAACATAAGGTTAAAGTTCCGCTCAGAAACACTGATGAACTAGAGAGGCATTAAATTTGGGAGTGAGCACGTGGGAGCTTTTGTATCGCAAGGTGGACTGTCTCCAACTCAGGAGAAGAATATCTATCAGAAGGTCACGTCAGTACGTATTTAAGCACATTAATAATATAGCTGATTGGTAGCCTTGACGACACGTAACCAGGCCTTGGCACGTTCTGGTAAAGTCGTGTGAAGGAAGGGTCCCCTTAACCCCCCCCCTTCCCCCTCTCCCCTCCCCCACCCCCTACACACCCCGAGGCCCGGCCCCTACCCCAGTCGATACCTAACATACACTTACTGAAACGGACGGGACATAACGAACGAAGCATCAGTGTTAATAAGGCTGGTGAGTCACTAGGATGGGCCACTGATTTCAATAAAACACTGCTTTCTCCTGGTTATCTATAAATCGGTGTTCTTCATGGGAATAACGTTTTGTTATCAATATGTGGCGTAAGGCCTAATCAGCCTGTTAAGTTCATCTAGATTACACGTATTACAGTTTTGTCATGGCCACACATCCCCTGTCAAGTAAAAGTGTGTTTCTTGCAGGAACTTTGCATTCTCGTCTGAGGGACATCCTTGTGGAACTCAAGAGCGTCAAAAATCAGCTGGAGGACGCTGATGAAAGCTGCCTCTATATCGAGGTATTCCGATTGATCAGGTTCTTCAGAGAATAGCGTCTTATCTTTAGCCAAACGTAGTTTTCTGAAAATGGATATTTAAAGGAAAAAGAAAAACATCAAATATCAGACTGAAGACACTGACGACAGTATCCACTATATCGAGGTATTCGGATTGCTGAGGTACTTCATAGAGTAGCGTCTGAGCGAAATTCCCTTTTTCCTGAAAAAAAAGATAATTAAAAGTAAAACAAAACCACCAACTATCAGATTGAAGACACTGATGACAGCATCCGCTATATCGAGGTATTCGGATTGCTCAGGTTCTTCATAGAATAGCGTCTTATTTTTAGCAAAACTCAGTTTTCTAAAACTAGATATTTGAAAGAAAAACATCAAATATCAAATTGAAGACAATGACGACAGCATCCGCTATATCGAGGTATTCGGATTGTTGAGATACTTGATAGGATGCTTTTTCGGGTTCAGCCTGTGGTAATTAAGCGTCATGTGAATCTGGGGGTCCTTATACTTAATGTATCCTTCCCATTAGAACCTGTGTATATCGGTGTGAACTGCGCATAACCCACATGGCCACCCTACCACAAATGTTTGAAATGTTTTCCATAAATGACATGCCCTATATATGTAGAAACATGCTGTAAAAGGCGACTATGCTTGACGTAAGAGGCGTCTAACGGGATCGGGTGGTCAGGCTCGTTGACTTGGTTGATGAATGCGATCGTAACCCAATTGCGTGGATCGATGCTCATGATATCAATCACTGGGTTGTCTGGCCCAGAGCCCCGTTCTATAGCTGGAATATTGCTGAGTGAGGCGTTAGACAACAGGCAAACCAACAAGCAGCAAACTTTATGTATATCACAGAAAGTCAGGGGCAGATTCGAGGAAGAACAGGAAGAAGAGATTCTGAGTCTGAAGGCGGCCATCAAAGAGGCGTATGTCACCAGGAACACAATGATGTCCTTCAAGCCAGGTGAGCCACCAACATATGAGGGTGCCACCTCCATCCTCCCTTGAATCCCGAACACCATCTAATTTGTCACTCTGAGTCTCCTAACTCAACCCTGGATCCCGAACACTACATAACACAAATTTCAAAGGCATTGAGAAAATGGTGAAATTTGAAGTTAAATTTCTGAAGTAATTTCGAAAAACTATCATAGTTCAATGGGAACTTTTAAGGACACCATAAATATTTTTTAAATGTTGAATCTGCGCACTAAGTACGATAATTGTATTTGCGTCCTTCGTGCCGCATTGCTGAGTCCCTAATACCCTCTTATCACGCGTACCAAAAGGAGGTTGGCAGCCTCAAATATGAATCGCTAGTAATCGGTAAGAATATCCCAGTTAAGTATTTATAGCCGACGACAGAAAACAAACCTAAAGTTATTCCCCTCGATTTATCTCATTCGGAAAATATCGTAAATATCGGGAGAATGGAGCTATACATATTTAATTCGAGATACAAAATTGCGGTTGGTATATGTTCCAAAGGTTATGCCAATACTTCGGCAGTTCGAGCGGGGATCATTAGAAGTGTACCTTACATGATAGCGGGTACATTGAAAATAATAGAATAGGTCTCAGCAATTCGACATTCATGTGTAAAGTAAGTTAAAATGTGATGTTTGAACAGACGCAATGTCGAGTGCCGTCCAGCAACTTCTGCCTAGTGATGAGGAGTATGAACAACTGATAGCAGAGACGGAGGATCTCACCAGCAAGGTAACAGTAGCCAGCAGCGCCCTACTTGCCTGTAATAGGAACACAATAATCCAGTTCCATTTTCCATCTTCCCGAGGCAAGGGCGTCAACTGACTATAAAAGTCCAGTTCCCACCCTTGCCGAAATAGGCTGCAATTATTGAGTTATATTTAGGCTTGACTAACGACTCTGTGCATAGTCCAATCAAAATCGCGTAGCGAAATCGACATCCGGTTCGTAAACTCCCGTTCGGTCGATTACAGGATTTGCAAAGCATGTGTACCACCAACTCGGTGTCAACAGATATTTTCCAAATCTTTTAACGTTTTTAATCAAGATGCTCACGTGATTTGATGCACTTCTAGAAGTAAGACTCTTTTTATTACAATACAGGGCGACACCATTTTATTTGAAACAAATGCAAGTGATATGAGAGGTGGAATCCGATTGGTCAAGAAAGGACATAGACGGGACATAACTCGTTATAGCCACTGGTGGCGTTTCGATCGAGCCTAGAAATTCCAACCTAGTTCGGCTGCAGTCAGTTAACTCCCTTGCCTTGAGAAGATGGCATTTTCGGTAACAGATTATACCGAAAGAATAAGATCCGAGCTCCACCCAGAAAATCAAATGGTCGGGCCTTACAATTATACAGAAAACAGCTCGATATTAATGAGATTGCATGTTTGTCTTAAATTCCACATTCTTATCACATCAATTAAGGCGTTTTGCTTGGGCAAGCTCATTTATTCTGAATAATACTCTTCAATGACATCGTGATCATTTTGTAGAGAAAATGCCGATAACGAGGTTCCGACACGCCCCTATATGCATGTCATCAGTAGGATGCACACGATGAACCCTCGTGACTTTTAACCACCAAAGGCGGCGTCCACATTGGCACGCGTTTTGTTCTTGTAAGGGAGATCGGTAAGGCGAGGTGAGATGGACTTTAACGTCGCGATCAAGATTAGTTCAATCAAATGTGATGTACATGTACGTGTTAGTGTCTCTGCTTGTACTAGTCCGGAGTAATGCCGGTTTTATTCTGCTAACCTACTGAAATGCCATGCCGCAGTTTAACATGAATACCCCACTTAGACACAGTATACTGATTCCGAGCCGACCAGTCCTTGTTTTAACCCCTTGATGCTGATGTGAGGTGAGTGTGTGTGTTGCTTGTACTAGTCCGGATGATGCCGGTTTTATACTGCCAACCCACTGAAATACCATGCCGCAGTTAACATGAATAGGTGAGGTGAGGTGAGGTGAGGTGAGGTGAGGTGAGGTGAGGTGAGGTGAGGTGAGGTGAGGTGAGGTGAGGTGAGGTGAGGTGAGGTGAGGTGGCTGCTTGTACTAGTCCGGATGAAGCCGGTTTTATACTGCCAACCCACTGAAATACCATGCCGCAGTTTGACATGAAGAGGTGAGGTGAGGTGAGGTGAGGTGAGGTGAGGTGAGGTGAGGTGAGTGTGTGTGGCTGCTTGTACTAGTCCGGATGAAGCCGGTTTTATACTGTCAACCCACTGAAATACCATGCCGAAGTTTAACATGAGTACCCCACGTAGACACAGTATACTGACTCCGAGCCAATCAGTCCTTGTTTTATACCCATAATGACCAACGTCAGACAGGGTAACGACAAGTACCATCTTTCAACGTCTTTTGGTATGACGCGGCCAGGACATCAAGCCAGTGCTCTATCCACAAAACCAGGGGAAAGAACTCTTGCAGAGAACCCGATGAAGGTCAATGTATGTACCTCTGAACATTTGAGGGCAGGTTAAGTGCTTAGCTATGAGCATAAGTTGATTTCTGTTGTTTTGTCTTTGCGCGAGGTAGAGCCCCGTAGGGATTGCGGGGTAGAATATGCCCCAGCCCAAACTACTCCATACTACTACTACTACTACTACTACTACTACTAGTACTACTACTAATACTACTAATACTACTACTACTACTCCATCGCCTGTGACAATCCTTGGCAGACCAGGTTCCTAGATACCAATGCTTGTCGTAAAATCTAAGTGAAATAAGGAGTGGATAGCTGTAACGTGTCATTGTATCCAAACAAAGTGGGTTGTTGCTCGTGCTATCAGCCTCTGGTTTTCCTTGACCAGTCTGGATTATTGACGGCCGCGGCGATACAGCTGAAATGTTAGGGATTGCGACGTAAAATAACATTCACTCACTTTAGGACTGAGACATTGAGAGAAGCAGTTATTTTACCTCCTTAAGCTTGTATTTAAAAACAGACGTGTGTAAAGGGAAATGTATATTTAATATGAGATACGGTGTACATGCGTAACTCATTGAATCCTTTTGTCAACAGAGCTCCACGCTGAAGAGTCGGCTTCAAGAACAGTCAAAGGAGATGCTTTTGTATCACTCGAAGAATTATGAGCTGTCTATGAAGATCAAAGAACTCGCCGCAGCTCTCAAGGAAGAGCGACAGAAATCTGGTTGGTCCACAGACGTAAATGCACATGCGCAAACATTGCAGAAGCCTCCAATCACGTGGTTCGAAGCTCCAATCACCAGCATCGAGGCAGTGAAGGACTACCTCATCCGGGAACACGGTCGGGGGAATGAAACGAGAGTTGTAGAGTATCTTGATATGAAGGCAAGGCGAGCCACAAGATGGCACTCACAGATGTTTGAGAAGGATTTTACAGATTATGACAAAACATTAGAGATCTTGGCAGAGAAAGGCTGGAACACCGCCGGTAAAGAAGATCTACAGGCCAAGGATGGCGGAGGTACCGAGGAGAATGCCCAGAATGTACCCACAGTTGCCCCGGCCACCGACAACCAAGCGGCTCAGCCTCTCACAGAGTCCGAGCTCCAGCTCTGCGCAGCGCTTGTGCACGATGGTCGAGCGACTCAGGCCCGTGTAGATAACATTGATAACCGGGCACCTGTCAATACCAACACTCCTCGCACGAGATTCATGCGCAGACTGCAGAGGCTGTTTAGACGATAGGGAGTATTGTAGTAGGTAGAACTGTTGTCAGTGAGTATGAGTGTGGAGGCATGGTGTTGGCTCTGGACATTGTAGCTGGGCATTCATCTTGGAAAGTATTTGTGAATTGTACGTTGTCAAAGTCGCATTCATTAAAAGAATTGTGTTCACTTTTCATTTGTGATTGACTTTAGTTATATTGCAATCGAAAAACGACACACGCAGTTTGGTAACGAACATACAGTTCAAGACGACTAAGGGATCTCAAGATGAGTCATTTACTCAACAATGTGCACACGTGCATTGGTTATGTTATATAACTATATCTGTGTCGACGTTAGTCCCTGGGCAAAGATTAAAATATGAATCCAATTAATGTTTAGAATGATTTGGCTTCGCTCGTCACGCCGGGACCTGGGTTCGATTCCCGACATGGGCACAATGTGTGAAGCCCATTTCTGGTGTCCCCCGCCGTGATATTGCTGGAATATTGCTAAAAGCGGCGTAAAACCATACTCACTCACTAGAAAGATTTGGCAAGTGGTCTCAGCTTCAGGCCTGAAATTGAGCATTGTTCTGGGCTTCATTTGGATTGTATTTCGTAATTTTGTAGATCTATATTTTTAAATAAGAGAACTTTATTTCTGGGACTAAATGTTAGTCTAACACATCTTCGATGTTTCTACTTGTCAAAAGCAGCCATTAAACAAAACGATTTCTTTAATTGGCAATAAAAACGTAAATAAGAGGGCGGAAATAATTAACACCTGCGTCCACTTACTCGTATTATCTGGACAAAGATAAACTGACTCTGCAACCTACAGACGATGACGCCGATAATTCCAAACACATGTTCCCCCTGTAAAGATCCGTGTTAGAATTCTTCAGTAACCCTTGGTTGTCGTAAGAGGCGACTAACGCTAACTTGTTTGATGCTTGTAATCGTATCGCAATTGCTTAAAGCGTCACTCATGATGACAATCACTGGATTGTTTGGTCCAAAATCGATTATTTATAGACAGCAAACATTAAAGATTAGCAACAATGTTACGTATTCACGTAGCTACGCAATCACAGAAGATACGGTTCAATGATACATATTTGCACAACACCACAATCATTGAAGATGATTAATTCTTAAAATAAAAGAAAACAAGGGAAACTGAATTAGAAACAACAGAAAAAAGTTTGAATAAGACAATGAAATTTCTAGAAACACATTTTAAAGGAAATATAAAATGTGAAGAAAACTTGGACATGAAACATAGTCACAGAACGTACTAGTTGGGTAGGAAGAAGGGGGTATTGTGCACCCCCCGGAAATCAATTTCTAATTGGTGTTTCTAAACTGGAAAAATGTCATAGAAAACGATTTGCTATGTTAAAAAGTTGTCAAAATGTCCCACGTACCATTTTTATGCAAATTAGTCGCCATTACTGGAAAATGCATATTTCGTCATATCTCAGCCCATAGTGCAGATAGCTCAATACTTAAGGTGTCTAAACCCATGTTTTGAGGGTCCAAGAGCATTATAAAACTATTGTTGAAGTGATCAGATGTGTCTAAGACATGTGAGTATGCTAAGTATTGCCGCCCTTAGCGAAAAATCAATTTTTCGCCATATCTCAGCCCATATTAATGATAACAGCAGACATTAAGTGTCCGGACCTATGTTCAAAGGGTCAAAGAACACAATAAAACTACTCGCGGGGTGATCTAATATGTCCTTTGCATGTCTCTATGCAACATAACAGCATGTGTACTGCATCTTTGGTGTTGTTTCAGCTTTGCTTTGCATTCCACATTAATGTCGGTGGTGGTAGAAATACATGTAGTAGTAGAGGTGGCTTTTGCCACTTCTACTACTACATGTAGAGGTGGTAGTAGAGGTGGTAGAAATTCTAGATTAGCATGTGTGGTGGTATTTTTCAGGTCTTATAATAAACAGTGGTAGTAGAGGTAGTAGACATTACAGATTGCAGATTAACAGTGGTGGTGGCAGTGAAGACATTTAGCAACCATGTCTAAAAGAAAACGTGAAAAGATCGCAGATCCTGGACCTTCCAAACACGCTCCACCTGCATGCATCCTTCATGTGCCATCTTTATCTGATCATGGTCGATTCACACCATTCAGTAATGTTAAAGGAACTGTTGCTGAAAAACTCTGGCAAATTCATACAATCCGTGAGAGACGTCTCCGCCAACCACATGGGTCCCCGTATCGTATGCAAGCAGTGTGCGACCACATCCCTGCATCTCTGCCAGATGACCTGCAAAGTGTTGGATATCATCGACAGTGTTATCAGCGGTTTACTGGCAACCTCCATCTTCTGGGAGATCAAACAGAATCGCAAGCATCAACCTCGCAACAACATCATTCCCCTCGTAGAAGGTCTTCCACTGGACCTATTTTCCCCCCAGAGTGCATATTCTGTGACAAACTAGAGGTCAAAGATGGTGACCGTAAAACTGAACGAGCTGAGCTGTTCTCGTCCTGGAAGAACAAAGAAAATGCATGGCGGCAAATCGAATCACGAGCTGAGAAAATGGGTCTAGATCAACTTCATCGACTGGTGAAAAACAAGGATCTCTTTGCTGTTGAGGCCAAACACCATCCATCGAGCTTGAGATCTTTCCGAACAGCATTTGCTAACTATGAACGTGGGATTCGCAGGGCTGAAGGGCCAAAGGATACGGAGCATGCCCGTGTGTCAGCTGCACATGAAAAGGCACTCGACTTCGTACTGGAGAACATTCAAATGCATGTTGTCCAACAGAATGAGGTCCTACTGCTGTCTTCCTTGCGCCTATTATATGCCGAAGAATTGAAACGCAATGGCTATGAGAACCAGAACTATCGTTCTGAGAAGTTGCTGAAACGGCTTCAAAATAACCCGATCAAAAATCAGGTCAACTTCACGAAGGTCCCGGACAACACAAAGGATGCCTTTTCATTCTGGCTTGTGCATAGTTCGGTTATCACTGTTGCCGATGCTCTTGCTCAAGCTTACGTCCTTGGAAGTGCAGACAAGTACCGGGACGTCGCTCTCCGTCTTCGTCGTAACATTCTGCAGGCTTTCGAAGATTCAAAAGACCAACTGTGGCCGCCAACATCCGACAATATGGAACTCAGTTGCGAAAATGTCCTGCCTCCAGACCTCGTCCGATTCCTTAACATGGTTTTGGCCGGCAAAGAACAAGTGGAAACGCAGGAGAAGTTGAATCGTATAGTGTTCTCCATCGGGCAAGACTTATGCCATGCTGTATCAGAGGGACAGTGGAAATTACCAAAACACGTGCTTCTCTGTGTGACTGTCAGGCACTTGTTCAGAAGCAAGCAGCTCACCACGATATTGCATCGGCTTGGCCACTCTGAGAGCTATGACTTTGGCTTGGAGTTGGAAACTGCACTGGCCAAGGCGACGGATGCAGCCTCAACCCATCTGACACCCCAGATTGTGACAGGAGAAGGAAACGTTGTATTCCATTCAGAGTAGGACAATTTGAACAAGACCACAACAAATGTGCATGGCAGCAACATTGTAAACAGTGCTGGGGGAATCATGGTGCAGGAGGTCAGGCCTGGATTTGAGAGCACTAGGGTCCGAACTTTGCCTATTATCGGCAAGTCACAGCAGCGAAGCCTGAAGGTAGACACGCCAGAAACTCTCCCACCGCTGCACTTCACTCGCATTGGCCCAAAGTTTCCCGAAGGCTCATCATACACACACCCTGCAGGGAAAGACGCAGTCTATGCTGCTCAGATGAAAGAGTACAAGTTATGGCTGTTCAGCAGGTACATCGGAAGCAGTGGCAAGCAGCCTGTACCAGGACTAGGGGGCTTCACCTCTGCAACCGGTGCCCCACCACCAAGAAAATCAACAGTGGACTACTTCACACCCATCCATCAACCTATAACGGATAACTGCGTCGTCCACGAGCTACTGAAGCGGTCGGAGGCAGCCACGGCTGAAGTGGGTCAGACGTGGGTCCTGAATACATTCGATCTAGGTGTCTGCATGAAAGCCCTACCCATCATCTGGCGATGGCCAGATGAATTCGCTAGTCACGTTGTCACGATTGGGCCATTCCTAACGTCTATGAATTACATCGGTATGCTCACCGGCCACAAAATGGCTGGCTCAGGATATACAGAGATTCTATTTGAGGCACAGCTGGTCACAAGTGGATCCCTCAAGGGTGTTCTCAGTGGGAAGGCCTATGCCAAGTCTATTTTTTGTCTCAAAAGTGTGTGTGAAGCAATGGAGAGGCTGTTGATTGAACAATTTGCAGAGGAGGAGAACATCACCTTCAGTGACCCGGTTGCTCTTCTGAACATGACTCAGTCTTGCAATCGACAGAGCCTCAACGAAGCCCTCAATGACCCTCACACTGGAACATTTCTTGACAGGTATCACGCATATGAGGGAAAGGTTCTCAATGGCCACCTGGGGAAGACGGCAGCTTTCTGGATGTCATTTATCAGACACTGTCACCTAATCTTCATGCTCCTCCACTCCGTGAAGACTAACAACATCCAGCTGTTTCACAAGTGTAATGGAGAGATGGCGGCACTCTTCTTTGCATTCGATGGGCAAAACTATTCCAGGTTTGTAGAACTTTGATATGAATCTCCATAACCTTATGTTCTTATCTAATGATTGCTGATATCTTGAATACTTTTATCGACAGATATCTGACCTTGCTGAGTCTCTAGGAGAAGGCTACTGTGCAACTCTCCTTGCCTACTATGTCTTCAGTGGAGAGGATTGCACAAGTTCCTTTAAAGGCAAGGGAAAGGTTGGGCCACTGAAAAAGCTGGAAAAGAATCCTAGGTTCCACAAGGCCTTCAGGCAACTGGGTGACGACTGGAACGTCAAGCCTCAGGTGATGAAGCAGCTAGAGCAGTTCACATGTCTGATGTACGGACAGTGTCGTGAGTCTTCTGTGAACGCCGTCCGTGTCAAGCTGCTCCGCAAAATGGTGGGAGAGGACAAGAAACTCACTTCGAAGTCTAAGGTCGACCTAGCTCGCCTTCCCCCATGCCAATCTGCTTTGGAGCCACACATTCAGCGTGTGAACCATCGGGTTGCTTTGTACAAGCGAGCTGACCAATCTTTTGTGGAGAAACCCAAGCCTTACGAGGAGCAGCAGGGGTGGATGAGAACTGAC